AAATAATAAAAATAATTTTATATCAAAATTTATTTAAATATATTAAAAAATTCAAAAATAAATAAACAAAATCAAATAGAAAAAATTTAATTTAGATCATATGAAGAATCAGTTTAAATTTTAAAATTTTATAATATTATGTAATATCTAAAAAAATCGAATCGAATCCGATATGATACAGACCATTATCACCCTTATACGAAATTGAGTATCATAACAATAAAATTGAAATCAATAATAAAAATATATGTTAAAATTAAGGATGATTTCTCTTACGTGAGATATATACAGCTACTTGGCAACATTAGATGAGACTTGAGAGATGGGAGTGGGCGCAGATAATTAATAAAAACTATTCATTCATTTCATTGTATTCAGTTTTGGAGACAAATTAAGGATCAAAGTAGGGGACCGAAACTTTCTTTGAAAGCAAAATTCGTATTAATTGTTTTCATCCACTTGTTTACCTAAATTGAATCTGACCCCCCCTTCTTTTTATTATTTTCAATTTGATTCATTTCTATCGGACCAATTTTGCTCTTTTTCTCATGGAAATTTACCAGAATTTGATTTTTCTTTTGGAAAAAATCCACAGATTTTTTTTTTTTTGAAAAAAAATCCATAGTTTTTTTTTTTTCATAAATTCATATATTGATCAGATATAAGGCTAGATTGTCCCTCTCACAGTTTTTAACTCGGTAATTATGCTTACTTAGCCATAGTTACTTTGAAGTAAATATCTCAACGATTAAAATTTGAAATTTTATTTCAAAATTAATGAACTTGTATTACATGTAATAGTAGATAATTTTATTGATAATTTTTATTACTTCGGCATAATGGTTGGACGGTAAAAGAGGTATTAGAGCATAGACTTTTTGACAATTATAAACAACATGCTCGCTCGTGCTCTTGAAAACCAAAGCCAATTGTCCTAGTTGTTTTGCCCTTTGATCACCGTTTTTAGGACCACTTTTAATAAATTTGCCATCACTTAATTATATACCTGCATATAGACCTTAATTCAATTGACCAAAATTAAAGTGTCAATCCTTTAAATTCGTGCTGAAGAATTAAAGGGAGTAAATTATATATATAAATATATATATATATTTATATATATATATATATAAATCCTGTTCTATCTTGGACTAGAAGAGTAAGGAGTGAAAGAACAACAGAAATGCTAGCTAAATAGCTGTTTCTTAAAAAAAAAAAAAAAACTTTAGGGCATTCGTTATTTTTTTTAATATTACGAATAATCATTGAACTATAGTATAATATTTAATATAATATTTAAATTTTAAAAATATCTAATGTGATACATGAATAATGAATATATTAATTAATATAATATTTAAAAAATTATTTATCTGTCATGTATCATCATTTAAAATTAGTGAGTATTATATTATTTATAAATTTATAATTCAGATATCACATTAAAAATTTTTAAAGTTTAGGTATTACGTTGAAAATCTAATCTAATATATATATATTATATTACAATATACAATGTTACATGATCAAAATTGCTTATGTGGATGCCTATGTAGATAATCTCTTTTAATGACATATAGGATAATATTTATATTATTTTATTTATCAAATAAAATTTTTTAATAAATTATTTAAATTGAATATTTTGGATAATTGTTTAAATTGAAATCAATATCTATCTAAAATTAAAATTTTTGCATAAGATTCGAATTCAAATATATTAAATCATAATTTATCTTTTCTTTTTAAAATTAATAGCAATTCCAAATAATAATACTTAATAAAATTCTATTTTCTATCAAATAATTCTATTTAATAAATTATTTAAATTTAATATTTTTAGATAATTATTTAAATTCAAATTAAAATCTATCAAAAATTAAAAATTATTTAATAGATTATTTATATTTAATACTTTTAGATAACTTAATGAATTATTGACTAAAAAGCATATAGTTTTAAAGTAATAAAAGCTTACATCTTTATATGAAGACATGAGACATTTGAATGTTGATAAAAAAGTTAAATAAAAATATGTTCTCACATTGAAAACAAATATAATGTTTTATTTATGTTCTAATTCAAATTTTTTATATTATATATTTGGTTAATTTATTTGTTTCTCTTTAATCCATAACTTTTTTTAATTTTACTTAGATTGATTATAATTAACTTTTCATATTATATATATATTTTTGTTTTATTCATTTCTTCAATGTTTTTATTCTCTGTTAATTTATTAACATATTTGCTTATATTATTGTATATATTTAATAGTAACAAATTAATATGTAAATTTGTATTCTCTATTTCCTTTTATCGTACTTTTTATTATTGAATGTCTTTATTTACAATGGATGATATGAGAAGAATGATGATTATTACTATATTTAACTCATAAAAATACTATCAATTATGTTAAAAATGATTAAAAATAAAAAAATATTTCAAAAAATTTTTAAACATAACATAAAGAATTATTGTTTCCCTTTTATCTAAAAAATAACTTTATTTTGTTGACATATATAGAAATAATTGTTAGCCTAATATATTTGTGTAATAATTACTTGAAATATGTTAAAAATAAGAACTAATAGAAAGCAAATGATTATAACAAAATTAATAATTGTGATTTGTTGTTCAATCAAATATATATATATATATATATATATATATACACACCGCTTAATCAATATTATGATAAAAATGATTATTAATTTTAACTATTGAGATATTGATTCCTGATTTTTTATCAAACAAGAAAAAAACGGTAGTAAAATTTTTAGTATTTAGCAAACAAATTGAAGAAAATATTTTTTAATGAAAAAATTGATTTTTATAATTCTTGAAAATTCACCAAAGTTTAGACTTATTTTAGATAAACAATATTATTTATAATATATTATGTATAAATTATCATTTATTGTAACTTAGCATTTATAAATATATGATTATATATTAGATAAATACTTAAAAAATAAATTTAAAATTATGAAAAATTTAATAAAAAATCCCATACATTGTACAGGTTAAAAAAACTAGTTTTATTAATGGTCATCCATAATATTAACCTTTATATATATATATAAAAAGATAACAATTTGTGGATAAAAAAAGAGTTGTATGTATTAAGATTTAATCGGATTTTTTCTTTGCTACTTTCTTTCCAACTAATTTTACCAACTAAACGAGTCATGTCCCAATGGTTAGTATCATTATAACAACAGGCAGGGCATAAAATAAAAGCATAAAACTGAACTATAGTCATTACATGAATGATAAGTCTTCACCAAGCACAATTCGAACCAACCTCATAATAGCGTAAGTCAAGGGAAAGGAAAAGTTTTTTTTTTTATGGAAATATGTATTGGATACGTAGAAAACGTCCATCCATTGTTCTTTAACAGCCTAAACATTGTGACTCGATATCTAGGCTGACTGTAGGAGGAAATTGAAGGAAGAAAACTTTTGAGTAGGATTATAAAATTAAGTACCTGTAGTCAAGGAAAGATCATTATCCACTAGTAAAGGTGTTCATGAATTGAATAAAGTCGGTTTAATACCATTAAAACCTAGACATAGGATAATTGCTGTCATTGCTATTTATGGAAAACTGTCATAAATTTAACCAAACCTACATCACCCTCTCATAACAAGAAAGAAAGAAGAAAGTAAAGAAAAGCAGCTTTAGGGTTTGGCTTGGGTCTATTTCATGGACATTGCTATTTGAGAGATGTAAGTTAAACTCTGTGGATGGCATCTTCAAGATTTGAATAAGTCATGATCATATAATATAATATATATATATATATCTATAATTTTGAATTATACAAAAAAAATGATTTGATACCATAAATTCTCCTATATTGACCATTTATTATAGATTTAAATCCAAGACCTTTACTAACGAATATCATTAGGGTATTTTTAAATTTAATTAATATATTATTTATAATAATCATTTTATAATTAAATATAGTAATAAAAAACTTTATTCATCTTTCCAATGCATTAAATAAAGATATTATTTTATATAGTACCAATAAATAACAAAATCCTATATCAAATAAAATGAATTCATGGATAATTTGAAAGGGAATAAAACAACCGTGGGCAATTGTGAATGCTTTTAGTAAAGGAATTGGGTCAAGAAAGGAGGAGAAATTTGAAGGGTAAGGACCAATATGCATAAATTTGAGCCTAACCCTAACATAGCACCTAAGCATGATGGTGGGATAGGACGAGACCCGATCAACGTTGAAATGGTCCTTATTACCCTATTGAATGGCCTTGGTCAGGTCAACCAGAGCTATAATTTATTGCTCTCTTATCTCTTTTTTTTAAATCTTTTCCTTTATGTCACATATGGACAAGACTTATTAAAATTATTTTTTGAAGTTTATGCCAAAAAAATTAAATTTTAGAGTTGCAATATTAAAATTTATTTGAAATCAAATTATCTTTTTGAGTGTACATAATTGGTTTTTCAACCAAAATAATAGATAAAAATGTAGCAGGCCTACTCAAGTAACTCAAGCCCATTGTGTTGGTAGAGCTAGGCCTACACTAAATCCTTTAAAGCCCATTCCAATAGGCTTGCAAGGCATTAGGACCCTTAAACATTCCCAAAATTAATTGCCAGGCTTTGCCGAATTGCTGACATTGTATTCTTTTTTTTTTTTTTTTTAGTTCTTAATCTATTTTTAAATTTTTTACCCCATGATATATATAGATGAAGAAGACATTGCAAGCTGATTTCTCAAACTCGCAATCTTTAAATATCAATTTTAACGATCTCTAAATATCAACTTTAACGATATATCAAAATTGAAAAAAAAATTTTAATATATATTTTATTTACCAATTTTAAATGAAATTTCATGCAAAATAATTTGAGATTGTAAATTCTTTTCTCTATTAAAATGTTGATTTTTTTGTTTGATTTTAAATCCAATCATCCAATACCTAAATCAAACCATTTTGAAAGTGTTGTTGTCATATTGCTTTTAATCTTACATTGCATGTAAAATTCCCCTCAAAGAATATTTTCAGGAATCTCCATGAAACCCCCAAAAGGCAAACAGATGAAAAAAAAAAAAAAATCAAAGAGTCTGAAACTCTGAAATCTAGAAAAGATCAAGAATATCGAGAATCGAACGGTCGCAGACAGGACATGAGCCCCGATTGACCCACAGTTCCCTGGAACAAACCCTGCAAAAGGTGTGCCCACATGGAATAAAAGCCGCCCCTTTCTTCCTCTCCATGCACAGGCAGCACATCCAATCACAGCTCCCTCCTCCTACGCCGCCTACACCTTCAACATCAATGTCTTTCCTTTTCTTCTCATTCCAATCAACACCCTCCGTTTCTTCAATCAATCTCATCAATGTCTTTACTCCCGTGGGACCGGGACCCACTTTGGTTGCCCGCAAATTACGCTCCGCTGCCAGCGCCATTGCCAAGTTCATCCCTGAACCTGATGTGGCTTCGACTTGCTGGCTCACCAACAGTGGGGTGCAGGCACTGTTCTCTGTTTGATTCTGAATGCGGTTATTTACCGCATTGCCACTCCTGCTGACAATAACTTGCTGCCTATGAGCTGCCACTTCTTCACCTTCATCTTCATCTAGGATTGAAATGGTTGAAATTCTGGCTCGGGGACTCCAGGTGGCTCCGCAGCAACCCATACCCTTCAATCCTAGCCTTTGTTTCAGATTTTTCCACTTCGTAATTCGTCTGTCCATGGCTATGCCCTCCATTCTTGCCCTGCTGGAACAACCTCGCTTTTTCTTTTCTGCATGTATATGATTAGCTGCAAAGTTCAGAGTCGTCGTTTTACCAATCAAAGAAACCGAAATGTAAAAAGAAAATGAAAAGAACAGACAAAGATTTATAGATGAAGAAATGCATGCGGAAAATATTGAAATACCTGGAAATTTTTTCACTTAAAATTAGCTTAGCAGCAAAAGAAAATGAGTGAGAAACTAAAAGCAAATAGTATTGGAAAGAAGCAAAAGCTGTAAGTAGGGACTGGAAAGCGGGTGAATATAAAAGAGATTTGGGATAGAGAAACCGCGTGATAATGGAGATACTGAGTCGTTCATGATCAGTTTGCCGGATGGTCATTAGAATTTTTGTGGGTCCGGACACTGGACGCTTTTCAGAAAAATATTGCACCCTTGATGTAACTCTGATCTCTCTTTTTTAATGGGTACTGTGATCTCAAATTATTGCTGAAGTTAAGCTGTCTGCATTTTTTAGATTAATTTGAAACAGATAGTATTGAAAGTGATATGGTAATGAAAAATGGAATTGTTTAACCCGAACTTAGCTTGGTTCATTCAATCAAGCAATAGTTAATAAGTTTTAAATTTTTTAAATATATAAAAAAAAAAAAAATTAAGATACATAATTCATACATCTATACATGTTTTTTCTTACATCATTCAAAATGATTTATTTATATATATGGAGAAATTTTATATTAAATTCTTTAGGTGAATTTTTTTAAAAATGATTTAGTAAAAATTTCAATAAAAAACTCAAATAGATAGATTAATAGAATTTAATATGAAGATCAATAATATGTAAAAAAATTAAAAATATAATTTATAATTTAAATTTAATTAATAATTATTCATCAGTAAAATTTTATTAACATTTTTTTTAAATATCTATATCAAAATATATATCAAAATTTATTAAATTTTTTTCAAATTTTACATAATTTATCTATGTAATGAAACATTTTCATTTATTAATTTTTATTTTCAATTTTAATCTTTATTAATCATTTTTAATTAAAAACTTCACAAACTCGAAATTTCATGTAAATATAGATATTTTTCAATATATATATATATATATATATATCTATACTTGTGGCATTGTTCTTAATGTCAACTGGAAGACTGTTGCAAGTACAGTAACATTCTATTAGCCAGTGTTAATTTTACAACGGAATGGAAGAAATCTTAGAATGAAGAAAAGGGGGAATACCTTATATAAAAGAAAAAGAAGACATGCAAAGAAAAGCTTTAAAATAATAGCCTTGAAAAAAGAAATCAATGGGACATTATTCTAATTTTTGCTTCACAAAGTCAAAAAGCCATGAAATCCGGCGATAATGAGTTAGATATGCAACAGCTGTTAATACTAATTCATGGAAAACTAGAGCATTAGATTGATTTTTCCTTTTTTTTTTTTTTTTTCTCTAGTGGACACTTCAAATTCTTGCTTTTGGTTGAAAAAGAACATAAATAATTAGCAGCAACATGCAATTAATATAATATTATAAATAATTAGTAACATAAGTCGTTTCGACTTGGGATCTTTCCATGGCTCATGCCCTGTGACTTGTGATAACAATTCAAATAAATTTTAATTTAATTTAATTTTTTTAATTAATATATAATAAGTTTTGATTTTTAGTTACTTTTTTTTTACCATTTAGTGACATTTATTAATGTCATTATAAGATTACGACGTTTGTAAAAAAACATCACGTATAGTACCGTCTATACATACATCGTGATAAATAGTGATATTTTCGAAAAAACGTCTTTATATAGTGATTTTTATATCTGAAACATCGTCATTTTAACGATATTTATATCTTTGAGATACTATTATTTTAAAAGCGTTTAAATTTAAAAATGATTTAATATTAACGGTGTTTGTATATTTTAGTTGTCGCTATTTTAGTAATATTTTTATGAAAAAAAATGTCCTTGCATTAAAGCGTTTGTAACAAAAAAATACCGTTTCTAGAGCTGCTACAGCTGTTAATACTAATTCATGGAAAACTAGAGCATTAGATTGATTTTTCCTTTTTTTTTTTTTTTTCTCTAGTGAACACTTCAAATTCTTGCTTTTGGTTGAAAAAGAACGTAAATACTTAGCAGCAACATGCAATGATCATTAGTAACATAAGTCGTTTAGACTTTGGATCTTTCCATGGCTCATAAGAGTGACTTTTAGTTATAACGATTTAGATTGGATTAAATTTAATTTAATTTTTTTAATTAATATATAATATTATAAATTTTTTAAATTTAATTTGAATTTAAATTAATTATTTTTTAAAATCGATATAATTCGAACCGAATTTTATTAATTTGGTTCAATTCAATTTATTAATTTATTAATTTTATTTTTTATTTTTATATATTATTTTAATAAAATTTTAATATATTTAAATAAATTATATATAATAATTATTTTTATTTTATAAAAATTTAAAATATCTAAATTAATAAAAATATATAATTCGATTATATTCCAATTTTTTAATTTTTCACATTCCGATTTAAAATTTCATTTAAATTTAATATATACATATAATAATTATTTTTATTTTATAAAAATTTAAAATATATAAATTAATAAAAATATATAATTCGATTATATTCAAATTTTTTAATTTTTCACATTCCGATTTAAAATTTCATTTAAATTTAATATATACATTTAATATCTAAAGTTAAACTGAATAAAAAAAATTCAATCTAAATGAAACCAAACATTATAATTTTAAATTAATTTTTAATTTTTTTCAACTTCTTTTCTCACCCCTTGGCCCCAATATTTTCACCATGCATAAAGTTCGATTTCAGCTTGTATAAAGACTCAGAAGAGATCAACTTCCCCTCCTTCCGGCTACATTCTGATAAAAAAACAACTTCCCTCTACCTATTATTCAAGTATATTACTATCGCCGCCCGGCGCCGCCCGCTAACCTTTTTCTCTCTGCTATCATTATGTAACATGAGAAACCCTAAAATGAATGTGTTCTACTTGATAGACTGTTAAATGGAATATGAACAGAGATAAAATGAATATTAAATGGTTCAGGTTAAATATGTATCTCAGCAACACAGGATCATTCCGAGCTGCCATTTTCAGTAAGGGATCAGCTGCAGACAACAGGACACAGCAATAGTTTAGATTCTTTCTATGCACTTACAAGCATAAAGTATTCAAGAGATGGTTCAAGCAACATAGTCCCATCTGGATAACCCCTGCTGCAAGACAGGCAACAAATCCTGCGGATGAATCGTACCTTTAGGACATTAAAAACGAAAAAGAAAAAAAAAATCATAACCCATTCACAGAAAAAAGATGTGCAATTTGCCGATATCTGTTTTACTGTCAATTTGTCCAGTTAGACCACAGTGTGGAAGATAAGTAACTTTCAGATCCTCCAAATCAGTTGTCCCTGTTAAAACATGCATGATGCCAAAAAACTCACCTTGTTATGTATCAAAAGTCATCTCTGGTAGCAATGTGTCAAAACAATTTAGTTGAGTCAAATGACGGTAGCTACTACTGAAGCAAATTCTGGTAACTCAAGTGCATCCACACCTGGACAAGCCCGTGATTCAACATCAGAACATGTGAGCGTACGGCACTCATGAAAATGGAAGATGGAAAAATCCCATTCCTTTTTTTTGGTAGTTTCTATCACTTACCATCTTCAAGGACACGTCTGGATCGAGATGGGACGAATGATTGAAGGATCTCTTTGAGTATAAAGCAAGCTAACCTAGAACGGGAGGTTTTGTAAAGAATGGATTTGATTTCCCATGCATACTAAACTACTGGTTCTAAATCCACACAAGATCACTTTTGGAAGATAATTATAGCTGCTTTGTTCATAAGTTTGGAATATGAGATTTGGACATTTTCAGTCAAATACTACAGTATACACAAGCTTTACTTACTTAAACATTTATTTTTCAAAAAAAAAAAGAAATTGTTATTTGTCAGATTCCAAAGTAATTTTTAACAAATTACCAAAAACAGATTTCAATCCAAAAAAGATGTTTTTACTATTTTTATAATTTTACTAATTTTTGCAAACCCTTATTTTTATTTTTAAGGGTGATAATGGTTTAAATAGGATCAAATTCAATTTAATTTTTTCAGATAATAATAGTATATAATTTTTTTAATTTGATCACAATTTTCTCTTGAAATTGATTTAATCTAAAATGAAATCTATCGATTCAATTCATCAGTTTTTAAATTTTAATTTTTTATATTATTTTAATAAAAATTATAATATATTTAAATAAATTTGTATATAAAATAATTATTTTATTTTATAAAATTTTAAAATATATATAAATAAATAAAAATATATAATTAAGTTTGATTCAATTTTTTTATTTTTTATATCTTGATCTAAAATTTAATCTAAATTTAATATATATATTTAATATTAAATTTAAATTTAAATTAAATAAAATATTTAAATCAAATCAAATATTATATTTTAAATTATTTTTTTATTTTTTTATCCCTAATTAATCTTCCAAATTCAGCTACCGACGTTAAAAACTGTTGGAACCATGTGGACACAGGACAAGCCATTGGCAATCAATCAATCAATGCCTCCCCTCCCCCAATTTAGATCTAAACAGTTGTAGAATGCCAACAAATAAGGAGTAATTGGAGCAATCTTTAAATTAAAAAGATATTGTTGCGAGTGACCATTCCAGCCCATTTTGCCATTGTCTTCAACTTCTTACATTCCATTCAAAGATTAAAAGGGTAAGGGTAGTCGTAATAAAATCCAACTTAAATGCACAAATAATCTATAAAAAAATCCAAAAAAAAACCTAAACCCTAAATTAGGTACTAATGGTCTTCAGTATCCTGTGGGAAACTCGCAATTGCCATACTCTGCAAAACAAAACAAATCAAACCAAACCAAATCAAACACTTTGTTTTAGTAAGAGTGGGTGCACGTTAGCAATCACACTTTGCATGTCACTAACATGCACTTAAAAAAAAGAAGAGCGAGGGGTTTATATTATGATAGAACACGGACTTGGTGGTTGGGTGACGACGTATGCCGCTCCGCCGAAGTAACAAGTTCCCATCTGGCGCGCTTTCTTTTGGTAATAACTGTTGAACGCGAACGAAGCGTGGGCTTCTATGGTGTTAGGATCGTAACACGTGGCACCTGGCTGGATTGGATGGCAATCAGCACTCCCTTCACCACACGCGTAATCTAGAGCCGCCTGCAGCTTTTCCTTCCCCGCTTCTCCGTTCGCAACGCACCACGTTTTCCCCGTGGTAGTCTTCGACACGGGAGCCGCTAGTTGATTCGCAGCCACCGGCGACCGGTTATCCCGGTAATTATTCAACCCTTCTACAGTGAAAGGAACATCGTAAACCTTTTCCTCGTTGGGGTAAAAGAGCCCGTAATTTCTTTCCGATGTGGGCCCGGACTTCTTGTTCTCGTTGAAAAGGGCAAACAAATAGACAGTGAGATCTGCATTGGGTCTCAAAGGGGTCCCACCACCGGTCAAGATCCGACGTACCAGATTCCCATTATAAGCGGCGGCGTTTTGGATACTCGCACCATTCTCGTTCTCATCTCCCTTTGACGGCCACCCCGTTTCCGTCACAACCAATTTGATATCATCGTATTTCAAAGCGGACATTGCCACGAAAACGGCGTCGATTTGAGCGTCGAAAAGACTGAAATACCTCAACCCGTTACCCTGATCCACCACACCCGGATTCTCTCTGAACAAAGCGTAGTCCAACGAGATGACGTCAGTGTTTGACTCGTAAGCGAAAAAGGGATAAGCATTGACCATGAGGAAAGACCCGGTTTGACGAAGGAAATCCAGCAAGGGTTTGAAAACGGGTTCAACGAGTTCGGGTCGGAAAGATCCGGCTGAAGAAGGGTAAGAGTTTTGGAGAGCAGACAGGGCAATGGGGGAGGAGACTTTAATATCAGAGTCAAGGTTAAACTTAACCAAAGCTTCATGGATATTTTTCATGGCGGGTACGAGGAACGTGGTCGTGTTGTGGGGGTCCACGAAGACTTCGTTACCAACAGCAATGGCTTCGATTTCAGTGTGGGGATGGTAAGCGACAACGTTTCGTTGGACCCAAGAATTTGCAAAGGAAGAGCTTTGGGCCGCATTGGAGAGTTGTTCATTGGGGAGGTTGACGGTAACCTTGATTCCGGAGCCGGATAAAGCATGGAGAACAGGCGGGTCAGTGTCGTAGACTTTGACACGGTTTAGACCTTGGGATTTTAGCAGTTCCACCACTTCGGATGCTGACGGAAGGTTGTCAGCGATTCTTCCATAGTTTACTCCAATAGAACCAGAATCTGAAAAACGGCAAGAACAAATGCGCGTGACCTTTAAGAACAGAACCAATAAAAAATAAAAAACGCAAAATGTGGCTTACCTGCAAGAGTGAAAACAGAAATGAGTAAAATACAGACAGAAATGAAAGAGTGATGCATTGCTCTGCTCTAGTTTTTTTCAGAAGCAGAGCCAAAAAGAAGTGAAGAACTGGAAAGTGAGACTGTGAGAATCAATGATAGGATTTCTTTTTGGGTATGCGAGTGGGACCAAATGTCGGCAAATTGACAAGATCCAAAGTGCAGAAACAGAGAGAGGAGCCGGCAGAGCACGCAACGCAATGTGAGGCGAGGTGAGGCGAGGCAGAGTCTGCACGGATTGATCCAACAACTTTGAGTAATCAGGGCTTTTTACTTATTGCATGAAACCACATTAATTTCGTTAAAACGTAAGTGTTAACGTTCAGATAATTTTTCCTTCGAATTCGTTAAACAACCTAATAGATCACGCTTGATATAACTTTTAAGATTAATACATTATCATGATTTGATTATTCTTGTGATAAAATCAGATTTTATCACATTTAAAATAACTATTAATAAAGAATTATAAAGTATCAAACATTTAAAATTACTATTAATAATAAAGTTATTTAAAAAACTAACAAATTCCCTGTTTTATTCAGATAAATAAATCTTAAAATGATTTTGAATACCATTCTCTCTCGATAATAATTTTTATTTTTGGATAAAATTAACATCAGTTCATAATAATCAGTTTCTAAAATCAACTTTAATCTGCCACACATGGATACGGTGAAAATACTCAAGAAACGGCCAATTGATCGATAATGTTGTTACATTAAAAGTGAAAAAGTTATAATTGATAACAGTTTGAATCAAATTGAATTTAATTTAATTTTTCAGATAACATATATTATTATAAATTTTGTAAATTCAATTCAAATCTGAATTAATTTTTTATTGAAATCGATTCAAATTAAATTCTATCGATTTGATTCATCAATTTTTAAATTTTATTTTGTTTGTTTTTTATATATTGTTTCAATAGAATTTTTAATATATTTAAATAGATTTATTATAAAAAATTGTTTTATTTTATAAAAATTTAAAAAATTTATATAAACTAATAAAATTATATAATTTAGTTTAATTTTTTTTTTCAATTTTTTTCATCTTAATATGAAATTCAATCTAAACTTAATATATACATTTACTATTCAAATTTAATCCAAAGTGAATAAAAAAAAAACAATTCTAACAGAATAAAACACTATAATTTTAAACTTACTTTTAGTTTTCTCGATTTTTTTCTAGTTTTAGAAGAAACTAGTTCTCTAACGCTCCCATTGACAATTAAAAAAAATCCCAAAATGGGCCAAAGCAAGAGCTGAACGTAAGTTGTCCACTAACAATCCAAAGCCCAACCTGTTCTTGAACTGGGTTGGTACCAAAAAGTCCTGCCTTTTCCATTTTCTAATTTTTTTGGGGAGAGAATCAAACCATTTTAGGTTCAATTCAAAGGACTCAGAGCCGGTGGTAGGGGTAAGTAAATACTATCGGTTCGATTTAAAAAAATTAATAACTGACTTAATTAATTTTTATTTAACAAATAATCAAATCGACTAAATATTATTAAATAACCGATCATAATTGAACCGATCAAAATCGATTCGATTCGATATTTCGGTTAAATAATCGATTATTTTTATCATTTTTCTTCTTATTATGAATAATTATTTAACCATAAATTCAATTCAATAAAATTCAAACTCTAGTATCATTCAAACTAAATTACTAAAAAATTTAATATTTTCAACAATATTTTACAAAAAAAAATAAATAAAAATATTTATCTCAATTTTTTATTTTTAATTATTAAAAAATCGATTAATCGATCAGTGCGATTATCAATTTTAAAAACCGAAAATCGACCGAATTAACTAATTAATCGATTTAAAAAATCGATTATAACTAAAATCGAATAAATCAAACTAATTCAACCGAATTCATTCGATTTCAATCGATCTAATCGATTCAAACCGACTTTTGCTCACCCTAACCAGAAGTAACGACATCAAAGCAGTAATTTACCCTTAATAAAAAGAAGAAAGCAAAACAAAACCCTAATTCTATAAAATATCGGAAGTAAGAATTGGTGAGAAAAAAAAAAATGTCAGGGGCAGCAAGAGGTAGATAAGAAGCCCGGCGACCAATCCGCCGCCCACATCAACCTCAAAGTCAAAGGCCAGGTCTCTCTCCATTTTTCTCTTCCTCTTTTAAAAGTCTCTTTAGGGTTTATTTTTCTATGAATCCCCAGATTTCCATTCTCAGTTTATCATTAAAAGATCTCTCTTTTTCCCCTTTCATTTGTATGGATAAGTATTGGATTCATGATTCTAAAACTGTGAATCCATAGGATGGGAATGAAGTTTTCTTCAAGATCAAAAGAACCACACAACTGAAGAAGCTTATGAATGCATATTGTGATCGACAGTCCGTGGATTTCAACTCAATTGCCTTCTTGTTTGATGGTCGCCTCCTCCGAGGCAAGCAAACTCCTGACGAGGTACCATTCTATTTCTCTCACTTTTCTCCACACAATCACAAGCATTAACAGGGCACATGCAGATTTGAATTTGTTCAATGCGTAATGAAATTTTATGTTTCTTTTGCTTCAGCTTGAAATGGAAGATGGTGATGAGATTGATGCTATGTTGCACCAAACTGGTGGCACAAATGCTTCTAATGTGTTCTCATTTGTGTGAAAGAAAGTTTTAGTGTTACTGTTTTTTGCAATTGAAAAGGAGATTTATTGTCTCATTATGTGGATGTTATATATAGACAGACTTATTGCTATGGTAATTATCGAATTTTATGTGTCTGATGAAATGCGTGCCGCTGCTATTCCTGCATTCCTTGTTATACGAAGATCTATATAAATATACCAATAAACTAGACATAAATATACATACCAGAAGCTGACTATTTAGATACTATGGGGAACAAAGAAAATAAATGAATGAAATTATCTCTAACCTGTACCGGTGATATTTTCTTTCCCCTCCTTTCCATGGCTTCTCTTGCATCCTATAGATAGTAACTCAGTATCGGACTGCTAATGTTAGCTTTTGATTATGCTTGTTAAAAGACTTGCATTGGAATATTAGCTTCTCCAGAACAAGGATACCTTCTTGCTTCTTCTAAGCTCAAAATGACAATGTACGAGGACTATATTTACTATGGACTCTCCTCCTCGCTTCTGACTGCAAATCCCATAATAAACAAAATCAGCTGAAGGAGTTGCACATACAGGATTACTGATTGCATCTATAGCACGCCATGAATTAATGAATTTCATGTGTGCATATGTAGCAATTAAAAGAATCATGTCTTTATATGATGCAACGACAAGCAGAGATTGAGAGCTATGGGGTTAAACAAAGATCAACCATACGACTGCTTACTTGATATTGATTTCCACGAGTTGATTTACTTCGTCTATGATCTGAGGTTTGAGATCTTGAGGCTCCACCAAATGGTCTTCGAATAAAATATTGTACATGATTATAAATGCTGTACATTGCACCAAAATGATCATATAAGGAACAAGAATAATTATATGAGATAAAGAATGGGATAAGTTTAAATTGTAACACCTTAGGCGATGTCTGTTGCAGGCTGTGAAGAAGGCAACAAAGCCATTTAATATACTTCTGACAGCACGAAAAACCTGAAACATCACCGAAAAAATAAGTAAAATAATCATAAAGAAAGACATATTTATCAAGTTACAGTAATGTCTAATAACCTGGGAAAAAAGGTCATTCCAAAGTGATCGCCACATGGAAACTTCATACGTGCTCACTGTTGCTTCAGATGCTGAAGCAAGCCGAAGTATGCTACCTAAAGACCGCCATACGTCTCCACCCAAATCAGAGATGAAGCCACACACAAAAGCCACAAAACTGGCTAATGCAAGGACCAGGCGTACTGGTGCATAAAGTATTTCCCATAGAATCCAAAATATAGGAAAAAGGATAGAAGTTGCTGTAGCAGCATGAAATAAGAAAAATGAACATAATTAATATATTGAATCAATGCCCATAAATAAGGAAATAGCTAATGGAATTTCAATCATCTGATGACCTACCAATGCTCTGGAGAACTAAGACAATAAACCATATAGGCATCAGAACAACTTCCATGAGAGAACCAATCACAATCCATATGGCCGAAAAGAAGCTTTCCATTACTTCACTGAACATATTCCAAACTGGAAAAACGTAGCCCAAAACCTCCATAAACGGTTCTGCCAGTGGCAGATAAAGGAAAGAGAAAAATGACCGAGTAGCACGGGTAACTGTCAAAAACCACTGCACAGCCTTCTGAAAGTTATGTAGAAATAGCATAGTTCCCAAGTACTTGATCCTGGATACCATCTCCCAGGTTTCTATCCAATCAAAAAGTGGCCCACATAAACGAGAAGCAGTTGCCTTAAGAACAGGGACATTTTTGTATAAATCATAAAATCCTATTAGAACAGTAATGATTGAAATCAAAACATATAGAGCTCTGGCCAGGGGGCACATCCATGGGCGATAGATCTGGCAAAAGCCAGGATATGATTGAAGGAAAATGACCCAAGATGGAAGACCAGCCTCCAATAAACGAAGTAACCTCAGATCAGGCGTTATTATTTGTTGTAATTTAAATGGGAGATCTCTATCATCAAATCTAAACAAAATAAGAACATCCCTGTACTCTGTAGCTTCGACTGCATTTTCATTAGACTTGTCTAATGAGTTTTCAGATTGCCTTTGGGTTTCCTCACAATAAACATCAACTTCAACTCCAGTACTGATTGCCTTAGTTACTTTCCTTCTCTTATAAGGCCCAGTAGGAGGAGGAGTGTGTGGCTCAAAAGTTTCACAGTCCATGGTTGCAGGGCACACCCAGAAATTGCCACAATGATCACGGGGGAAGTTATCCTCAGTGTTGAAACCATCATCATATATATTTTCCTCATCATCATCATCAAAAGGGATTGGGCTTGGAAAATCTTCTTCAGCATCATAGAAGACCTCTCCTAAAAATAATCCAGATTAAATAGTGTACCAGCACAGCAAATTTGTTTCATGAAGAAAACAAAAAGATATAATGTAGTGTCAGGTGTCTAAGGCCTATCATGTGGTAAACAGCAAAATCAACATGCAGTGGATCAAAGTTAAGATTTTAAATTTTCTTATAAGTGAAAAGCTATGCTATCACAGAAAGACAAAAAGGGAAGTGCACAGCAACGCATTATAAATTATGGTAGATACATAGATTGATACAAAGGCAATCAATTGAACACATCCAGTAATTATTTGACCATTTACCAAACAACACTATAAGGTTCTTGCAAACATGCATCTCCAGTTTCCAATTTCTAAATTTATAACAGTTTTTGGAATCCAAAATGGTATAAATGCTAAGGAAACACAAGCCTGTGCAAGTCAAGAATCATGAAGATAACTTTTCTCCTACTGTCCTAAAATATGACGGCAAAAACATACCAATTGTCAAATCCAGGTACTGTTTCAAACAACGCTGCTCTGAGAATGTTCCGGAGAACCATGAAGCTATGCAGCTTCCTGCTTGATCAATGCTGTCAAATTCCCATCTTCGCATGAACTTAGCCTCTATAGCCAGAGAGGTATCAGTCTGCAAATGAGAAGAAAAGCGTTGAATGCAGAAACCTTGATAGTGAACTACAAACAAAAAAATAGAGCACATACAAGAGCAAAGACCTGAAGCTCATTTAAGTAGTTAAGACCTTGAACATTGGACCATGCAACTTCAAACACAATGAAACCATACAATATCCTATGCAGCTCACTGCTAAGAAGCAAAGAGGTTCTCAGTTTCTTAACAGGTAACAAAACCCTCTTTTTCGACAATGTTGCAGCATCAATCAAAGAGAACCATCTCTCAAACTTCTTCGAATCTTTAGCATTTGCTTTGGAAGAAGCTTCCTTTCCCTCCTTTCTCTCCCTACGACCTTTCGTGTTAGCAAAAGGAGATAACCTGGACTGAAAATAGATGAAGAATGACTTGAATTCAATTATAATCTTCTTACCATTTCCAAATAAAATTATATATATTCATAAGATAAAAAAGCTATTTTCAACAACCTTGGTAACCATCAATTGCCACAAGTGAGCTGGCCTTGAACCTAAGTCTCTAAGCCATGGCCGGTTATCCACCAAAATGTAGAATTTGTTACTTTCAGAGGCCAGGAAAAGACTAAGATCAGAAAGATAAGACTGCAAATCTCTGCAATCACACATTACAAAATAAAAATTCATAAGACATAAGAAAAGCAGAAAAACCTGAAAAAAATAATTAATGCAATAGTCAGATCATATAGTCAGGAAACTCAATAAAATCATAGGGAAAGACTTACATGAAGTTTCATAGGTGAAGTTTATGAAGTTTCTTATTAGAAATGAGTAAATAAAAACTAAAATCGAAAATCAAAACCAATAAATTTAAAGATATCATCACATAGATCGAGCATGTAAAATTTTTTTTAAAAATTATAAATTTTGATATATTTATTAAATAGACATTTTTAGTAAAAATATTGACAGAATTTTTGTCATTAAATAAGTATCAATCAAATTTGAATTGTAAATAATATTTTTGATTTTTTTTTACATATTATTGATCTTCACAATGAACTCTATCAATCTATTGGTTTAGATTTTTTATTAAATTATTTTAAAAAAGGAACTTCATAAACTTTACCTAAAAAACTTCAAGCAAGTTTTGTCCAAAATCACATACATACATAATTCATTTGGAAAAAAAATAATAATGCAATAGTCATATCATTACTTAAGTCTTGGATTCCGATATTTTCCTAAATAGCAAGTCCTTAGAAACACACGAATTTAACATATTAAAAAATAATCATTTAATCTTATCAGAAAAAGTGATCAACAATCGAGGAAATTACAATGTATGAAGAATCGTATTCATAACATTAATGCATAAACTAGTAACTGAAGCCAGAATTTTAATTTAATGGAATTCAATTTAGATAATGCACAGAAATTATAAAGCTAAAAGTTGAAAAAAAAAAAGAAGAAAAGTTAAAGAATTACCCGATTTGGAGACTGGTTAAAGGAAAAACAGAGCGTGTATCATCGTGTTTCCCCATCAAAACAATGCTATAAGCTCCGTTTTGATTTCAAATTATGGCAAATCACTGCTAAACAATTAGCAAATAGAAAAAATCTTATTAATATCCAAAATAAGCAACATTATTATTATTATTATTATTTAAAAAGATTAAGAGAGAGTGAGAGAGAGGTAAATTGACCTTGAAGAAAGGAATTCCATGAAAATGGAAGAGAGGAAAGGGAGAGAAAACGAAGGAAACAATAACTTTTGAACTTCATAACAAAGAAAAAAATAAAAGCGTAGCGAAACAGAAAGAGAAAAAAAAATCAACGGGGGAGAAAAGAGAATCGGAACTAACTTCAAGAAAAGTCAGTGCTATAAATTCAAAATAATCAGACATTAAGGCAAAGAAAAAAAAAAAGAAGATTTTTGTTTTTTGAATTTTTTCGCATTAAATGTAAGGAAATAAGATGGTTGGCGGTTGGGGGAAGGGAATGGAAGGGCGGTGCTTGGCTTGGAAGGCGTGACGAAGGAAAGAAAGATTCGACACGTTAAGGACAGGTCTGAGGATTCAAAAACGACGTCATTTAATTCGAATGACAGAAACAGAAAAAAAGAAAGAGATAGAACTCGTTGACATGAGCTTGGAGAGGTGAAAGGAGAAAGTTATAATGGGAAATTTGGTGAGAGCTTCTGGAGTTATGTTGCTTCCCGCGTCCCTTTGTCGCTGTCGTTGCCAGAGAGAAAAGGGGGACGACGAAGTACCTAAATTATCAGAGCAAGGCAAAGGCTTTTTTTTTTGGTTTTTGTGTTTCTGGGAAGCCAAGAAACCTGGGAAATAACCGAGACATGAGCGGTATGCTACGGCCGTTTCTATCCTATTTATTTGCGTCTTTGTCTTCATACTCTTCATCGTATGCGATGAAAATACAATGATTTTATAATTTTGAACGTAGCCGCGGTGAAAATGTTTTGTAGTAAAGTGGAATGTGTAAATTTCGGTTAAATTTGACTTAAGTGGTATAAAACAAAGAAGATGTTCAATTAATTTCATTTGGATTACTATTAAATATTAATTATGTTTAATAAGAGTTTATATTTAATGTATAAATTTTATATATTATTAATAAATAAAATAATATTTTTAAAAAAATTTTAAAATTAAATTTTATATATTTATTTTAAAAATTCATAAAAATTTATATTTTTCTTATTAACGGGAGCCTTAAAGATTTGATTTTGCCGTTTATCGAAATTGGTGGGGTCTACATTTCACCAAATAGAAAAAGCACATTTACGGGGTGCTTAAAGAATATGCTAGCCTTTTATTAAAAAAAAAAAAAAAAGAATATGCTAGCCTTAAATGCATGTGTAGGCAGGTTAATTTGAAGTTTCAAATTTCAATTCGGTTTTTGGGGGTGGGAAAAGAAAAACAAAAATTGATTTGAAATTATAATATTTAATTTAATTTGAATTTATTTTTTTATTTTATTTAAATTAAATTTAACTATTAAACTTAAATCAGATTTTAAATCTATAAATATAAAATAAAAAAATTAATTAAATCAAATTATTAATTTTTATTAATTTATATATATAATTTTTATAAAATAAGATAATTTTTTATCAAAATTTATTTAAATATATTAAAATTTTATACTAAAATATTATATAAAAACAAAAAATTAAAATTAATAAATTAATAAACAAACAAAACTAATAAAATTCGATTCAGATTATATCATATAAAATGTCAATTTATATTCTAATCAAATTTTAAAATTTTATAATATTATAAAATATTCAAAAAAATCAAATCAAATCTGATTCAATCCAAATAATTATCATTCTTACTGATTTTTGTATATCAATTTTTTTTATATATAATTTTTTCTAATATTTGATATATATTGATATCGGTGTATTTTGATATATCATTTTAGATTTTTTGATATTTTAAAATTTTTTCCAAATTTATGTTATGCTGTAAAATATTTTCAAATAACAAATAAATAAGAACAAATCCAATACATAAAAAAAAAAAATCCAAATATAAAACACTCATGAAGCACATGCAATTCAAATAAATTACACCAAATTCAATACATTAAAAACCAAGATTATGTGTGAGAATACAATATTAAATGATATAGAATACACTATATATTTTCAATTGATACGATATAAATATATTGATATATTTAATATAGATTAATATACATCAACACATACTCAAGACTAAATGTATCAATTTAGAGTAAAATTAATACATATCAATAAATTAGATCAATATCGTTGTAATATTGAAAACTTTGAGAAAAATTAAAAAATTTTACATTCAATTTTGGGTTAGACTATAATCACTTGTTAAGGGGTTGTTTATGAAATTTTGTTATACTTCATATATTTTTATTTAATAAAAAATATTTTTAAATTAAAATTTTAAATAGCTTTAACAAAAAATTTACAAACAACCATTGATCAACCCTTTTAATAAAATCACATTGGACCACCCCATTGGACCCTATATTTTTCAATCTAGTTTGGCAAATCCTTATCCCATTGGATAACTTCAAGTTGACTTCGTTCAATAAGTAGCATATCATATTAATGGTCGGAATTGAATGATGGCAAATTGCAATGTATAATTTCTTTATCTCAAATGGAACATTTTAAAATTTTTTTCACAAGTTATAGATTAAAAAAATAATTTAAAGCCAATTAGTAATTTCAACTTATCAACCAAATTTATCTTCAAGCCTTTTATACCCCATTATGCGTCAAATAATAATGAAACAAATTATATATGCAAAGGCTTCTAATGCGTGGGTGAAATGTGAGATTTTTTACCATTAATAATTTAATTCTAAATGTTACATGAAAATTATACAAAAAAATATATAAATAATAAAATTAAAAATTAAAAAAATTATATATGACTTTGATAAAAATAAATTTTTTATATTTAATGTAATGATATGAATAATGATAAAATAATTTTTATGTTTATACGTGTTTGATATAAAATAATTATTATATAAATATATGAATTATTGAATCTTTTAAAATAAATAAACGGTAAAAGGGAACTATGGTAAGTAACATTTTTTAATAAAATTATTTTTGATAGTTCTAGAATTAAAAGAATTTGTATATTAAAAAGTTAAGATGATAATTTAATAAAGTTTTTTTAATGCAAATTTTGGTCTAAAAATTAAAGAAATAAGTAAGAAAAACAAGGTGGTATGACACATTTTACTTAAAATGGAGACGCCCATACTCTAACTTCACCTTCTGATCTGACACACAAATAAAAGAAAAGGCTATACTTTAAACTGCCTTGCAATGGCTCCCAACCATAAAAGGAAAAGCAGATAAGATGCGCGAAATTCGAAAAGCGCACTGACTTTAAGCTCAAAGGAGGGCCGTGGCAGTTGGCCCCACCTAATCAGGGATCATACCCACCTGATTTTTTTGAACGCATCGGAATAAAAGAATCGGAACAATCAGATGTTTCGTGGTAGGGCCCCCAGGTAGCCTGTTGATTTTGTTTGTTTGGGGGTGGTGTAAAATAACAGGGTAGGACAGATTATAGGGAATTAAAATTATTGATGATGGTTTGGATGGATCATTCAGGGATATGCGCATGGGTTGTTATAATTGACATCATCATCAGTTGGGGGTTTTTGTTTTTGTTTGAAGAGGAAAAACATAAACAAAAGTGGAAGCCAGTAAGCTGAGTAGGCAATGCAGATGGTCACATGGAATAGCCATGCATCATGCATGAAACAGAGTTTGGATCATACTTTGCTGTATCTCTTCATCAGCTTCTTTATGGGGGGTCCTTTCCACATGGCGTGATACATGTTTTCCTGACCGCTTGTGATACATTATTGACAACTTTTCCATCACATTTTTTTATTTATTTTTTGAATTAATTCAAGTAAACTTATTTACATAAAATGAATTTACGAAAATTTATTTTTTAATAAATTCAAATCAAGGCATCCAAGAAAAATAAATAAATTTTTTGATCATTTGAGTTAATATCTGTTATTTAGTATATATTAAATTATATAATGATAATTGATTTTTTTTACTTCATAAATTTTAAATTATTCATTTTTTCTTGCAACTTGGATTTTTAATATTTATTACAAAATCTATTCATAACTAATTAATTGGTGATGGTAAATGCTTCAAAAAAATTAATAAAAAAAAGCAGATAAAATGTAAGTTGGCTATAAATATACGATGGAATCTTTAAATTTAAAGATTTTACTAGTTTTAAACTTGTGTTATGCACGGAAATCAATTATATATATTTTACATACACTACTATTTAAAAAGTAAATGATTATTTATTAAAAAACAAAATTTTTATTTTAAAAATTAATATATTTATAAATTTGATAAGAAATTATATTTTCATAATAATAAATAATGTTAAAAATCTCATTTTGTAATATGGGTGGTGTATGTGTGTCTATATATATATAAAGATGAATCAATTTATACTAATATAAAATTTTTTAATTTTGTACAATTTTTTAAGCATTGATAAATTCAAAAGATGAGATTAAACTTTTTTTTTTATTTATTTCTCTCATCTCTTGAATTTATCATAATCAATTATCAAAAAAAATATGTAAAACTTTTTTGATGTAAATTATATATATATATATTTATTGGTATCTACAATTAACAATTTAATATTCATACTTATCTCATCTTTATCATAAATTTATAATTTAATAGATACAATTAAATTATCTTACTTTTTATCTCTACAACTAAAACACATAAATTTTCAAAACAAATTAAGTAAAAGAATTGTTATGTATTAAAACAAATACCATATTTATTTGATTAGTGAAATTTCAATCAAAATTAGTATTGGATTGACTTAATTAAGAAAATCATTAAAATGCTTTAAGTTAACATGCAGTTATAAAAAAATATATTGAAAATGAAAATCAATTATTTATTTTAAGGTTTCATTGTTTTTTTTTAATTAGAAAAGCTCTCCAAAATATTTTTCAGATGTAATTTTTTATTGACAAATTTTTGACAAGCATAAAAAAAAGAATTGTTTTGAGACCTATTTGGTAATATATTTTTAATATGTGCAATTATATGAATTGAAATATAAAAATTAAAATACAAATATTGTAAAAAAAAAGAGTGCATGATAAAATGTTGAATATAAAGTTACATTGAATCAATGTTTTTGAATTATTTGGTGAAAATAAATATATCACTTACATTAAATTTTGTATTACTTATCTTATTATATATTATAAAAATAAAAATAAAAATAAAAAGCTAATTATGTCTTTTAACAATTTTCGTTAATAATAAAATTTATTTAATTGTTTGTTATGAATCATGTTAAATATTAAATAGCAAAATTGTCTAAGCTATTATTTTTAAAAATTTTAAATCATCAAATAATGATGCATATATTAGAAAATAAACATTAAACACACCTCATATTTCTTATTTAATTCTTTTATTCAATAACAATTAAATTAACCATGACTAAATAGTTGGTCATGATAAAATTGTTGACAAAAGGCATCATAAAATGGCATAAGTAAAAGTAATTAACATCTTAGTTTAAAATTTATGCCATTGTACCCAAAAAAAATTATGTTGTTGATTCATGTAAAGCAAAGTAAACTAAAAAAATATAATAGAATAAAATCACATATGAAGACACCTATTTTGTATTTTATTTTCTCTTTTTTATTATTATTTTTTTTTTTTTTTTCTTGTAACTTTTTTGCTAGCCACCTGACAGCCACTGATAGTCGCCTTAATAGCCATCGGTAATCATATTGACAGCCACCAACCATAATCTCACAAATCCCATATTTTTTGGGATTTTAATATTATTTTTTGGCTCTATAAATAGAGCCACGAAAACCCATAACAAAAAAAAAAATGAAAAAAGAAACTCCACAAAAAAAAATTACTAAAAAAAAAAAAACCAGTTAAAAAAAAGACTTTGTTAAAAAGCCAAAAAAACCAAACAAAAAAAAATCACAAACCCAAAAAACACAACCCCTATTAAAGGGTATTTTTAGCGCAAAAAACACAAAAAAATATTTTTTTCATTATGACGAAAAAATTTAGACTTGATCTATGCCCTTTTAGGCCGTTTCTCACAAAAAAATAAGATTGGATTTGAGTTCGGGGGTCGAAAATAATTTTTTAGGTATTTTTTAAGAATTTTTTTAGTACACTCAATGGTGACCGACGACAACACCGGCAACCGATAACGGTGGCAACAAGAATTGCTGAAAATTGGAGAAATGAGAGAAAATAAAAATTATGGGGAGAGGAGAGAGAAAGAAGAGAGAAGGAGAATGAAGGAAAAAAATGAAGGAGTGGGGTGTTTTGAGGGCTATTTATAGTGAAATTAAAACGATCTTATTTTGATTAAAGTGGTAGCCAAGCCACCAAATCGAGCCAGAAATAAAGTCGAGCATAATATTTAAGTCGAGCCGTATATCTAAGCCAAGCTGATTAAGTCATTGACTATAAGTCCGAGCCAGGAATAGAACCAACTGTATATCCAAACCAAGCTGATTAAGTCGGTTGACTGAGCCGTCTAAGTTGTTTTGAACTTTTGACCGGTGTTGACATTAATTGCTAAACATAAACTTATTAAAAATTTAATGAACAAGAATAAAGAAAAATATACAATAATTGATAAAAATTAATTAATAAAAAAAATAATTTAAAATGTAAGAAAAAAAAAATTATTCCATGATGAGATTCAAAGGTACTCTGAATAGTGATACTTACAAAATCTCTAGATAAGAAGATTTTTTAAAATACTACTAGTATATTGAAGTATTCATAAAAAGTTTTCAATACAATAAAAAAAATTCTTTTTTATTAATAAAAAATAAAATTAACTAATAAACTAAAAATAAAGTGATAAAAAATGAGAAAAATAAAATTTTATCTGATAATGAAATTCTAAAAGTATTTCTAGTAGAGATGCTTTAAGAAATCTCAATGTGAAAATATTTTTTTAAAATATTACAAGTGTATTATAATATTTATAGAAAATCTTCAATATAATAAAAAATTTCTTTTATTAAAAAATTTAAATAAATAATAAAAAGATAATAAAAATCAATAATAAAATGTGTGCATTAACATATTAGTATTTTTTGCATTGTGTGCACAACATGGTTTTTACAAAAAATAAATTCAAATCTTAAAATATGAGATTTTAAGGTATTCCAAGAAGTGATGCTTAAGAAATTTTTAAGTAAAAGGTTTTTCTAATGTTACCAATGTACTTAAACATTTTAAGAATTATTTCGATAAAAAACGTTATAATTTATTTTTCTTGAATAAAATTTGAGCACTAAAAAAATAAAATAAAATTAAAAAAATCAATTTCCAATAAATGAAAAATAAAAAAAAATTATGTTTCAAATATCGAAAATAAGATTATTTTTATCAAAATTAATGGATAACACATAATTAATCGGTACCGTTTTAAACGGGAGCTATAGGGGTGCTAATCAATCCCCACGCATTATCAACTCCTAAACTCAGACTGTTTCGTAGATCATAAAATTATCTTTTTAATAAATTTTAATTAATTTTAAAATCTAATTAAAATGATAAATTTTAATAGGTGACCAATTGTACATAGCCAAAAAAGATTGGTGGTAACTTTTTTTTTTTTTAATTTGTCAAACGGACACAAAACTATTACGATAATATATATTAAACATAAATAAACATGATGTTTGAAAAAATTAAAAATGAAAGGCAAAATCTTAAAATGAAAGTAAAAAAAAAAATTTATGTTTTCTTCCCCATTTCATGAACTGTGAAATTTTTGTCTTGTTATTTTGAAATCAAAAAGAGATTCATGCCAATATGAAATTTTAGCTAATAGGAAAGTAAATGACTTAAGATCATTAAAATTTAATAAATTATAAATGGAGTTGCTCTAACATAATGCCATTGATTCATATAAAGCAAATTAAACAAAAAATATATAATAGAATAAAAACACATGTATTCAACTCAAATAAACATGATGTTCAAAAAAATTAAAAATGAAAGGTAAAATCTTAAAGGGAAAGTAAAAAAAAAAAATTATGTTTTCTTCCTTGTTTTATGAAATGTGAAATTTTTATCTTGTTGTATTATAAAAATTTTAGATACAATATTTTGAAATCAAATGGAGATTCATGTCGGTATGAAATTCAAGCCAATGGGAAAGTAAATGACTTAAGATCATTAAGAATAAAATGAATTATAAATGGAGTTTAATTGAATATTCATAAAATATAAAGAAAAGAGAGGTAATACCAAATATAATAAAGTAAAAATATTTATTGGTTGAAAAAGCTAAACAAAAGATAAACAATACCTAAAGTAAAAATAATACATTTTAATTGTTAATATTGATTGAAAAACTAAATCAAACTAAAAATAACTAAAAATAAAAATCATTGGTTGTATATAAAAGATTCAATGTAATTTTTTGAGTAGAGATTTACCTAATTACAACTGAACAAATGCATTTAAAAGGTTTTGATGAACCTTTAAATAATTTTAGTATAAGATGATTCTCTATTTATAATAGAGAAGCTCTTGTAAAATTTGGTGTAATTTAAGCAAAAAATTATAATAAGTTATTTAATTATCAACATGTTTTTAGCTTTTTATTTTGAAAATTCTACATTTTATATTTTAAAAACTTTTGATTAAGAGTAAATTATGCCTTCAAATTAAAATGTTTTATATAGTAATTAATAACTTGTAGTATGATTCTTAAAAAAAGACACCTATATAATATATAATGAAAAATATGTTTAAAAATAATTAAGCTTTTATTTTTATTTGAATTCTCAATATTAAATGATTTATATATTTATTTAGGTTAGTAGATTACCTTATTAAATAACCAAATTACATTCATTAATTAAAAAGTCAATGAAAAAAATCAGCGGTTTGACAATGAAAACCTATTCATATCTCAAAAAGTAGAATTGAATATTGGAAAGTAAATTTTTTTTACATAAATGTAATTCAAAGTTGAATATTTATAATTAAAAAAGGTCTTAACAAAATTATTATATATATTAATGATATCAATTAAACTTTTATTACATTTTTTTATAAATTTAAATAAAAATGATTTAAGGTAAATAAAAATCAATTTATTTGATTTATTTTTTTTGAATTATTCAAATACATTTATTAGAGAACACATGTTAATTTTTTTATATTGTTCACATATAAAAAATGTAGACTATTTACATCATATTATTATTTTTTTGTTAGATTTTTATATATTTTTATAAGATTATATGTCTTATTCGTATCATTCCGATTAGCTTTTGAAAAGTGTTGTACAAAACTGCTTAATTTTGATAACCAAACGCCACCTTTCTTTTCACTTAAAAGAAAAAGGCAAATATGTTGGAAGATTGAATGCCAAAGAATTAGAAGCTAATTGGGACTCAAAATTAAGAAATTATTAAAATTTAAATATTATTATTTATTTATTTTGCAAGGTTTAATTAATATTTAGTTAATAGGTTTACATTCATCTTTAAGTATAGTATAATCTAATTAAAAAGAAAATTAAAAATAATTGTAATTGAAATCTATCACTATCATGTAGACCTATTCAAGGGTCAGATTATCTGTCTATATTCAAATGTCAACTTAAAGTTTGATAGGATTTGGATAAAAAATTAAAATTTATTAAATATATTTAGATATAATTTTTAGGTCTATTTAAATTTTAGACTGAGTTTTAGATAAAAAAATTAAAACTCAAGTCAAACCTAACTAAATCCGAATGAAATATATACAATTAAAGTATTATATGTGAATTTTTATTTTTTTTTAAAATTAATTTTTATTATATAAATTAGCTTTAATAAATAAATTTTGAGATTTTTTTAAATTTAGGTTAGATTTAAAAAAAATTTTGAAATAAAAAATATTATTTTAAAATAAATATATAAATTATTAATATCAAATGTAAATCTGATGGAACTCAAACCCGGCCCATAAACATTTCTCCTATCATGTTATTTAAACGAGTCCGGACCAAACATTTTGGGCCTATTCATAACGGGCATGAAACCCGTTTCGGCCATTGAGATCTAGGGTTTTACTTCACTGCTCTCTATAAAATCCCCAACTAAGTTTCTCTTTCCCTCGTAGCGAAAATCATGTAAATAATGTAATTCCAGGGTTCATGACAAAGGGGTATTTTTGTTTTTTGTTCTGTTTTTTTTTTTTTTTAAATTCGTATTGGATTTCTGGTGTTTATTTTGATAGGCTGGGGAAAAATCTTAAGAGCGAAATCCCAATGAGGAAGAAATCCCATAGATAGGAAGTGCCGTATGACACTTAATCAGCAGCGGCAACACGCTGAGGAAAACCACCGTCTTCCCATCCGCCAATCTCAGCCCTCTGATTCTTGTTCTTAGGTGCTTGTGATTGGCCGGGAATCCACGCGGGGATTCCTAAAAGCTTGTTCCGCTGTGTGTTTGATTTGAAACGGGTCTCTGAGGGTACTTTTTTGTTTCTGAAAAACCATTATCAGTTTCAATTCTTAATTTACGGGGCGTCGGGTCCGATGCCACGTCGCCGGTAGCAAAAAAAAAGCAGTGACCGGCGATGCTATGATTGGACCGAAAGCAATCTCATGTTTCGCTTGCTGATAGGAACCTGTGGATCTGATTCCTTGCGATCTACGGTGCCGTTTTCGGCGATTACATTTTTTCTTTTTCAAATGATTGTGGAAGCCAATGAGGATTTGTTATATTTAAATTGTTGGAATTACCGACTGAATTTTGTATTTTGATGTCAATTTCACTGGCTGTCTGAGGCTTCGTATAATCTGCTTGATTTTTTTTCTTGGCGTTTGGTTTCAATGCTTCGCCATTTGTTATTTTTTTAGTTTTAATTTAGATTTCAAACGCTTTTGAACTTTTGAGTTCATGTTTTTTTAGACAGAATACGTCATTAATTTAAAATTGCAAAATTGATTGATGTCAATTAATGCAGAGTCATATAGATCACAATGTATATCCAAATTTTTCGATGTGGGAATGTGAGACGTGATTCCTATTTATTGGAACATTTAAATATCAATTTTGAAGGATCCTTTGCTAGTGGCTCGTGTAAGCGAAGAAAACATATATTTTATTTTTTTTAGTGATGAGATTCGTTAGTTATTTAATTTGAGTTAATGCGAAACAATACCCAAACTTTTCGACATGGGAAGCCTTGGGTTCATGTTTGTTTGCGCAGAAAAACCGAGAAAATTTCAGCAGAAAAACTGATTTCCTTTATTATTATTTTACCACTCACAAAAAAAAATTGGAATCAAAACCGAAGGAAAGATTAGGGCATCAAATCCATGTTAATAATCAGATTGGATTGGATTTGCCAAATGAAATTAGCTTTGATTCTTGCCTGATATTGAATCTCACTAAGTTGGTGGAAAGAACCTGTTGAGATTGAATGGCAAAGTGTAAAACTCGTAATTTCTATTGTCTCCTCTGAATGTTCTGAACTTAACCCACCATGGCATCCCTCGATCTTTCTTTGATTTTTCCACCTCTAACGTGTTGTCCAGAAACACCGCGACGATCAGACCAACCATTGCCGGAGATGAGAATATGGTGTTCAGAAATGCATTGAACTGCAAGGACACTTAACCTGTATCAATGGCAATTTCAACAGGATTCTACCAAGTTTGGCAACAATGCTTACCCATCCTGCATTGGTGTGAACAAGGCCCCGGCGAGTTGGATTCCAATATTCATTAAAGAATTGTGGGATGGAAATTCCAAGGAAGAGTGATAGCCCTGTAACAATGAGGTTTCTCATGCAATTCATGTTCGTGAATTGGAGAAAGGACAATCCAACTGAAGCTGCAAAGAAGAAGGAAATTTGTCATTGAGGATATAAACAGCATGAAAACAACAGAAAGTAATACTTACCCACAAGGCCAAAGAGAACACAATATAGTGCTGCAAATATTGGGAAAGGTATGGATGCAAAGACAGCTCCAAATTTTCCTGCAAAAACATGTGTCAAAATACCATAAAGTTAAGCATGATTCCTCTTGAGATCCCCTTAGTGTATGTGTCATGCCAAGCGCTCGAATAGAGTAGACAGGGTGCATTAATCCCACATCAGATGGGAAAGGGAAGGTCACCTGGCATACCTAAGGTTGAGAAAAATATCATGAAGGCAGCAGATATCTGTACAACTCTGCGACTTCCAACTCGGCTTAGTCCAAGGAGTCCAACATTTTCCCTGTGACATGTCAGATGTCTATCAACATGGGGAAAAAAATACAACTCTTGCAGCATGCAGCAATAGCTGGTCTCCAAGTATATCTTACACAGAAACAGTAGAACCAGTGCCTGTTCCGAATAGACCATCAAGCAAGATGCCGATCCCCTGCAGAAGGATAATGAAAATCATCCAACAAAGATACTTGAATGAAATATCAAATTATGAAAGTTAATATAAGGCTAGTCAAAATGACAACGGTGAAATTGATAATTATGTATAGTTGATAATGTATGCAAAGCTAGACGGATGATGCTCATGGCTGAGGATGAAAAAGGTCAGTTGTTTATTACATTGAAGCATGATTTGAAACAATAATCTCCATTATCTAGCATGCATTGTCTTTTCCCCCACAGAGCAAAATTGCTCGCTTTTATCTTCATCATAGACTTTTCCCCGGATGATAAAAGATATGTTACAGTCAATAAGTACATGCTATTGATAGATAGCCGATGAGGCCTTCTCTTTAACTGTAAGATGAAAGGCTCTCAAACAATTAGGCTCTAGGTTCAAGTCTCATCATGTATGGGTTTGATCGGCATTGGTCTTTCATCAGTTATATAATGGTATGTTGGTTATTTGTTAGTCGATTTCTTTCTATAAGGGCTTGTTTGGTTGATGATTTATGTATTGCCTACTTATAAATGAACATGTACCCATCAAAAGAAAAAGATATAGACAGTGATAGCAATGTTAAACCCACCCACCCACCTGCCAGCCAATGCCACGGCTTAACACATTAGCTGGAGGTGGAGTAGCAATAGCCAATCGAGATGCTGCCTTGTATGCTCCGGTCGACTATAGCATAGTTAACATTAAGAAGCAACTTCATCAACCACGAAATCGTTCACGGAAGACTTGTTAGATTGAACTTTAAGTAGAATGTACCATCAATAAGATGTACCTCAACCATAGACACTAGAACAGCAGACATCATAGCAAAGGAATGGCCAGCTGAAAATGTAGGAGGACCCCATTGAAAAGGGTATGGGAACTTGAACCTGAATCGTAATACATTAATGTCAGAAGCAGTGAAAACAGAACACAAGTCAACAGAAGCTGAAGTTGATGTTTTGATATACCATGGAGCAGTAGATATGAGATTTGCTCTGTCAGTACGGCAACTAAATTGAGTACCATTTGGCTTGTCACGGTAAGCCCCACTGGCAGTCAGTATAAGGGAATAGATCCAAATGATTGCAACACAGATCAATACAGGAAACCTTTCAAAAATAGGGACATCTCTTAACGGTCTCACATGCTTTAGATACTGCAATTCACATTGTTATGTGAAACATAAGCAAAATAAATACATAAATGAATACATAAACAATTTACACTAAACACTTACTTGCGACACGCCGATCACCAACAACAGCATAGGCAGCCCAATTTCCACACAATTTCCCAGCTGAAACAAATATTGCAAACAATGAATCAGAGGTATGTAATACTCACATAGAAACAGGAAATACACCATCCAGCTGATCTCAGTAAGTTTTGATATAGTGGTTACTTCAAGTGCAAGCATAATTTATCTGTTAAACTAAAACATTGCGGTGGAAAACGAAATTTGGATGGTAGACAAAATTGGAATTTAAAAGAATCTCATTCTTAAAGAGTTAAATAAACAATCTTAGTATTGATAACAAACTGCTCACTTTTAACTAACTGAGAAAATGAAATGAAATATGTTTGGGTGGAACTGTAATATGATAACTTAATGTTAACTAGACCAATGCATCCATTAACTGCATATATATATATATATATATATATATCCCAACGGAATCTAATTTTTATTTACTTCATGTAACAGTTGATAGAAGTTCCATACTTGGGGTCAACAAAACGGACACACGATGTAAAAAAAAAATCCCTTCTATAGCAATACTTACCAAAGGAAATCCTCTCTGAAACAGTCCCAAGCCTACCAATGCAACCACTGGTGCCATACCCAGAGGGCTGAAAAACCTGCATGGAAAATGCAAACAACAGTGAAGAAAAAAATAATCCAGAAAAATATAATCCAACACTGGTTGGCTAACAACTTCACATTTTCATATGCTACCAACGTACCGTGAAAAAAGACCCCAAAGTTGGCTGTATCCCATCATAATTTGTATGCTTGAGGCTATAATAAGAGATCCTTGAATAGCTCGCATCGTTTGTATAAATCTCTGCAAACCAATCACATTGGAAGATCTCTTTCAATTACCCCAAGCAAATAAGAAAGTTTTATTAGATTCACCCACTAAAAAGCATACATCTGTAGAATTTAAAACAAACTGTTTCCAATAAGCAGCTTATTCTTAAGAAGAAACCCATTTAAGTCACATTTCCTTGGCCCATTATTCTGAACCAATGCCAATAGGTGGGTGTAACAAGCAATTAGAAGTTATGCATTTTTACATGATTACAATGATGTCCATGATGAATCAATTTTACAAGGTAAGCTTGTTAGGACATTGACTCCTGCTTACCAGATATTACTCTATCTCAATAATAAGTCCTGACTATTAAGTGGTGATAAAAGAAATCCCAATTACCTAAATTGGTTATCCAGGCACATAAATATAATGAGGGTCTTTTCACCTATTACCAATTGGTTTTAAGTTGGATGCCTATTACAAAATTTAACATGGTGTTAGAGCAGATGCTGCCCCTCTTATTGTTCCCTCCGAGATATGCCTATTATCCCTACATGTCGCAGGTCTGTTATTAACATAAATAACTATTACCTATTCGCCTTAGTTTGGATGGCCATCTAAAATTTAACACCGACAGTATACAATATTAGAGTTCTTTGTCCTTCTCCAATTAAATATTGGAAATATAAGAGTTGCTCTTTCTTTGAGCAAGGACTCAAATGTGCCAGCTGCTAGGTTAGAAAACAAAATTTGATTACTATGTTTGCTAGCATGCATATTTTCACAAAGTTCTCATGGTCAACTACTATGGAGTAAAAGTTTGTTTCAACCTCGTCAGCTATATTTATATGGTTCTCAAGTGCTCAAAAAAAAGGTGGTCAACGAGCAACTTACTTCATGTTGATTGCTAATTCGTTGCAATGACGAGTCATTGATTATATAGGCTATTGGGATGACATAAGCATAAGAGCCTCCGACAATTGCTGGCAACCTTGTTCCGAAAAGTGTTTGTAGAAGCGTGTTAATGCCAGCTACGAAGAGCAAAGTTTGTATTACCCGTGCTTTGTCCCCCTGGTCTTAAGCAAAAAAAAGGATAAAGAAACAGAATAGGTGTTAAAGAAAAGAAGAAAATTTTAACTGAAGGATACATGCATGACCTATAATGGAAAATAGTGCCTCCAAGATCCTCTAAACTAAAATCCAACCATATATGATTACCAGTTCTCAATCTACTGTGAAATTGAGAAGGGAATAGAAGAAAAAGAATAAAAAAAAAGAAGCAAAGGCAAGGTTTAATTTCAACTCCTTAATCAATGGCATATTAGCTTCAAAAATAATACTAGTTGGGAACCAATAACTTGGTTCAAAGCTACCATCATAGTTCATTGGCATGGCAGCAAGTCAGAAGCTCATGATACAAACCAAGCATGAATCAAGAGGTTGAGTATAACCAGCTTACATCGCTTCCACCCATTGCTGGGACAAGCAATGAAGGGATCATTACACTTGTACCCAACATCAGGATGTAGTTCTGAAATGCTAATAGGATGGTTTCAGCTGCAAGAAAAGCTTTCTTTATCAGCATGTGCAAGATATTCAGGAAGAAACTAGACACCTACACATTTGAACTCAACAAAGTCAAAATGAAGACTTGTTTCTAATTAGCATTAGTTTAGACTTAATTGAATTAATATTTAAGGGATTGATGAATTATTTACAATAACGAGGTATAGAGTGACAAACCTGTATGTGCACATAAAAAAAAAACTTGCATATATACAGATATAGAAATGAGATTGCTTTTGAACTACAGGTATGAATAAATAACTAGAATCCCTTGTCCCCTAAATTTTATTCAGCATGCTGCTACAGGTGGGAACAAAAAACTAGAATTCCTTGATTCTTGGGGTTGATCCACGTTGATATATGATGAAAGAAATTTCTACTACCCCCTTTTGTTGAGGCAGAGGTGAGATCTACATCAATGAAACTGTTTAGAAGAAATCATGCATAGTATTCCTTTATGGGCTCATGATGGGAAAATTCACCAGATTTCGACAACCTATCTACTAGACCTAAATCATACAGAAGTTATAAAAACAGTAACATCCACCAAAAACATCTTATCATAGTTGCATCTATGATGGAATGCTATCCTTAAGCAAAACTTGTTCCCTGTATGGACCACAAATGTTTTTTTGTCAATATTGAACTTTAACCATCAATCTTTAAAGGCTTTGTTATTCATCCAGCTCACCTTCTCTTCATCCTATTTTTGTGTCTACATGGCCCAATGTTATGCTTATAGATTGTTGAAAGTCAAGGTTCCATACAAAGGGCAAGAGGAAAGTACCCAAGTAATGCAAATGAAAATAGAGAATTAACTAGTAGCCCAATCAACAGTTAGGCCTAACCTTAAAACCAGGGACTACAAGAAATATCCTTATGAAAACTGAATTTATTACTTGGTCCTTCACTTCTTTAAGCTGCAAAGCATTTAACTTTTGTGTTTCTCAGCGATATGGAATTCGCATGGAGGTTATAAGAGCCTACAAAAGGACCAAACCTCAACCTATCTTTTCTTAGACATTTATCTCACATGTATCAACTATTATCCACCTTCTCCCAGCTTCATTTTATATTTAAGTAGAAAATAGGTAGAACATGCAGAGCCAGTGGTGATTTTCAAGTAAGGTGGCAATGGTGGTCAAATAGGTTCCCTTAAGGGAGTGCAGACTGATAATTTAGCAGCTACTGGCAAGGATTTTCAGAAGTCTGATGGTTCACATGGCAAAAATAACTTTGGTGTTCAAAAAAGTGCAATGATCACATCTCTAAAACTTGAACAAAACAATGTAGACTCAATTCCACCTATCTCACTCAGAATCTAATTGTTATCATAGAAGAAGTGCTGAAATTCAAAGCCTTCTCAATAGGTCAAAAACCACCACCATCCTCATCAATAACCAAACAATTCTAAAATTAGGAACCTATACAATTTAACAAGCCCATTGAAACAGCATATCCTAAAATGGATTACTAAAAGCAAATGCATGATCTCTTCCAACATGGTATCAATAATTTGATTGAATTTATACCAAGAGAAGGTAATTACAAGTACAAGTATGTCATTGTTATATGCTTGGGACCAATTGATATCTTGTCTCAGAAAAAAAAAAAAACCTCTCCCAGGCTGCGGTCATTGCAGTCATACTGAAGGCATGGTCCCCAAAACTTGCATGAGTTTACCACATTTCCAAGTTGACGACTATTATCATACAAAGCAAATGATACCCCGTATTTCATTCATCAAGCATGACCACTTTAGTAGGCAACCAAAGAGGATTGTTCTGTTAGGTAAAAGGAAATTAAAGAAATGCCATTCCATTCAGTAAAGTACCAAATCCCAAACACCATGATTATCAAAGAATTCTCCGTCAGAAAAAAAAAGTTGCAAAAGTTTGTTGCTTTCATGATAATTTTTCAGACTATCCAAAGAAATCATGGAAAGGCAAAAACTCCATTGGCCTCAGAATCATGAAAAAAAAAAAAGAATAGAAAGAAAATCAGCATTTTGTCACGAAATGAAGGAAAAAAGGTTAGCAACAAAATGTTACATTTATTAAATATTATAAACAATGATATTACAAACAAAACTTAAGAAGCACAATTAAAAAGTGGAAAAAGTAATTTTTTTTTAAATCATTTTTTTCCTCTACTGGGGTCAAGTTCATAACAATGCCACAATAACTCCTATTACATTGACAGATATACAAAAAAACAACCCTTTTGTTTTTTTAGACAAACAACTCTTTTGTTTTTAAACATAACTAAGAGTCTATAACCCATAAGTTCATTTTTTTTTCTTTTGTTGTTTCAGCTTGCACCGTGAGAGAGTCATAACTAATAAAGCTTAAAGCCATTACTTCAATGGGAACACCAAAGAGAAAAATGGCAGAGACCAGAAGACAAACAACATGCAAATTTTAAGTTCAAGACCCACCGTCCCATTTCTCTCATTTACAGCTTTTTTTAGTTATAAAAGAAAAAAAAAAGAAACACTAGACAAAAGAGAAAGAGAGAAGTACACGCACCCCAAGGAGGGTTAGAGTCTATGCAGTAATCAAGGTCTTGAAGCTGGTCCATAGGAGGATGGGTTATTTCTGCCATTGTTATTAAGCTTTGGTAGAGAGAGAAAAGAAGTTGAAGACGAAGAAGAAGGGAAGCTGAGGACAAAGTAAAGTACAGATATAAAGGGAAGAAAAGTAGCTTCCGAGGAAATAAAAATAATAAAAAGAGAATAATATGTCAATGAGCAAAAGCAAAGAAGCGATGGGTTCTCAGTGAAGACCTCCAACACCCCCCCCCCTTTCTTCTGTGGCTGGGTAAGCTGCTTTAGTGTTTGCTCTTGATTTCTTACTTTATTTACCACATAGCCATTTGGCCTCCACATTTTCTCATGCAGCAGTAAATGAAAAGGAGTACAACAGTGTACCATCTGAAAGCCACAATAACAAGCACGTACGCCAGGGCCCCCACTATGAATCCCAGACGGTGTCGTTGTGATGTCGTTTTCAGAGAATCAACATGGATGGGCCTTGGTCAAGAACTTGATAAAAAAAAAAATTGTGATACATTCTAATATTTGCTTCAAGTCCAAAGAATCCTAACCAATCGTGGTATCTAATATTAAAAAAAAAATGGATGGGCCTTAGGCCCTTACATTTGGATATTTTTAGTATGGTCCCACAAAAAAATATATACTAAAGGGATTGGCTAGGTATACGAAAATGGAAGATAGGAATTAATGTTGTGATGCAAGTCTTTACTAAACAAGTTCATAAGCAATAAATATTTGATGAAGGGCACGTGTTTTCTAAACAAAGTTTTTTGTTCTTTGCTTGTTTTGTTTCTTGATGGCATGACATGGCATGTGTGAGTGGTCAGGTTTTAAAAATTAAAAAAAAATTCAAATCAAATTTGATTCTGATCCATTATTACTTTAAAATTTTACTATTATTTACATTTTTTTTAACGTGACAAGAGGCCATAATCAAATGCTAGGGATTATAGAGTATTGCCGAATGAATATTAATTCAAATGATATGTATCTTGAATAAATTTTTTAAAATCGTGGATTGAAATTTTCAAAATACAAAATTCTGCATTTTAACTTTTACTTCATGTAGTTTCTATCTGATGTTCCATTATATTTTACTATGCATTTGTATTTGATGCTTTTGGTACGGCTAAGAATATTGCAACAATTATTCCAACAATCTTGTAAGGAATATACAAATGCACTCCAATTAATGGACGTGTCTACTAAAGTAAACGAAATTAATTAAATTTATCATAAAAATTTTATGATGAAACAAGTTGAACACGGAAATTTTGGTGCCAAAGGGAAAGAATGTACTCTTTATGAAATTAGAAAAAAAAAGTTTTAAGTTTAATGTATTTAGTATTAAAATTAAAATTTCATAATTTTTAATGTCAAAAAGTAAAAAAAAAATCATAAAAATAAATTTAAAATATAAAAAAATAAAAGTTTTAGTCGTTTAAAAAAGGAAATAGAATATAATTTTAAGACATTCCAAAAAGAAAAGATGAACATAGAAAATAGGACAGAAAGAGTACCGTTTTTCATTCCATGTCATTTTCGGGTCCAAAATACAAAGTACGGGACACTGAGATTAAGATAAGGAGGCACCCGACGAGTCGACTGAATGAAGGATCGATTCTTGAGGTGCCTATGCTCCATAACTGTGATAAGGCAACCTGAAACATAAAGCACAAAGCCAAAAATCAATATGATTGGTGAAAACCTGTTTGATTTGATCATGAATGCTAAAACAACAACAACAACAATGGCCAATTAAAATTGTAGAAAATCAAGCAATTTGAGTTTCTCATTCAGTGAAATTGTTTCTGTCCTTTATGATCAGTCCCATAATATATGTCCACAATTGACAGTCAAAACACAAGCCTTTTCCTTTCTTCACAACATTCTTTTCTCACTAGTTTTCTCCAACCCCAAGCAATTATAGAAATTAGATTTCATGTTAAAGTCATTTCTCTCATATCTCCTACCAAGTCTCTTATTTTCTTCGACCAACAACTCAAAATATATTGTTAGCATTAATGCCTTCAACGTTAATTTGTATAGTAAGCGTAGCTCCAGCAAGAAAACTTACTCAAGCTCAAATAGACTACAACCAATAGCAAGAATACCCAAAGTGCAATGGAGAGAGAGAGAAAGAGAGAGAGAGTGTACCTCAATAAACTGGATATTTGCGACTTTACTAATTTTCTCAAGCTGAAGTCCGCGTGCTAGAAACACCTGTAGCAGAACATGTTCAGACATATATAGGCTAAAGGATTGCCACAGAATTACAAGGAAACTATGCTTCAGTATCCTGGTTATTATCATTATTGCAATATCCATTGGTTAGAGAAAAATTGATTTATTACAATTGTTGGTGCAATAGTGTTTATTGATTGTTTTTCTGGAAGCAAACCTCTGCTAAGAATGACAGAATACCAAGTGCGAGCATAAGAGATAGGGAATAGAAACTTGGCAGCACAAATTCCTGCAATATAAATGTAAAGTTCTGTTAAGAAATGCTCCAAACACTTGAATACCAAGAAATGCAACAAATGCAAAACATATTCAAAATAATAATTTCTAGCCTCACTTGGTAGAATCTCTAGTTAAAAGAACTATTGAGCTAAATGATAGTAAAATCTTTCACAGTTATCCATGCTGACTGGTTTGCAACTCCAACTAGGGGCAAGCACATAATAACAATAAACTAAACCTTTTCACATAATGTGGCTCAGATTCATGGATCACATGATTCCATTGTGCCATATTTAGGGCCATATTACCAAAAAAAAAATAATGTCTCTTTTGATACTTTTCATCCAATTCTTCTTTGGTTGTTTCTTTGTTTTGGATAAGGGTGTCATCTAAGTTAGTCAAATTTACTTAGTGCAACACTAATAGGCCGTAGGCTCACATGGTTAAAACTTTACCACCTTAAACATATTTAGTTATTTACCTCATTTTGTCTTAAATCATTACCACTCCTACCTTTTTTCAAATATATATTTCTTAATTTATCCTTAACTCTATACTCACATCTATTTTAGCATTTTCATCAGCTACCCTACTTTTCTACATATGTTAGTACTAAGCTACCAAATATTTAGTAAAATAGAGAGTAATAGTAGTTTTTAAAAGTTATGAGAACTTGCAGGCCGATAGGCTCTAAAAGTGCCAATCTGCAAAATGGGAGCATGTTCGTCCCCCTAGAGAAACAGATTAGGGCAACAATAAACATATATTTACCTTTTGCTGCAGCTTTAATATTTGTCAGTCAATAACAGGCAGCAGTCCAAATTTGTTGCTTATTTTTAATCAATGGAAGTCAAGAAATATAACTAGTTATTCATATTCACCTCTTATTTTCTACATGCCTTAGCCCATGACAATTATTGAGTCCACAAAAATTAAACCTTCCACATTACTAGTTTGAAATAGTTTTACTTGCTTGGAGCCCCTGTATTCATATAAAAGGCCCTTTCCATTCACAAAGACTTGCAGGTTTAGGCTCTTACAATACATTCAAGCTACTGTTAACTACTCTTGTTGATATTGGTCAGTAATTTTATATTCAAACAAGGATTTGCGAAGAAATGAGTTGAGAAAAAAAAATCCATGTAAGTATGACATGTAAGGTAAACCATGGATTTTGGACCAATGAATCTATTATGATTTCTATTTGCATCCAAAATCGGAACTTTGCATGGGAGTAATAAATGGTACAACTATGTAGAGGAAATGAAGCTTTATGACATCAGATCATCTGTGGTCAAAACTGTAATTATTTACACAGACAAAATGTGTCTCTCTAAACATTTACAAATTGATCATTTTATGGCACTCACCTCAAAGGCAAATGTGCATATTCCTGCAGCAGGGCTAGCAACTATGCCAAATGAAAAAACTGTCAACCTAGAAAAGGAGCATTTGTGTCAAGAATGAATAGAATGACAGATAAAACGAGGGTAGATACATAATAAGGCTTTGCAAACATAAATATTGGAATGATGATTCAGAAAAAATCAGGAACAAGTATGATGGTAAACAATACTTTTAATACGTAGAAAAAAAAGCAAGAATTGCAGAAGGTGAAAGTTTCAAAGGATTCCATTCTAGTTAAAGAAACCAAAAAACTTACACAGGTTGATCTGATGCCTTTGCTGCAGCCTTTATGAGACAGTAGCTGATTCCACCAGTTATTGATGCAAAAAAACCAATCAAGACTGCATATATATGGTGACTTCCTTTGAAATTTATATTGGTTGCTTCCTCAGCTTTAAGTAGCTCTCCTGCCACATCCCCGGAAGGGTGAAAAAGACCAGCAGTAACAGATTTGCCACCAGTAATGCACAAGTACAGGAAATGATATAAATAATTCCATGAGCCAAGAAGAGAAAACAAAATCGAAGCACATGTTGTTCAAGGCCATTCCTCATGCAAGCATTAATGCGTTTACCATAAAGTTGAACACCTACTGCACTAGCTTCGTCAAAATTAATTAAAGAAAACATTTGTACCATGCCTGCTATGTATTTAAACCTTTCAATAGAAGAACACTAAAAAGAGTGCAATGTACTCCTCAAAGATATCAACTCTGCAATTAGAATAATTTCATGGAAAAAGAAAGAAAATAAAAACATGAATAAAATATATATTTTTTAATTTACGCATAATAGAAGAATTAATTTAAAATGGAAGTAGCAAACTAACATAAAATTCCCACTATACTTCAACCTTTAACATATCCAAGGCATTCATTCTGAGCACATTAGAGAAGGTTCTGTTAACTCACTTCTGTACCTTGTGTAGCAAGCATCTGCTGAAAAATGAAAAGCATGCCAAAGAAACTGAAAGCAAGACCTGGAAAGGATGATAATTAATAAAGTAAACAAACCACTACCACTTTAAGGCAGCTCAAATTTTATAGCATAAGTCAACAGAGTGAGAAAATGTCAACGGACCTCCAATTTCTGCAATTTTCAACTTCTCATGCAAAATAATTCTAGCCATGATAGAAGCCATTATTGGAGTTATAAAGCTTAATACAATAGCCTGAGAGAAAGGTATTCTCTGAATGCTGAAAACAAAATTGAGCAAACCGGTTATGACTGCAGGATTATCTTAGTTCTGTTCACAAGGGTAAAGCTTACAAGCCATAGCAAGAGCAGTCCAAGAATGGCAAGGCATTACAATGAAAATGACTAGAAAAATAAAAAAGAAGAAATACCCTAGTACTGAAGCTGAGAATTAAGTAAAGGTTGAAACTATTTAAAATGTTTAAGCCATTACCAATGGTGGGTTATCCTCGCAAACAAATAAATTTGTGTTTACCTTGGTAACAATCTATGATTCTATGTCCTATGCCAACCTAGTGATTTAATTTTTCAATTTCACGTAGAGCAATAAATCAAATAATTTATATAAAAGCTATGGCATTGCAAGCATAAGAGGGATAAAGCCTTTATTGTAAGTTGCAAATATAGGACTCTCAACAACTGATATAAGCAGACAGAAACTCTAAAAAGGCAGAAAAGCAAGAATGTGAAAGTGAAACTTACCAATGGATAAAACTCAATAATGAGAGACATCCCACTAGGGCTCTTAAAACTAAAAGATTCCAGGAATGTGTTGCTCCAAATATTGGCTGCTCTCTTCTTCTCAACCATAAATATGATAATATCAAGGTAACTGTACATCTTGTAAATGCAGTCTCAAATAAAGGAATTGACTGAGCTGCCATCATAAAACAATCATAAAAAAAGATAATTAAATAAATGCAATCTTTATATGAAAACATCCCATGCCAAAAATAATGTGGAATCATTGAAAAAGAGTTGTCAGAAGATAGAGAGAAAGGGAAGGCATAAACGCTTAAAAATACATGAGGTGCGACACAATATAACATCAATATTGCTTATATCTACATGTCAATAACAATAATATTCAGTAAAATCTCAACTTCCTCAAAATTTTGTAGCTTCTACAACCCATTGAACAGAATGTGAGAAAATAGCTTCTACTCTTTTCCAAACACATAAAAGACTAAGCACTCCTCCACATGTGTGTGACGACCAAAAATTACAAACCCTAAAATGGTTAACATAAAGAGATCCTGATTCTAATGTTAAGTGGTATTATTGTCCATTAGTCATGACTGGAATTTGTGAGTTGGCTTCAGCCATAGAGGAGCAGAAACTTACTAACCAGTGAAATTATCAGAAAGAACTTCCATGAGAAAGTAGATTATAGATGATAAGGCCATGCTTACAAGACCAGACTATCTGGATCCACTCCATACCCAGAGAATAAACTGTGAAACCGAAAATATCTCTGTTTCCGGTACTTTTATCACTTGCTCCTGCAAACACATTAAACCAAGTAACCTATATTCAGCCCATAAACTTAAAGACTTCTGCATTACCGTCTACATTCTTGATAAGAAAATATTAGTATTAGTTTTAGCATAAGCAATATGGTTAACCAATAATTTCAACCAACCATACTAACCTCAATTTCACGAGCTTTGTTGTTTAAGTTTAGCATCGCTATGCTTTAAATTAAATCTATATCAAATTGTTCAAGTTTTACCAATTATGAATCAGAATTAAGTTAAGTCATTTCATTGCATGAAACAATCTCCATTTTCTAAGAAAATGGAAAAGCAAAGAGAATAACTACCTCTCTGTTTGAGTGCTACTTTTACAATTTGCATTCTAATTTCTTGGGTTCTGTTTGGTTATTGGTTTTTGCTAATTTCTTTTCCTCAAGAGGGCATTAGAAGTTCAACAACAAAATGTGGCCAAACAAAGGCCTTCGATATAGACTAGCAAGTCGTGTTTTCATGTCGTATAAAATACAAAAATTTATGTATTTGTGTCATATTTTAAACAAAAATTACGTATCACAATTTACATCGATACGAAAACATAATATATATATTTTATTTTATTAAACATATATATAGTTATTACTAAAATTTTAAACTTAGTCTCCTTCGGATCCATTTTTCATATGGTGTTGTGTCATGTTTTAGATTGTCAAATCTATTTGGATATTCCATATAAATCGTAAAAATGGAAAAGAACAATAATCGGACTATCGAGCCAAGCAAACAAATTCCAATCCGATTGGCTTCCATTTAACAAGTAAAACTAAAGCTTCAGGCAGTCAGCAATATATAATTTTAAAGTAATAGAAAAAAAATGTAAAAATAGAATTAAGGCTTTACCTTACTTTACTTACCCTAGGTTTTCTTCGGGAATGAGAGACCGAGAAGATGCTGATCTTGGGCCTCTCGCTCTGCGTCAAGAGAGGTATTATCTCCTCCGAAGCCGATACTGCTAAGCCACCATCAGCGGCCGATTCGGAGTTGCCAAGCACGATCAGTTCCACAGCATGATCCCCACCGTTAGTATCCGCTGAGGCCGCCATTATCACGTATTCCGGCGACTTGAATAGGGAAAAAAAAAGGAAAAAATGGTTAATGTTTTTAGTAATTCGTTGGTGGAAGTGACGTGTCAACTGTCTAGTTGGTGGTACACGTGGCGGAAATTGATTCGAACTTTGACCTTAAGAAATAGTTTATGAATTCTCTTCAGAGCAACCGTTCAATTTGATAATCATCATGGAGATTAAGGGGGCTTTGGACGGTTGGGATTTTTAAATTTTTTTTTTTTAAGAAAAATTCCGATTAAATAAGTGATTCAATTTTTTACATCAAAATAAGATGTATTTGATAAATTAAAATAGATTATTATAGATTATGTATTTGATATAAATTGAATAAGTAGTTACTAGTAGAACTTAAAACTAAAATTTTTTCATAAAAAAAAATAAATTTTAATTAATTAAATCAATTACTTATTGATTATAATCTTTAATCTTTATTATTTGTCGATGAAAATAAATTTATATAATCGTACAACAAATAAATAACAAAAATTTATTAATATATTTTAAAATTAATTTTCATAACAATCAATAATTTGTATTTGATATAAAAATAATTTTAATAAATTTTAATTATTTATTAAATTCATAAATTTTAAATATATTTTTAATTATATTACATACAAATTTTAATATAACGTTTCTAATAATAATTTTTTTTTCATTATGTATCATTTTATACCATTCTATTTTGATATCCAAGCATGGTCCACTGGAAGTTGGTGCTGCTGTCGGCAAACATGGTCTTACTTTGACCAGCTGTTTACCGCAAATAAGTGTCTTTCTTCTTACACATGGAAGTCCCACCGACGACTTTGGGCTTCTTAATGCAAATCTACGGAATTGGATAATTTGCATTTTTTTTTTACTTTGAAAAAAAAATTTGAACAAAATTTTAATGCACCATTCTTTGAATAAAATTTGAATGATTGTTGTCACTACAACTACCGTATTTGAGCAAATGCCTTAACTTTTTTTGGGCAACTAACCATTCCATCGGTTTGCTATAATTACATTTGCTTTTTACGGTTCAAGATCATGATTATGATATTATGGGAAGCAGGACCATCACTTTTTTTGGTGATTGAAATAATGAAGAATCAACCTCCAGGAGGCAGGAGTTTATTGTTTTACCCGAGTAGCTAGTGGGTCCAAAACATTACGTTATTAATGTATTCAATCATATTCATAAACGAGTGATCATCTCTCTATCACTAAAAAACATAGGCAACGAAACCCAAATTTAGTTTAATTAATTTATATTATATAACTAATGAAATTTGAATTTAATTTAATTAACGTTTGTTATGTGTATTTGTTCGATCAATACTCAATTGTCATGTTATTATATTTTAAAATTGATTCATTCCTTCCTCAGCCGTTAATTTTTTTTTTTTAATTGTAGCAGTAGCCATGAGCCCTGTCCCCATGATTTCATATGAAACAGAGACATGATTTTCCATGACGCTCAAAGCATTAAGCAAATCTTTCAAGCAAATAAAGAGACAACTTGGCACACTCCCTGTATTCCCTTCTCCAAGAGAAACTTCTAAATCTATAGTTAGTGCATTTTTTTTTTTTTTTTGGTATGGCTTCTCTGATTCATTATCATCTTCTGATCACATATTGTCGAAAAAAAAGAGAAAAAATCATGGACATTTGGGCCATGCCAACTTGTTTTTGTTGGTTGAATCATGGCTATGGGATTAATGAAGAGTATAAAAAATATTGGTTTTGCAAAGAATCCATATTTTCCGTCAAGCTCACAAAAATAAAAAAATTTAAAATTTGATTCAAAATCATAATATTCGGTTTAATTCAGTTTTATTATTTTGTTTGGATCAAATTTGAATATTAAATATATATATTAAGTTTGAATCGAATTTTGAATTAAAAGATAAAAAATTAAAAAAATAATTCAAATCGAATTATATATATATATTTAATTTATATATATTTTAAATTTTTATAAAATAAAAATAATAATTTTATATCAAAATTTATCTAAATATATTAAAATAAATTTATATTAACATAATATATAAATTTTAAAAATAAATCGAACTAATAAAATTTGATTTGACTTAATTTTGAATTGCATTTTACAAGTTCAAGATCATGATTATGATATTATAAGAAGCAGGACCATCACTTTTTTTGTTGATTGAAATAATGAAGAATCAACGTCCAGGAGGCATGAGTTTCTTGTTTTGTCCAGGCAACTAGTGGGTCCAAAACATGACGTTATTAATGTATGCAATCATGTTCATAAAAAAGTGATAATCTCTATATGAACAAAAAATTATTTGTAACGAAACTTGAATTTAGTTCAATTAACTTATATTATACAATTAATGAAATTTGAGTTTAATTTAGTTTACGTTTGGTATGTTTATTTATTTATTAATAAAATTAATTCTTTTAATCATTTAATATAATTTTGCATATGTCTCATTACGATATTATTATAAAATTTAATATTTAGCTTCTAATTTATTTAATATTATTAATATAATTTATATTTATCTAAAATCATTAAATATAATTTATAATTATTCACATAAAATTTTCTCATATTTTATGTAAATTCATCATCATTTGTCACACTCTTGGATTCCCTTCTACAAGAGAAACTTCTAAATCTATAGTTAGTGGAAATTTTTTTTTTTTTGCTTCTCTGCTTCATTGTCATCTTCTGATCACATATTGTAAATAAAAAAAAAAATCATGGGTAATTGGGCCATGCCAACTTATTTTTGATGGTTGAAGCATGGCTATGTAATTAATGAAGAGTATAAAAAATTTTGGTTTTGCAGAGAATCCATATTTTCCCCAAAGCTCACTTCCTGTGATACTCTCCCTCTTCCATTTCCACGGTATCCAAGCCGTTTCAAAAAGCAATAAACTATTGCTTAAATTAGGAGAAAAAAAAAAAAAAAAACTTGAAATCGTAATATTCGGTTTGATTTTTTTATTTGATTTGAACCAAATTTAAATATTAAATATATATTATATTTGAATCAAATATTGGATAAAAAAATTAAAAATAAAAAAAATCGAACCAAATCCATTTATATATATTTTAATTTTTATAAAATAAAAATAATAATTTTAAATTAAAATTTACTTAAATATATTAAAATAACATATAAAAATAAAAAATAATTAAAAAAAAAATCGATAAACTAAATTAATAAAATTTAATTTGATTCGATTTAAATAAAATAAAAATTTAATTCAAATTCAAATTTAAATTTAAATTTAAAATTTTATAATATTATATAATATAAAAAATTTGATCCGAATTCGAAGCAAAACACTATCACTCCCAGCACAAATCACGCTTTTGGTGCAAAGAAAAAGTGTGTAAAAGTGTCAAATGCCCATGAAATCACTCACTCGTCTCAGCCACAGGCCATGAGGTAAAGACACATTTCAAAGAGTGAAAAGAAAAAGAAAAAGGTTTGTTTGGGAGGGAAGGGAAAATGGAGAAGAAAAAGAAGCTAAACCATCATCAACAAAACCCCAGATTTGCCTGGCATTGTAGCCTTGTTCTCTTCTCCGTATTCGCCATTTCCACAACAGCTCAAGCATTTGATTATGCTGATGCATTTACGAAGAGCCTTCTTTACTTCGAATCCCAACGATCCGGTCGGTTACCTTACAATCAACGTGTCACTTGGCGTGGCCATTCTGGCCTCACCGACGGATTGGAACAAGGAGTATAGCCCCAAACCCAAACTCATTGAATGTTTTATAAACAGGTTTTCCTTTTCACATCACTAATGTTGTTCCAAGTTCAAAGTTGTCTTGTTTTTAATTATAGGTGGACTTAGTAGGAGGATACTATGATGCTGGCGATCATGTCAAATTCGGACTCCCAATGGCTTTCACTGTAACAATGCTTTCGTGGAGTATCATCGAATTTCGTGATCAGATCGCTAAAGCCGGAGAATTGGAGCATGCATTAGAGGCTGTGAAATGGGGGACCGATTACTTCATCAAGGCACACACCAGCCGAAATGTATTATGGGCAGAGGTAGATATAACATTCATTGTTATTTGTATCAGTTCCATTCCCAAACATAGCTTTCAAATCATTGTGCTGCCATAGGTGGGTGATGGGGACACTGACCATTACTGTTGGCAACGCCCGGAGGATATGACCACCTCACGCCAAGCCTACAAGATTGATGAGAACAATCCAGGGTCGGATCTGGCCGGAGAGACGGCGGCTGCAATGGCGGCAGCATCAATTGTGTTCAAGAAAACAAACCCACGTTACTCTCACTTACTCTTGCACCATGCCCAAGAGGTAGCTCACAAAGATGTTATTAGCTTGTAAATTATATGTTACATGACTGTTCAATGGAAAATGTTGTGTTTTTTTGGTGGTGTAGCTGTTTGAGTTCGGGGATAAGTATAGAGGGAAATATGATGGAAGCGTAGGGGTGGTGAAGGGCTACTATGCGTCGGTGAGTGGATACATGGACGAGTTGTTGTGGGCAGCTTTGTGGTTGCACCAGGCCACCGACAAAGAGGAGTACTTGAAGTATGTTATAAACAAGGCTCACTGTTTTGGTGGGATTGGTTGGGCCATGACAGAGTTCAGCTGGGATGTCAAGTACGCTGGGGTTCAAGTTATCGCATCGAAGGTAAACTCTCTGATCACTTCAAAAGTTCTCTCTGTCCGTCTCCAATTATTTAAATTTCACACCTTCAAATATGATATTATAATAAGACATAAATTAATATAAATAAATAAATTTAATAAAAATTTTAAAATATTTTATATTTTATATCAATATAAATTATAATATATAATTTTTATATAAAATATAATATAAATACATAAATTTTTTATATTTTATATAATACAAATATATCAATTATCAAATTTATAATTATCTATTTAATTACAGCCCAGTCCTGATTTTTTTTTTTTTACCGAAAAAACTATTTTGCTTAAAGTCAACCACTAAGGTCATTTCATAACTAAAATGAAAATATAAACATTAGGGGTCACTTCAGTTATTTCTTAGGAGTATTTCAAAATTTCTATGACGTCAAATCAACATCCATGAATCAATGCCTAGAACCCAAGTCTTAACCAATGTTTTGGTGTTTTTAATACGAGTATAAGACTCGAAACATTTAATTTTTTTTAAATTTAAAAATATTGATAAATACTTATACCAAGAACAAAACAAATCCACACAATCTTAGTTTGGAAAATTATATATGACGACAAGGGAGTTGATGTGATATTTTTTTTTTCCGCCAGCTTTTGCTACTTTTAATAGATATATTCAGTACATTCTTTTTACGATTTGGTTCAATTTTGCTTTTTCCATTTTTCTTTTGTCCTCTTGGCTTTGAGGTCAAGTCCTCGAAATCTTCATGAAATTTTGCTTTTTCCTAGATTCAAAGATGTAATAATAGTTTAACTTTGAAACATACACTTTCCAATTTTTTTAAGCAAAGTTCACTGATAGAGTAACCCTTAATTAAGGTACCATCTTTAGAGTTTAAAACCAACAAAAAGTTGGTTTAATTGATAAGATTGTTCTCCTTAAATAAGTGATTTAGGTTTAAATTTAATTGATAGTTTTTTATTAAAATCATTTTGAATATAATATTTATAGTTACTATTCTTCAAGCTATCTAATAAGATATATTTTGTTTTAATATGAAGATTAAAAAATCTATCTATCTCTGTATTTTTCGTACGAAAGCAACAAAATCTTTAGAGTTAAAAAATAGGAGCACAAATTCATGTGTATCCAATGCCATTTGAATGCCAGTAGATTATTACCACGTGGCTTAAATCTAGTGGAAAAGAGCAGTAATTTTCTGTGCTCCAGCAGCAAATTGTTGCTGTTCCACAATCAGACCAGGGAAGGGAGATAGATATCAAAGGTCGATCATGCTCGTAGCAGAGCTGGAGTACTGATTTGGTTGTCTAAGCATTTTTAGGTAGGGCCTGGTACATGGATTTGGTCCCATTGCCAATCCAAGTGAGTGGATACAGACTCTTTCATTTATGAATGTTAGTCGTTTGCTGAGGCACACCTTCACTAGCTCGTTTATTTTTGTAGACCCACATTTTTTTGGCTCCATTTTTGCAGTAAATCTCTCTTATACCAGTGATTAGTCAGGACTGTGAGGAGATTACCAATGGTTCTTGCAGGAAAAGGAAAAATCTTCAGCTGAAACCTTTGAAGATTCAAGGAACAAAAATGCTTCTAATACCAAATTTTCTAGTTGAATCTTGGATCTTTCTTCAACTTTTAATGGGGATCGATTCTTTTAAGTATCTAAGATCTTATGAAACTTTAGGGTTAAAAATGAATTAAATATGAACGAACAAACGTATATATATGATTTGTTAGTTTAAAATTGTTCTGTTCGTTTATATTTGTTTGTTTAAATAATAGGTTATTTGCGTTCGGTTTGTGTTTGTGAATTCATTCGTGAATATTAAACGAACATGTTCATAAATATATATAAATAAACACATTCATGAACAATAAATAAATTATAACCAAACAAATTTAAACAAACAAATCCTAAACAAACATAAATGAATTCAATCAAATATAAAAGAATTATAAAATAGGATTAAAGTAAATAATATAAATGTAATTTTATTAGTATTATTATAAATGAACAACAAATGAATAACAAATGAATTATAAATAAATGAGATTTAAACGAATTTATTCACTAATATAAATAAATCAAACATACTTCTGTTTGTATTCAATTCATTTAATAATGAATATAAAAATGTTGTTTAAAATTATTTGTTAAATTTAATAAACGAACATAAATAAACAAAAACTATATATATTTACAAATAATTCGTCGAAAGCTCTTATAATTTATACTCTCATAAAACTTTCATGTCTTCTATCAAGACAATGACATATTTTATCCCCTAACTTGTTCTTTGCAGTTGCTGGAGAAACAAAATCATAAGCAGCACGCTCATATTCTCAATCAATACCGATCAAAAGCCGAGTACTACCTATGCTCATGTCTCAACAAAAACAATGCCAGCAACAACATTGATCGTACCCCAGGAGGTCTTCTATACATCCGGCGATGGAACAACATGCAATACGTATCAACAGCAGTATTCCTTCTCACCCTTTACTCCGACTTCCTTCGGGACTCGAACAAACTCCTCGAATGCCCTGCCGGAACAGTGGATCATGAAGGGATCCTCAAATTTGCCAAATCTCAAGTAGATTACATATTAGGTTCCAATTCCATGAACATGAGTTATTTAGTGGGTTATGGTTCAAAATACCCCACAAGGGTGCACCATAGGGGGGCCTCAATAGTGTCATATAGAGAGAATAAGGGGTTCATTGGGTGCATCCAAGGTTATGACAATTGGTATAGTCGGCAAGAACCTAACCCTAATGTCTTGGTGGGGGCACTAGTCGGGGGACCAGATTGTCAAGATAATTTCATGGATCAAAGAGATAATTATATGCTGACTGAGGCCTGCACATATAATACAGCACCATTAGTTGGGGTTTTCGCTAGGTTCTCACATTTAGAGGATAACCATGAACTAGAATTGGTTGCTTCTTATTAGAAACAAATATATAGATAAAGTGAGAACAAAATAGTGTGGCTGAACTAAGGTGTTCAAACCCCATTTTATCGTACCCTTCATTTTTGTTGAATGTTCATAATAGTGAAAGTATAAACCATATAGTTCAACATATATTTTTCTCTTCCTTTATTTATTATTCATCTAAGCTGGCTAAAAGCTTGCTTGGGTTGAAATTATTGTGTCCAATGATTTAATAAAACCATATATATATATTTTATATAAAAAAGTTTAGACGAGAAAAGAGAAAAGATCATGTCATTTTAAGTTCAAGACATATTTATATTTATAATTAAAAATAAAATATTATATGGGTAAAGCTTAAAAAATATTTGAATTTCATTATTTGTATTCTTTTATGAATTTTTTTGTTATCATTTCTAGGATTTTATGATTTTTAATTATTTATTTGTTTTAAATTATCAAGATAGATAGCTGAAAAACTTGCTCCCAAGTTCCTAAATTCAATACACACAAGTAAACTTTGGAAAACAACATGGGCCTACGGTATAAAAAAATGCCATGTTGGGGTGTTCATTATCTTAGGCCTGCCCTTCATCATGGTCCAAGATGATGGACCATTTATCGGTCCTGTGACAATTTTGTTACTTGGGGTTCAGCCCAATGAGTTGAAACTCTTTGCTGGTTCAGTCCAAATTGTACAATTTGTTAAAAGAATACATCAAGATTTAATAATTTTCATGAAAAAAAAAATTCTAGGTAAGGGTACTTGTGTCCTACAAAAATAGTTTACATGAGCAAGCAAAGCAAGTTAGAGGTTTTCCTGGCTGGGGCTGGGGCAGTACTCAGAGAGAATCAACGAACTGATATAAAAAGTTTCAGAGAAAGAAAAACAGCCCACATTGTCTATAATTGAAAGCTGTTTCAAAAAGGAGTACTGAACAGAAAATGCTCACTGCTTATGTACACGAAATCTGCTTCTCAAAGGGTTAGATATGGACGTACATGTCAGAAAGAAAGGTGACTTTTTCACGTGGGAACCGACACTTTATCACAATCGGGACACAAATGGCATATGGTAAGTGATCTCCCTGTAGGCCGCGAGCCCCGACGAGGAGCTGCTGTCTGAAAAAAACGCTGTTAATTTTTGTTACCTAGATGATATGCTGTGGTTATTAATTAGATATCAATGGATGTTAGGATTAGATTTTTCAACTGGAATTAGCTAACAGAAGCAATCATGTGCCAAAAACGATCATATTGAAATTAAAGACAATTTCTTAAAGCAAATACCAAATCTCTGATCCTTATCTACTTGCTGGTAGTCACCAAATTGTCAAAATCTTGCTCAATATAGATAGGCTTAAATTGCTTGAACAGTTCCTTCTTAAAGAGATTTCATTGACAATTTATACAAAAGCTATATCTAGAGTTTTCTTAATTAACAACTTGAATGTTTGCTAGTATTTTATACGTAATCCAGGAAGGAAAGTTCGAGTTTCTGGTCGGCCCACCAATGATTAGGCAATGCAACGAAAGACAACTACCTTAAGAATTCCAGACATGGTTTAATGATGTGAAAAGTTAATGTAATTAAGAGCAAGAAAGATGAATTTTGCTGCAGAAGTTTGGGAGTGGGAGCTCCATCCGATATGATAATTCAGTGATGAATTCAATGATTTTTTAAGGTTGGAAAAACTGTTAAAAGCAAGCAAAATGCCTCATTTAACATTTTCAAGCTTGGGTTCGATCAAAACTTTATAGTACTGTGATCAATCAATGGCACACTGCCAGTAATCGGATGGTTGGGTGTTTGTGATCAGCCTAACCTCACATGACAGGACAACACCATAGATGATTATCTGTTCTTTTAAACCCTTCACCATCCTGGGTATACAAAGATGATAATGAAGAGATAGGAAACAAGTTCAGAAAAGTCTGTCAATTTCTGTTATTTGGTTGAAAGCATTGGCTTGTGAGCACCAAGACCACAGGATGATAATAAATAGCACCAAAATACACATCGGAAAATTTTTAAAGGTCATGGAAGCCCACTCTTAACCACGAAGTTGGGGACACTCAGAAGCTACATCTACAGTTGTAACCAGGCCTTATCATACTTGTATTCCCCACCCCAATCATGCACTTCTCCCCTTCTGATTCCTCCACATAAGGCTTAAGAGCTAAGGAGCACCATTTCCTCTCTCCTGTCGATTCTCTTCTCCTCCCTAAGTTTTAATCATGGTACAGTGTACCTTATAAAAGTTTTTCATTTGCATGCTTAAATACTTTCAACATTTCATGAATACTTTCTTTGTTATAATTTCCTGGATTTTGCTTTGGATGCTAACAGGTTTTGGTTGGAAGTCATGGTAAGAAAGATGGTTCAAATGATGAAAATGTCGTTGATTATCGGGGAATCCGGTGGACAAGTCAAAAATTGGTGAATGGCTTGTTGTAGCGCTCATCGTAGGTGCTTATGATGAACCTCAGGAGTTAGTTTGATTTATCTTGATCCAATATTTCCACTTTGTTAATATGAAAGGAAATTTTGATGCAGTATCTGAGCTCTCAGAGAGGATATGTGTGATGGGCATATCAATGAACTTAGTGACATATTTAGTTGGAGATTTGCATATTTCAGCAGCAAAATCTGCAACCATAGTTACCAACTTCATGGGCGCTCTCCATCTGCTTGGTCTCCTAGGAGGTTTCTTAGCTGATGCCAAACTTGGCCGATGCTTAACAGTTGCACTCTCTGCATCCATAACTGCCACGATGAGTTTTTTTTATACATAACTGCATCCATAACCTTGACTGATAAATGTTCTAATCTTGCATCAAGTGGTAATTTTATTAACACTGGCCTCCTCCCTGTAATGACTATAGAAGACAGAATCATGAGTGCATTGAGGCAAATGGCCGGCAACTGGCTTTGCCGTATGCAGCACTATACACAATAGCACTTGGTGGTGGAGGAATGAAGTCTAATGTCTCTGGATTTGGCTCTGATCAATTTGACTTGACAGATCCCAAGGAGGAGAAGGCTATGATTTTCTTCTTCAATAGGTTCTATTTTTGCATCAGCATTGGGTCTTTATTTGCCGTGATTGTGCTGGTATATAAGCAAGACAATCTAGGAAGAGGGGGGAAGAGTTGCCAGACAGAAGATCAGTCATTATTTGTGGCTTAAAGGATCAGACAAAACTTATTGCATTTAACTGCTAGATAGCCATAGGAAAGCAGGCTTATAAATGTAAAAGAATTCCTGGTTCAGAGCTAGTTCCGACATACGAGTTGAAAATGTCGGGTTCTAGGAAATTTAGCAATCAAAGAGTGAGAGCTTTAATGCCAATACATCCAGAAAACCCAGTACATAACAAATGTTCACCAAACAAACAACAAATCCACAGCACAGAAGCAGAAAGCTGAGCTCTAAAGAATCACGTAAATTGTAAAGAAGGGCCGTCAGGTGCAGCTGTGGTGGTTTATACATCTCCTCTAAGAGGAAAAACAAGACATGTTAGAATTATTAACTTTTTTTTCTAGGCACATGAGAAACCCTGTTGTACTTGAGCTTCAAACTAGTTCAAAGTGAGCTCTCCCATCCCGTCCCTTATATCTTAATTAAATTAAACAGCTTATGAATTCGTATATCATAAAATATTAAAATTAATATATTTTATTTATATTTTATATAAAAATTATATATTAATATAAAAATATAAAATAGATTTTTTTTATTTTATTAAATTTATATATAATTATTATCAATATTTTAAATTATATTATCTTAATATTTTTTTATCATTAGTTATATTTTAAATTACGGCGTATGAATTTTTCTTCCCAAAATTCGAAGTTCTTGAATTAATAACTCTGCACCGGGATACTTCAACTCCAAGCAATATGGGATTCATTAATGTCTGTTTATATTTTAAAAAATTAAGCACGCATATGATCCACGTGGATATAACATCCCAAAGAAAAAACGCAGTCGTTTTAGGTCCCAAGTTTAAACGAATGACGCAAACGAGAACTTAAAGAAGAGTTTCAACTCTCTGCTCCGCGGCTGCACTCGACAATGGGGCCCGAAACGCAGCAGCAAGGAAATCCCAACAGCCCAACCACCAATCAAACGCACCTTTAATCAACTCCTTTATCGAAATCACTTCTTCTTCCGAAGAAGAAGCCCGCTTTTTGTTAGAATCTCACCAGTGGGACCTCGACCCCGCCGTTTCGACTTTCCTCGACAACGATTCCTTCGCTGCAGACCAACGGTACCCGATTGAACCTCCCCCTTCCCGCGACCTCAATAACTCCCCGTCTGATTTCTCCGATTGTTGTCCCTCACAATGGCCTTCTCGCTTCCGCTCCCCTTCCCCTCCCCGCCCCTCTCTTCCTCTGCGGCGCCGCAACGCTGATGAGAAACCGTCCGGTCGGAACAATGATCGTGGCGTTCGGACCCTCGCTGATCTGAACCGGAATCTTCCTGGTGGGTCCAACAGTGATTCCGATGAAGCCCAGGACTATTATACTGGCGGTGAAAAAAGGTTGAATTTCAACTTTTTTTAATTTTACTTTTGCCCTTAATTTTGGAAATTAGGCAAAAATTTGTTCGTAATTGTTTATTTGGGTGAGCAGTGGGATGGTTGTTCGAGATCCTTCTAAGCATAACGATGTGTATTTGATTTTTAGTCAAGCGAGACGAGCGGGAGTTGTGGAAGGATGTGATGATCACTTCCGACCATCGTCTTCGGGCACGAGAAGCTTCACCGGAACAGCGAGATTACTCTCTGGAGAAACCTTGGCACCTGCACCTCCGCCACCACCTGAAGTTGTTACTCACAATATTACTTTTTCGAGGAATGGGTTTACCATTGATGATGGGCTGTTGCATCACTTGGATGATCCTGCCAATGCTTCCTTCTTGGAGGTAATAATTAGTTAGACTTGGCAGTCTATAACACCACAAGGTTAGACAATACGAAAATGATACGAAAAAGGGAGACGAAGATAACATGGTTTAAAATTTTAGCAAAATTCATATATGGGATTAATAAAACAAAAAAATATATGTTGTGCTGTTGTATTGACACGAATTAACACGTAATCTTCGTATAAAATACGATATTAATATATAAATTATCAGTAATTTACATGACATAAATAAACGAATTGTCAGGTTTATAATTAGTCTATTTATCAACTTTCTCTATAAAAAATAGTTGTGGCTTGTGATGTTTGGTATTTGTATAATCTATTTACGTGTTTGATGAATTATGAGAGTTAGGCATTAGGAGAATGTTTTTTAAGATGTTTTGGCTCAGCATCTTTAGTAATGGAAGTTTTGTTCTTAGGTAAAATCGGGTGATTACATATTCAACAATCTTTGACTTTCTTGATGAAGTTTGATTAAAAATGTTATGTATGTGTGTATGTATTTCTGTTAGTGCTGTGTGGTTATTCTTAATCGCATCTGAATTTAGAGTGTGGTGGGATCTTGATGTCCGAAAGAGCTTGAACCAGCTGATCCGAGAACAAAAGTGGATCTTCACCTCATTAGGCGGGATGAAAACTACTCTGTGCGTCCTTTATATCTTCTCTTATAAGTTTTCTTTTGTTCCGTTGCCTGCTTCTGTGTTTACATTTCCTTTGTGCCCTTGTTTTCATTCAGGAACCAAAGAAGCGCCCTACTGCTTTTCAGGGTGTTGGAAGAACTCTAGGAAGTGCTCCAGCCTCTGAGCCGACTGCTGCTGTTGATAGTATGACTACTGCACCGGTACCATTTATGGCCCTGGTTCTGGATTCATCATTGCCAGCAACCTCTATTCAGTTGAGGTTAGCAGATGGTACACGCTTGGTTTCACAGTTCAACTACAATCATACCATCAGAGATATTCATGGCTTCATTGATTCATCACGACCGGCCGGAGCAAGAAACTATCAATTGCTGACAATGGGGTTCCCTCCTAAACAATTGACTAATCTGGACCTGACAGTGGAGCAGGCTGGCATTGCTAGTTCAGTTGTTATCCAGAAATACTAGCTAAGGTTTTTCTTCCCCACTTTCTTTTTTTTCTTTTTGTCTTTGACTCATTGACTCCATGATGCATCATGCACATTGAACACATCTCTATTTCTCAAAACTGATGGTATTCATTTGATAGACCAGAAAGCTTGCTTTGATTAGTCAATATGTTGTATTTATTGGATAAATAACAAAATAAAATAAAATTGAGAGGTTACATGAAAGAGCACTTTCAGCAGCCTCATATTTTGTAAAACCTATTACTTTCTCAAACTTGAAAAAAAAAAAAGCCTTTAAATTTATTTGATTAACTGCTGAAGAGATTGGTAAGTATATGTACTTTTTATATCTCTTTGAATTATTTTTAATAAGGGGATAATCGTATTGGCTCCTTTTTGGCAAATGCCAAATACTATTTATATCTTTTGGCAAAAGAGTACATTTCATGGAGGCAGTATAGGTCTTTTATGACAAAATTCGAGTTGGTGGTTTGACAAGAATTGCTTGGAGCAAATTGTGGAAGTAACCAAAAGGTGGGCTTCATATCCTTTGTTCTACGCAAACAGAGCTCATTTCTCTGTTTGAATTTCCGATTCAGCTTATATATGTACATGTATTATGTAATGTAGTTATTTTGTATAACAATAGGCTTTATGAGATAAATCATATGAGCTAAGCTTTGTATATTCATGGACAGATTACATGTTTATATTATATACATAGTTCAGAAGACGACTACAAGAAACTACGCACATATCATTCATGCTAAACACACGGCTACTACTAGAATAGTTGCTTTGGTAATGGCGTCGTAGCATTTGGAAGTTCATGTTCACAGAACGATTCTAAAGAGAAAGAAATTCCCATATGCTGAATGTTGATGGCTTGATCATAGCTTGTGGCTAATTCAATTCCTTTGCTTAATGAGATTACTGTACCTTCATCAATGAATGTAAAAACAACTGTTAGTGCTGTTAATTTATATATATTTTAAGGTAATCAAAAATTAAATTTTGATTATTTAAATTAAAATTTTAATATTAATCTCTGCGTTTGTACTATTATTATTTTCGAAGAATCACAATCAAGTACTGGACAAGAATGATCTATGAAGTTCGTAATATTAAATTCACAAATAGAACTGTGAAGAGCAAGCGAGGAGTGGCGCAGGGAGAACAGAACGCTCACAATCACAAATACATGCATGACTAGATCATCGTGGTGCTGACGTGTCTTCCACCCTGTTTGTCCTCTCTCTTACATCACATCCCAACGGGCAACAACCACGGTTACTCGCTTCTCTCCTTTTGTCTCTCCTCTGTCTCTTCTGTTTCAACACACTCCTTTCTCTCCCAGTACCTAGGTTTTCTTCGTCTAGCCCCTCCCCTCCCTCATTTCCTTAAACCTTCAGCTCCCTCCCCACAACAATTCTCCTTCTTCTCTGCACCATATAAAAAAGCTTTAACGCTTAAAAATCCCATCTTTTTCACATTTTTATTCACATTTCTTTCATAGAGGACCCTCAGTTTCATGGCCAAGACGAAACCTGGCAAAAAGGACCTTGATTCCTACACTATCAAAGGCACCAACAAAGTTGTTCGACGTATGTTTCTCCCTAAACCCATCTCAAAGTTTTCCTTGTTTCATTTGAAAAAAAAAAAAAAAAAAAAAAACCCAAAAATCCTTTTTTTTTTTTAAATCTTTTCTCTGCTTTTTTCTTCTTCTTTTTTTTTTAAACGTTTTAGGTCTTAAAATTTAAAACCGAGAAATATTTTTGGCTGTGGAAAAGTTTTTACTTGGTTTTTTGCTTTGGTTTGTTTCTCAGCTGGTGATTGCGTGCTGATGAGACCATCGGACTCAGATAAGCCACCATACGTGGCACGCGTAGAGAAGATCGAGGCCGATCATCGGAACAACGTGAAGGTTCAAGTTCGATGGTACTATCGGCCGGAGGAGTCTATTGGAGGGAGAAGGCAGTTCCATGGAGCCAAGGAGCTCTTTTTATCAGACCATTATGATATGCAAAGTGCCCACACCATTGAAGGAAAGTGTATAGTTCACACTTTCAAAAACTATACTAAGCTTGAAAATGTTGGTGCTGAAGATTACTTTTGTAGATTCGAATATAAGGCTGCCACTGGTGGCTTCACTCCGGACCGGGTGGCAGTGTGAGTTTCCATTTATCTTGTGTTTTTGGGTAGCTTTTTTTCAGTGTTTTTTTTTTTTTTTTTTTTCTGTTTTAGTATGTTTAGTAATTGGTTATTGATTAATGTGTTTTTTTTCCCTTGTGGGGTTCTGTTTTGAAGGTATTGCAAGTGTGAGATGCCATATAACCCGGATGACCTCATGGTGCAATGCGAGGGATGCAAGGATTGGTAAACTTGTTTTCCATATTTTCCATCGTGTAATTAAATTGGACTGTAAACTTTCCTTTTGTTGTGTTTGTAGAACTGTAAATTGAATTCATTCATTTTTCGTGGTCTTGTAATGATCTGTGATCTGAGAAAGTTTAAATTAATGTTTTATTTAATTTCGCTCAAGGTTAATGGTTATGTATTTATGACTATGATGCGTTTCACGTTTAATTTTAGGTCTCTCTATGTTGTTTAACTTGGCTACTTGTGCTTATATATATAATATGGTAATCCTATTAGGTTGTTATCATTAAAAAGTTTTGGTTTTTTTAGTACTATTTTTGAATAATTGATAGCTCTTGAAGCAAAAGGATATCTGCATATATTTTTTGGTTCCATGGCAAATGCTTTTAATTCCATGTTACAGCTTTGATGTAACATACAATGATGAATGAATTGCCTTGTAATTGAAGTTTTCTTAATTTAACAGCGGGTGGTTACATTCACTTAATGATGATCGTGTAAATAGTTTCTTTATTATTCCAAAATTACCTTCCAATAATGACTTACTTGGGTCCTATTTTATTTGGTATTTTATCAATGAAAATCTACTCCCTATAAAACCGTTGTTTTGCAAGGGCTGAAGGTAATTAATTTAAGGCATTGTATCAATTTTATGGTTTAGAGTTAGATTCAAGTTTATGGCTGCTGAATCAAGTAAGAGTTTTGTTGGTTGAAAATTTATGGCAAAAGTGTGACAAGGAAAGAATTACGTTGCTGTTAATATCTTGCAATGGTGGAGTTTAGAAAATTCAGGTGATTTATAGAAGGAAAGATGGTGGGATTGCTCTAAGTTGTTTTAATGATATTTATTGATCGGGTGAAAAGATTCATTGCCATGAGTTATTTGCCTCTTCTATGCTGTAACCTCAACTAATTTTGGAGTACTCTTGCTAGAAATGAAAAATATTTTTGGTCTGGGGACATGCTATTTAGGTCCGCTAGTATGTTTAATATTGTTTCCTCTGTTCAATGCAGATGATTTCCAATTTTCCATTGTCCTGTATCTAAATATACAGTAATATCTCTGCATAAAGTGGTTCTTCTTCATTAAATTGGAATGTGATTTGCAAGTATACAAATTAATAAGAATACCAATCATCATATTTTCCTGATTGAACGCTAGTTTCTTTCAGGTTTCATCCCTCCTGCATGGGTATGACCATTGAAGAAGCGAATAGATTGGATCAGTTTTTATGTTCTGATTGTTCTTCAGAGGATGATGCCAAAAGATCTTTGAATGCGATCCCAGTATCACCATCTCTTGAGGCAAAGGTTAGAACATTTATGTTCACAGTGTGAGTGCATGTGCAAAAATATGGAGGATTTAATCTTTGGTTAGACCAGCTTATTATCTTTGATGATGCTCTTATGCATTTTAGTTCAGGTGCCACAAACAACTGTAACTAATCATATCCGGTTTGCACTTTTCTTTAATTGTGCAACCATTTTTTTCCTAGATAAATCTGGATTTTTTAAAATTATATTGAATAGATCATATGCTTCTCCTAATGCGATCAAATGCATTATCTTCCTAAACTTGTTCGCTTCCAACATCAATTTAAATGATTAGAAATAAGCTCTTAATTGATAAATGTCAAAAGAATGGATTTGGAGATAATCTGCAATCATATGAATCTTAATAGAATACATCTCAGTACCTCATGTTTTGTCTAATTGTTGGGAATGCACAATGATATGTTATATAAATCATGTATTTGCCACTTGCAATGTTGATGGTGTCAATAATCGGACTTGCCGGCAGGCATGCTATGGATCTAAACAGATTCCATGCTATTTTTGTGTTGCCTGTACAAGTCATTTACGGACTTTAAATTAACTATATCATTAATATGGTTTTCCATATAGAATGATGGTGATGAATAAGAATAGCATTAGCATTTGGAGTTCGATTTTGAACACGAGATGAATTACTTTGATACTTTGGTGTCCAGTAGGGAAGTGGGATATGATGATAATACAATTCTGTTGTAAGTCTAAATTTAATACTGCATTTGATGCTTTATTAACAATGAGATATGGCCATGTATTTGATCTTATACTTCAAATTTTTTGGCTTAGGTGGAATCCAAACGTAGGAAAAGATAACCGATACGGCAACTCAGAACGAGGAGGTACTGATTTCTTGCATTAGCTCCATTATTGTTATTCTTGTGTAGCTGTACAGTGCAGAGAAGATACTGTGCTTGCACAAACCAAAGAGGCTTCTTTCATAATATACCTTGTTCTGATGTTTGTATGTGTGGTTGGACTCTGCAAAATGTCATCTGAATATAAAAGCTGCAAACCATAACAATGGCGTAAACCTAAAAATTGGGACACCTTGGGTTCTTTTGTTATGTCACAGCCTCTAATTTGATTGTTCCATTTATTTTCAATCACGTTTTAGAGCTTGAAAATGCTTACCTCATCATGGCATCTTCTTCCAGAATACCGTGGCAGTCTCTGATAGGCTAGCAGCTGAAACTAGATTTAAAGATCACGATGAATGGAACTTTGATATTTCGAGAACTCTTTTTTTCTTTTTTTTTGGTGAATTTAACTCTTGTGAGAAATTCACCGGATGCAAAATTCCATCGGTGCAGTGATTGCAAAACATTAATAATATGCAATAAAAATGTAAGAAATTTAATCAATAAATAAAAAAAAATCTTTGACTTTGTTCAAAAAATGAAGCAGAGGAGGGAAAATATGCCAATCGCTGAAAATCAAATTAAGAATATAATATGATATTATAATATTATATGTATATTATATATAAATAGTTTAAAATTTTAATAATAATTATATATAAATGTGATAAAATAAAAATATATATTATATAATTTTGTAATAATATAATTTATGATATATAATTTTAATGTAAAATACGATATAAATATATAAATTTTAATATTTTATGTTAGATAAATATAAGAATAATTATATTTAGATATTGGGGCAGGAAAAAAAAAAGGTAGCGTCACAATTCACGACTCTTGCCAAGCAAAAAATAAAAATCAGGGTCATTATTGTAAAGTCACATTTTATTTTATTGTTTCGATGGCTCAGCTTTGAGTTTTCTATTTTTTCTGCCCCACCCTCGATTGCCACTTGATATTTTCTGCTTGTATTTTCCTCTTCATCCTGAAAATTGAAATCCCATTAAGAGAGAGACGGAAAGATCATAATTCTTTTCTCTTTTTTTTTTTTTCTTTTATATATATAATTTTGTTTTTTTATTACTAGTTACTTTCTAATTTTTTTTCTTTTTTTAATTTGTTTTTACGTTTTATTTCCCTTTCTCTCCCTCTCTCTTGATTCGATTTTCAGGGTTTATCTGATCAGAGATCGTTTTCGTGGGCTTTGATTTTCTCGTGTTTTCCTTTCCTTTTTCTTTTATCTCGTTTTCTCTCGCTTTTTGTGGATTTCTTCGGTTTATTTCATCAATTTTAAGGTGAGAAAAACTTCATCTTTTTATATTCCTTCGTTTCGGTAACCTTTATATTTTATTTCATCTTGAAAATCATAAATTTGAATTTGAAGGCAATAGATTCTGAATAGCGTTTATATATATTTAAATGTTTCCTTTTTATATGCAAATCTCCACTTTCCGTTTCGTGAATTTTTAAATTATGTATAAAAAATGTCTATAATTTGAGCTCTTTTAAGTTGGAATCTTTGATTTCTGTGGATTTGGGTTAGGGCTAGGGTTAGGGTTGGGTTGGGGCTAGGGTTTTTTTTTTTTTTTGTAGATATGATCAAGCAGATATTAGGAAAGCTACCACGAAAACCATCGAAATCATCCCAAAATGATTCAAATGGTGATGGAGTCAATGTTAATTCCTCTTTGAACCCCAATTCTTTAAACAACTCAAAACCCGGTTCGGCTTCTTCCAAGTCCTCGGGTTCTCGTTTGAGCAATGGGACTCTTAATTCACATTCATCCAGTTTGAACAAATCCAATGAAGGGAAGAAAACAGCCCCTCTTGCAAGCCAAGCCGGTCCTGTGTCAGCTCCAGCAGTTTATGAGGCTTTGCCTAGTTTCCAGGATGTTCCTAGCTCGGAAAGGCAAAGTCTTTTTCTTAAGAAGTTGAATATTTGTTGTGTGGTTTTTGATTTTACTGATCCATCTAAGAACCTTAGGGAAAAGGACATAAAGAGGCAGACTTTGTTGGAGCTTGTTGATTATATTTCATCAGTTATATCGAAGTTCAATGAGGTTGCAATGCAAGAGATTACTAGGATGCTGGCTGCTAATCTGTTTCGAACATTTCCATCACTGAATCATGACAATAAGCTTCTAGAAATGTATGATTTGGATGAGGAGGAACCGGCCATGGATCCTGCTTGGCCTCATCTTCAGATAGTATATGAACTTTTGCTTAGATTTGTGGCCTCACCGGAGACTGATGCTAAACTTGCTAAAAGATATATCGACCACTCATTCGTGTTGAAATTGTTGGATTTGTTTGATTCAGATGACCAAAGAGAGAGGGAGTATCTAAAGACAATTCTACATCGAATTTATGGGAAGTTCATGGTGCATCGGCCATTTATTAGAAAAGCCATCAACAATATCTTCTATAGGTTTATTTTTGAGACAGAGAAACACAATGGTATTGCTGAGTTGCTTGAAATCTTGGGGAGTATAATAAATGGGTTTGCTTTGCCTTTGAAGGAAGAGCACAAACTCTTCTTGGTCCGAGCTTTGATTCCTCTTCACAAGCCCAAGTGTGCATCAATGTACCATCAGCAACTTTCATATTGCATTACTCAGTTTGTTGAGAAGGACTTCAAGCTGGCTGATACTGTCATTCGAGGCCTTCTAAAATATTGGCCTTTAACTAATAGTTCAAAGGAGGTAATGTTCCTTGGCGAGTTGGAAGAAGTTCTAGAAGCTACTCAAGCAGCAGAATTCCAACGCTGCATGGTTCCTCTTTCCCGACAGATTGGCCGCTGCCTCAGCAGCTCACATTTTCAGGTACTCCTAGATTTTCCTTATCTTTCCTTTCACTGATTTTTTTTATAAGCTTCTTGCCTTCTTCTGATGGCTGTTTTTTTTTTTTTTCTGCTCAATGCTTACACCTTCTGTGAGAAATTTAATTTTGATGGTCTCTATCAATCGAATCATATAGGGAGTATATGTTGTTGTTTGGGGTGGACTTTGTCATAGTTTTACATTTGGGGCTTAAGTTGGCAACTACTTTTTTTTGGCCAAAGAGTTGACTAATAAATTTTATTTCAGGGGATGATTTGTTTTTTACACCAAAAGATATCAATGTCATGTAGGCTATGAATAAATAGTACGACCTTCCTGTTTATACTTGAGATTAGAATTCCAGATATGTTTTCAACCAGTAGTTAATCATATTTAGAGTCAAGAGAATGATAGCGATTTTGCTGTGGAAGGAGATAGCAATTTAATTCTGCTAGTGAGTTGCATGTTCTTTGTTCCAAAAGGTCAATCCTGTTCTTATAGCCTTAGATTAATTAAACACATTTAAAAGGCTTCTCATCCCAAAGCAATAAAAGAACTTTTGAACTCTCATTGAATAAGGCATCTCGCTTGAAGACAAAAGTTCTTTGCTGGTGGATTTGGGTACATAATTCTGGTTTTATTGTTGCAAAACCTAAAAATGGATCACTGATTCAATTTAAGTACCCCTACAGGACAGATTAGCAAGAAATTTTAGAGTAATGGCTAAACCTGTTGTGTTAAGTAGTTCCTTTGATGTTGGGCTTAAAGTGAACGAAAGGGTAAGAGTTATCTGTGGTGGAAATTTCATGCTCTAGTCATTATTGTTGCCTGGTATCTGATTTGATCCTGGGTAGATTTTTGTACTCATATTGATGCTGTTGTGAGATTCATGCTGAGCAGTCTCTATATTTTAACTTGTTACAACATGGTATTTTGGCAGGTAGCTGAACGTGCTTTGTTTTTGTGGAACAATGATCACATAAGAAATTTGATCATCCAGAACCGCAAATTAATACTCCCTATAATCTTCCCAGCACTGGAGAGAAATACAAGTGGTCATTGGAACCAGGCAGTTCAGAGTCTTACACTGAATGTCAGGAAGATATTCTCGGATGCTGATCAATCACTCTTTGATGAGTGTTTGGTCAGATTCAAAGAAAATGAAATGAAGGAAAAAGAGATTCAGGAGAAGCGTGAACTAACCTGGAAGCAGTTGGAAGATGTTGCTGCATCTACTGCTGTAAGCAACAAGGCTGTACTGGTTTCAAGATTTGTCTCTTCCACTGCCATTGCCTCCAGCACAAGTCCAAAGGCAACAGCAGGCAGTTGAGAGATGGAATGAATGCAATTTGTTAGAAATCATATACATCCATCGTAGTGAAATGATCCAGGGTGTAACTCCAACGGTACACCATGGGAACCGGTTGTTCTCACTCAGGTTTTTAACAGCGAGACCTTACCTCAATGACTAGTGAAGGTGGGTTCTGTGGATATTAAGGTTTGCTTCTTTTTTGGTTCTGGGCTAATTCAATTTTCTTTCATGCTCCCTCGTCCTTCCTCTTCCATGATAGAGGTCCATGTGTGTGTATCATAACGAATGTAGTTTATATAGGCAGTTGGTTGGATTTACTATCGGACATTATTTATTATTGTATTATTTTTTGTAATGATGCAAGCAGATATTTTTTCCCCCTGTTTCACTAAGCTGTGCACACTCCAGCCCCCATATCTATTTCGTATAATATCATGAATGGCTTAAGATATTTAAGTTTTTTTTTAATTTGGTTTGAGACCTTGATAATCACTTTGAGTTTTGATTAATTTAGAGTCAAGTCGAGTCAAAATCAAATTTTTTATTATTCGGATCAACAGATATCGATTATGATATTTAAGTTTTTAAAAAATTTAACGTGATATTTAAATTATAAATATATTAATTAATAAAATATTTAAAAATTTATTTGTTAGGTGTAACATTAATCTTATTTATTTCTTGACAATTGGCCTAACTGTTATTTGCTGCATGGATTTCCAATGATATCTCTTGATACAAGAAAAACTACGACGGACGTGATCTGAGTTCAATAGGCAGAGTCGTCTCAAAGGGATAATTATTGTGCAATTATGCAATAATTCATACTATTCAATGTTATGGTCTCAAAGGGATATTATAAAAATTATTATGCAATTACAAATTAAAAGTAAGTAACCCATTGCGAGCCTTCCCACGTGGCATGAGTGATGGATGAATTTCTAATTTACAATATTTTCTAACATTGGTAATTGGGGGAGAGATTTTTTGTTTCAACTTTGTAATAATTTGCGTACGCATAAATAAGGGGCGGTGGGATGTCTACATTTTCACTTACACACTGTGGACCATAGCCACCTTCACCATCTACACCTCAGTTTTCCCCTGCTCTCAACTGCACCATACATGCATGGACTTCCCTCCTTTCATTTTTCCCACTTTTAGGTCACTATTTAAGTAATTGGACCGTGTTTAATTTGTTTGATAAATCACTGTTGTCAAAATTTTATTGTTTAGTCTTACTAAGTCAAGGACCGGCCTTGGAGAAATGGTAAGGTAGTTCCTTTGCGACTGAAAGATCACATGTTCGAATCTTGAAAATAAACCTCTCTGCAAAAATACAGAGGGAAGATTGCGTAACTTTTGCAAAACCCAGGAGCTTTATGCACCGGGATTTGCCTTTTAGTATTTACTAAGTCGTTTCACGTTTGAGGAGATAGTTAATTGTGGATGGTATAGTTTGATGTTCAAGAGAATCAAATTAAGCCTAGATAGTGCATTAATTCTTTGGTAAAATAAGGGTAAAAGAAAGAAAAAAATTATTCCCGGTACAATAATAATAAGCTGCGGTTCGGTACACCGAGGAAAAGAAAAAAACTAAAAGCAATAATAAGGTGCAGGGCAAGCTGTAAATCTGAAAGGTGGAAGCAGCCAGAAGCTGATTGTGTATAGTGTGTGGATGTGACCCAATGGCTTTGAAAATATTCCGTTCTGTACAGAGATGTTTTCCAACCTTAATTGCATGGTTGTTGTATGAAATAATGGGAATTAAACTGCCATTAAAACCTTGTCTGTGAGTCAGGAAGGTGAGTGGACTAGTTAACACAGTCCATCTATATCACTCAACTCAACATAACCTTCAGACTAGGAAAACAAGAGCGTGTCGTTTAAAATGGTACTCCTATTTATGAGTTTTTGCCTGTTGCAATAATCTATTAAAATCTTGGGCTTTGTGTAGTAGATTTGAATTGCAAATCAGAATTGCATTCAGTGCAAAGAAAAGATGATGATGATGATGATGATGATGATGATGATGGTGATGATGAAGGGTTCAGAAAGCTGCAATATTCCATCTTCGTGCAGTTTCCTAGAAAACCCATGAAAAGAATTGGGTGAACAAATTATTTGGCTTCAAACAAGTGAACCCTTCCAACTAAATTCATTGGAATTTCTGTTCTTTTCTTCCTTGTCATTAAGATTTTAGGCAGCAAAGGAAAGGCAACAAGCATACTCCTCAGTCCAATTAAACTCTGGTGAAACTACTTTCACATATATGATTATATGCATCTCATTTTCCTTTCTCAGAACACTAATAAAGCAAAGTTCTGCAATAAAGATGCTAAGAAAATGAAATATTAATTTATATAAAAACATCTGTAAATCTTAACATACCATAGTTATTGACCCATTTCTGTGTGGGATACAAAGCCTGGAAACAAATAAATATAAAATAATGCCTAAAACATGAAAGAGTTGATGCTTAAAAAACATTCATCTTTACCTCCTGTACAATATCTCTAGTCTCTACACAACTAATTCTAGGTATATAATTTGTGATATCGTCACAGAAATCATCCAAAAATTTGCTTATAGCATAAGAGAAAAGATTCTGCAACTGCAAAGCCTATGCAACAGGAAAAGAAAGTAGTAGGAAAAAAAATAAATAAAGAGAGAAAGAGATATTATCTGAACTTTGAATTCTTTGTAGCTGGTCTTGACTATCATCGCTTGTTGTGTAATGGGTTTGATCCTGTTGGAACCCTTCTTTTCTCCTCAAATTGCCTGGCTTGGCCTGTAAATTTTGAACTACTTGACCCTGGATGAAAAACCTGTTTGCCAGGTGGTCTGGTACCTTCGGCTGAAGAGTCAGATGCAAGGACGTTCCTCCGAATTGCTTGAATCCTGGGAGTCAAGAGAAGGAGAATAACAACAAGGGAGCAAAGCTGAAAACGATTCATCTTTTCTTTGAGAGAGATATGGAAAGGCAGTCATATCGAAACCAGCTTGTTATTATATATATGGGCAGGCATTTGTTCTTGAAGTTTTATGTCCTGTACTTGCCCCCATTTGCCACAGGATCTTACTTACATTGGTGATGTATAGTGGTGGGTCATAGCCTTGCCAACGTTGGATCAAAGATCAAATGGTGACAAAAGAAGATTTTAAGGGTCAAACATGAGATCACTGGCCTTTATAATGACTGTTGGGTCTGGTGGTGAAAGTCGGCATCCAACATACAGAAACTTGTATGTGAAAACTTGGCGGTGAAGGGGGAAACTTTTGCTGTGACTTTGAAATATTATTTGGAAAGACCAAAATGCCTACCCACTTTTCATACTGAATTTACCACAACAAGAGTATCCATATATATGTATACCTTGCATGACAAAGGGCATTTGGGTCATAAAAAGTCAAAATTCTGACGCACTCGATTAATCAAATGTCTTGCGTGATTGCATTAACACGTTAATCAAATGCAGACCACAAACCAGTATAGACACGAACGGGAAAGGTCGGCTATGAATGTTGGAGTTTCGATCTTAAAAACGACATGTGGAACATACACATTGAACAAATTTCGGCTGCCAAACCAATTGAAAAACCAAACCATATTATTTGATATTAACAGTGGTTCTTTTACGGCAAAGTTGAGGAATTTTCGTGTCCTAAATGATGCAATGTTGAATATTGTAAAAAAAAAAAAAAATCCTCTGAATTGTAGGGAGACAAGGGGTAACAAAAGTTTCCAAATTTTCATTCAGCTATACTCTTTTTTAACTTTATATATGTCATGACTATGATGCATCTATGATGACTTTGCCTCTCTACTAGTATTCCAATTTTCATCTTCATAAGCCGTTTGCAAATTGATTTAGGGTTTATTTGAATTAACGATGAGATTAATTTTAATAAAATTAAAAATTATAATAAAAATTATAGTAATTGTAATTAAAAAAATTATTATAATTACAATTAAAAAAAATTTAATGAAAAAATTATATTAAATGAATCTCATTGAAATTGATATTTGAATTTAACCGGTGGTAATTGAAGCTTAACTAGAGGTGCAACTACATTAAACATATAAACAACTATAACTCTTTTCTCTATTCAGAAATTAAGGAAGAAAAAAGTTGAATTTCGATTCTTAAAAGGAAGCCAATAATAATAATTACACTACAAGAAAATGAATATTTAACGAAAAGTTGAATTTCGATTCTTAACAAGAAACAAATAATAATAATTACACTAAAAGAAAATGAACATTTAATAACCCTATTTTGCATCGACCAAAAATGATGTAGAATTATAAAAGCTTGTGTTGGTGTAAAACTAGTTTTTATCATTGCACGGGAGAAGTCATGGAAACCTAGCTAAAATGAGTAAAATAACAAAGGTCGAGGTTGCCATATTTCAAAGCTTGTATGACAAAAACTTTGAGGTAATTAGGCTTGTAATCTCAACAAATCAATTCATACAAGATTCTTTCGTCGTCAGCCCGCATTAATTGAGATATTCAGTTTGAGTGCTGCATGTGTGTTCATAGGGCAAATCATGGCTCACCGACTCTAGGAATCAATAGGGGAAAATGTGATGCATATTGCTCAGTTTTCTTTTAAGATCATGCTATGTCGTTCGAGAAATAATCAGCAATTTGTGAGTGAGGGATACAAAACAATAGCAAAAATAGTAAATAATGTGAATTTGATGATGAGTATTGGTGAGTGAAAAATTTTTTTCCTCTGCACTGTAGATATCATCAAACACGTCTTATATTTCATTTGAATGATCGATGATACGTTATTTTCATGACGTTATCATGTCGTTCGACTATTTTGAATTGTTTTTTTTTCCAAAATTTCTTGAAATGTTTACTATATTTTGCTGTTTATGGTAATGTAATTAAATCTATGCATTTTCAGTATGCATGAACCAGCTATTCTTTAATCTCTCATTAATCTACGGGTGGTTGATGATCAAACAACTAGGTTGGTGCAGCTGTCTTGTCGAATATTCACTCAAATTCAAGTCCCAAATGGCATCAAATGAAACCTTGAATTTCAGGGATATTGGCTCACTACTATTACTACTTCAACAACTTTCTGGTTGATTTCATTAGCATATAATAATAATTATTATTATTATAATGATTATGATTTTAATTTTCTTTTTGCCTTTAATGATCTTCATAATCATTCATTACTAAAAGTCTTTTGACATAATTACCTGTAGAATTGTAATCCGACAGATTGAAATTATTGACAACAAGATATGAAAAAAAAGATAAAAGTGATTTAATTAATGTGCATACAACATAATTTAGTAATAATCATAAGTCTTAGTTTCAAAATAATGTGGTTTTCGTCAACCGTCCTATAATTTGTTCATAAAATTTTAAAATTTTAATTTTAATAATCAGAATTTAATCTTTAATGACTTCAATTATTAAAGTAATATGTATTATTCTTCATATACCAACTTAATTATTTATTAAAGAAGAAACTAAAGTAAAGCATTAATTTGAACCAAAATTTACAATATCATTGGTGCCTTATTTAAGCTCACGAACAAAAATTAAACTAATGAACCAACATGGAACGAATTAATTTGACATAAATTTAAACCATATATACTCTCAAAATTCTACTAAATACAAAAATAAAAGAGGTTTAAATCATGCTATGATCATCAAAAGTAACTAGATATGTACATTAATAATCCCTATTTTCCCTCCACTGATCATTGTGATCTAATGATAATAAATTCGAGTCGTGGAAATAGTTTCTTGCAAAAAAATACAAGGAAAGACTACGTACAATATATCTTTTTTCAAATCCTATGTAAAGCGGAGTGCTTCTTTGTGCATAGCAAGAATGCTTTATGTACTGAGTTACCCTTTTTATGCTATTTTATCAATAATGAACTGTTAGTTTAGTGATATTGATTTGAGTCGGTTTTAAAAATTTTTCGAATTTGAATCTCAATCACAACCCCGACAGACAAAAAATACATATTGTATGCCTTTTTGAACAAGGCAAGCTACCATAATAAGGTCCATCAAGGATGCACAAGGGAGGAAATGAAGAAAATTATACTAAAAAAAGGGGGAGAGATTTTGAGGAAAGAGAGAGTTGGAACAAAGTTGATGAGATATGGGAAGAAAAGTATTCAAATAATTAATTCCTCCGTAGTAACGTTAGTTGTGGCATCAAGTCCATTAGATCTGAAAGGCATCTTTCACTTTTATATATGGTGCTTGTCTACAAAATCACTTGAGTGAGAGGTTGAAGAAATTTAATATTTGTCCCTTTGATAAATGTGTATAACTTTTGAAAGTTGATAAATGTATATGTAAGTATTACTACAACTTTTGGGTTTTGGTCAATCTCACTTGCAATACCTTTTGTAACATTTATTAATGCTTTTAAAGAGATGTTTATAGGTCAAAACGAGTTAGGTTTGGATTTAGATCATATTTGATATTAATAGTTTATGTATTTGTTTAGATCAGATCTGACTTGATATTTAAAGTCTCAAAATTTTTTTCAAACTCAACTTAAATTGAAAAAATAAATTTTAAATTCACTTATTAAACTTAATTTATATAATAAAATTTTTTAAAATAGAATAAAAAAATAAAAATTTACATATATATATTTATATAATTCTATTATTCTAATTACAAATAATTTATTCGGATTGGGCCAAGTCGAGCTCAAACTTTAATTCTTTTGTTCAAACCTTAGCCTAAAATTTAAATGAATCAAAAAATTACACCCAAACCTATTTAATGAATTTTAATTTTTGTCCGAATTCTCTTAAAATTTAGATGAACTTTCGAGTTTAAATGAATACTTCTATCCTTAAATAAGTTTAATATTAAAAAATGAATATTATGGGCTCGTGGGTAGTTTTTTTTTTTTTTTTTAAATCAAATTTCATTAATAATCAAGTGAAATAACAGTAGTTATGGTGCACAAATTTTCAATATAATTTCGCATCAAAATCTAAATAAAATATTTGTAATTCAATTTAACTAAAATTCAAATACCAAAGATATTGGGGGTAACTAATATGGCTAGTGAGGAGTTTGAAATTAAATATAAATTTGTTGAATATTAAGCCAATATAATTGGGAAAAAGGTAAGTGAACTTCTTTCTTGATTATTCAATTAAATAACATCAATCCCTTAAAATTGTTGATCTATTATAATGAAATTGATCTCATTTTGAATTTTGATAAAATTATTCATGAATCGAGTGTAATTGTCGAAGCTTTATCTAAAATCGAATCTAACATGCTCATTTAAGTTTGAAGGGTTTTAATGTTATTTAAAATAATATTAAAAATAATTAATTAATTTTATATTAATATTTTTAAAATGAATTTTACATTTAAATTTAAATAAAAAATATTTTGTATTAATAAAATAATAATTTATACATAGTGAAGATCCACTTTAAAAATCTCTGAACCCAACTAATATCAGGCCCAACTCGTGAGTGTGATAATAATTCATATATTATTTCATTTATTTTCTTATTATTATGCTCTTGATTCAAACGCTGACCATAATGGACCCGGTTTTGAGCAGCCAACATAAGGAAATAGAAGCCCACCAAGAGTTACGCTGCAGCCCGCAGGGTTGAGGCATGGCCCTCGGTAGGCGAAAGGATGATGAACACCGTCAAAAGCGTCGGACTCAACTTGATCGACGTCCGAGCCACGGTCAGTTCTCTGTCGAATCGTACTACTTAAGTTTTATTTGGAGATTGATTGTAAGATTAAAAATAATAAAAATTATAATAATTATGATTAAAAAAAATTTTAATGAGAAAGAAAATTTTATTTTATTTTTATTGCGATGCTATGCGGATTATTAATTTCAAATTCAAATTTTTTTGGTTCTTTTACTTTTAAAAGTGTAAAGTTCTTATCAATTTTTTTTTATATAAAATGTCGTAATTTAGAAATAAAAAAATTATTATTAAATATTATTTTTTAAAAATAATTATATTAATAAATTAAATTAAATCTTGAATTCTTTGATCACTTCTTTAAAATTACATAACAATTGCTTTTGAAATATTGTTGTTCAATGCTAAGCTAGCTTTTTTCAACGAAGAACGAGCCACTTCCTTAAGTGAAAATGATGTCGCAATTGCGTGTAATGCCGTTCAGACGACCAAAAGATTGACCATATCAACGAAAAATTGACCGACTACAAGGGCGTGAGAATGATCTTTCTCTTTACTATTTAGCATGTTGAAATCTGTTGCACAGTTTGATGTTGATTTTCTTCTTGCTTGCTTTTTGGGCTAGACTTTGCTTTGACAAAGCTGAGATACTTTCAAACTTAGAGCAGTTGTTTTTGGAAAACTACTTCAAATTATGGTATTTACGTCGTGCACTTAAAGATTATGTCTTATTTAGTTATATATTTTGATTAGTGCGACCTTCCAGGAAATTGTTTGTGGGGACAAATCCCGTGAAAGATGCTACCAAAATTTTATATTTTTATTTTAAAAAAATTATTTAATTCATTATTAATGAACTTTTTAAATCTTAATTAGATAATTCATATTTTTATCATATATTTAAAAAATAAAACTTTTGTTAATATTTTAATTTTATTTATGAAATTAAAAAAAAATTTCGAGATGAACAATAATTTATAAACAACTAAATTATTTTAAATTTACAACTTTAAAAATAACAAAATATATAGATTTGGATTTTAATATAAATTCTTTCAAAGTGATTAGATTATATGCATTTTATAAATATTATACATTGTTTGACCGGAAAATTGTTTATTTGTGATTATTAAAGATGTTTATAAATTAAATCAAATTACGTAAAGTTTAATTAAAATTTCCAAAATCTTGCTTAACGCTCAATTCGATTTGTTCAATTAATCATTTAAGTAACGTAATGTTTTAATATTAAAAATTATTTTTAAATAAATATTTTAAGTACATTTTATAATTAAAATTAAATAAAACGTATTTTTATTAAAATAATATTAATGATAAGGGCGTACATTACACTTGACAGAATGCCGAGATTGCCGAATTTTCAATTGGTTGGTAACAAGACGACAAAATCCACTCAAACGGGAATAGAATAAGCGCCAAAATTACCCACCAAACATTTGACACGTCGTCACTTTCTTTTTCACCGAATTTTCAAACATCTCCGGGTCCGGTCTACGGTCTCAAATATCGTCCAACCTCCTTCGACTCTCATCTCCAATTCTTAAAACCCTCCCAAAATTCCAATCTAGGGCTTCTAAGTTTCAAAAATGTTACTAAAATTAATCTCAATTGCGTTCCTTTTGATGTCAATTTCTTCGATTACAGTAGAATCAAGATGCAGCGGAGGCTGCGATCTGGCCTTAGCATCGTACTACGTTTGGAACGGAACAAACCTGACCTTCATATCCGAGGTTCTTGATTCAACCCTTTCACCTTCCTCGACAATTAATTTCGATAAAATCCTTATTTACAACAAACAAGTTCCGAGCAAAGACAGCATCGATGCTTTTAGTAGACTCAACGTACCTTTCCCTTGCAATACGTGCATCGGAGACGAATTCCTCGGCCACTTCTTCGACTTCAAAGTTAGGCGAGGCGACACTTACACAAAAATCGCCACCGAATATTATTCGAATTTGACGACGGTTGAGTTGTTGCAGCAGTTTAATACCCATCCGGCGACGAATATACCGGATAATGCGACGATTAGTGTGCCGGTTAATTGTTCGTGTGGGGATGCTACTATTTCGAAGGATTACGGGTTGTTTATTACTTACCCGCTTCGACCCGAGGATAATATGAGTACTGTGTTGACTCAGACGAATCTGTCATCGAATTTTTCGGGGTTGGTGCAGAGATACAACCCCGGGGCAAATTTCAGTGCAGGAACAGGCTTGGTGTATATTCCGGGCAGAGGTGATTTCTTTAACATTTTTGTATTATTTTGAATTTTGCTCATTTATTGCTAAGTGAAAATGAAATAATTTTGCCACCAGTCAACGGTAACGGTTGATAGAGTGTTAAACTCCTAATTTCAGATCAGTAGAGATTCAGCTTAGGCAGTTCATCTTGTTATCTTAATCATAGGCTAGATTGTTAATTGTGATGTTACTATATAAAGTGATGGGCGCTCATGAATTTTGTAAATGATGCCAACATTTGTTTTCACTGTTATCTTGAAGTATCCTATCATTTTGCTCGCTGTATTTTCTGTTTAATAATCATTCAGATGATTTTGGGTATATTTATGCGTCAAAATGTTGTCAAAAACATGAAATAACTTAATTTCTCAGTTGTTCTTTAGAATACTCCATGGGATTTTTACAATATATGGTCAACTTGTTGATTTTTAAGGACCAAGGGTGTGGCATTGTGGTTCCATACCCTCAGTGTTATGAATAACTCTTACTTGGCCTCACTAAAGGATTTTCCTTCTTAATTTGCAGATGCTAATGATAGTTTTCCACCCTTCAAATCAAGGTAGCAAATACAACTTTGAACTTTAAAAAAATAGTTTAATAGATTATTACCATTTGTTTAACCTTTGAATCCTTAAAATTTCTAAATTCGTTTCTTCTTTCTTTCTGTTTTGCAGCACAGGAGGTTTGCCCTTCTTTGCATGTAGCTTTCGTGATGATAATGATATTGGGATGCTGATTGACTGGAAATTTGTGTACTCTCACCTTATATCTTGCCTTTTAATAAGCAGGAATTTCAGGTGGAGTTATCGCTGGGATATCTATGGCAGCCATAGCTGTATTGCTGTTGCTGGCAGTTGGTCTATATGTTGGATTTTTCCGAAAGACGAAGGTAAAGGAATCAACATTGCTTTCGACAGACTCCCAAGATTTATCAGCTCAAGGTGGGAAAGGTAATCCCCCTGCTTCCCTGTCCCCTTTCCATTTTTGTTTGTTTGTTTGTTAGATTTTAGCAAACTAGAGATTATTTCACAAATTTAGTGCTTTTTACCATGGATAAGAACGGGTCGGGTCGGGATGAATTTTTGTTCGCCTCAAACCTGATTCGATTTTATATTCACAAAACTCGAACCCGACCCGAAGATTTTTTTTTATTTTTTTTCATACCCAACTAGACCTGACCTAATACTACATAGTCCGTATCCGACCCAACCCGACCTGAAAATTAATAAAATAATATTTTTAAAATAAAAAATATTATTTTTTAATATAAATATAAAATTATATATATAAATAATTTAAAAAATAAATCTTTTATATATATCGGGTCGGATTCGCCAAAACTCCGACTTCGACCTTTCCTTACAATTATCCGATCTGACCCTACTCGAAACTTAATTTAAAAAAAAAATCAACCCTATGAGATCGGGTTGGATCTGACGGGTTAGGCTGCCAACCCTACTTTTTACAAGTGTTTTTAGATTATGTTGCCAGTTGAATCTTTGAAAACCCAATTAAAAAAAGTGATCAATTAGCCAAAACACATGATGAATTGCCCTTTATTGCAGAATGTAGAGAAAAAGAACATGCTTTTAGTTTTCTTTTAAATTTTCTAAAGTTAAAAAATTTGGACTTTACATCCTTGCTGAGAACCTAGGCTATCATCTGTACTGTTCATGAATAAATGTAGGCAATTATATCTTTAGGATACAATAAAATCTCAAACTTTCCAATCAGAAACAATGAAAATGGTTATACAAAAAGATTTATTTATAATGAATGAACAAATGTAAGCTTTTATTCAGATAGTTATGACTTTTGTATAATCATAACCTTTATGAATAATAATCTATTTATATTCAAATAGTTATGGTCATTTGTCATATGATAATTATTTGTGTTCAAACATAATTATTTAAAATATGAATAAAATTAATATAAAAATTAATTTTATTCATCGATAATTAAATCTTTCTATCTAATGTAAGATGTACCACATTCTAAACTACCAATAATCTCCAACTAGTTTGGAATGTTGGTGTTTAATTTTTACCCTTCATACAAATAAATATTATGAATACAAGAAAGTATCTCTCGATTTAAATTTTCAATTAGTATATATATCTTAGAATTCTAACGAAGTTAATGGTGTCCATAGATTAAACATTAACTCCTAGTGTTAGAATTGAAGATATTACATATATAATACTTATTTATTCTTCTATTAGAGGTTTATAACAACTTTTAGTACTATTATGGGCATGTGTTTATCATATTCATAAACATTTATAAGAAAGACCTCAATTCTTCTTGTTGAAATGACACTATTTCTATATTTATATAGATAGAGTTTTTATTATGTCTCCACTGCTTTAAACATTTAAAACTCCATTAAGAGTATAAAAAATCATCCTTCCCACGTAATGGATCATACTAGTTTGTAAAATTTGAATGGATTTTACTAATATTTAATAGACACATAATAATAACTTGTTTTTACTCATTAAACTTTGTAATTAGATGTTACTAATTCAAAGTTGGGTTCTTATTATTGGTGTCTAATAGTAAGAGTTTAAATCCATTTTACTTGTAGTATTATTAACCAAATATCTTGAAATTTAATTTTCTTTTATGGTAATTATTCTCACTTGAAATTGAATCTCTAATATAATTACTAGAGGCTAATATGTCCAAACTTTTCATTTTGTATATCATTTATAACATTTTAAGAAATAATTGGTTTTGGTCGTAGCCATAACTCTATATTCATTAATTTCAATCATTTTATTTTCATACTTTTATACATTTTTAATACAATTATACTTCTAATACAATTGGATAAATTCAATGAATAAACTAAATGATTTTAGTCCTTTTAAGATTTTTAAGGACTTTTTTTTTTATGATTTTACTTTAATAAATGTCTAAACTTATTAGTATGTATAATTTGCTCATAAAATTATACTAAAATCTTACAACACTATGATTGTAATTTTTATTTATTTTGATTCTTATCACCTTCACTATGTGCAAGTATGCATTCTTTTATTAAAAAATATCTTATTCAATTATTCAAGATATTATATATACTTAATCAAGTTGCCATTTCATTTATTTTTTCACTATTTGGTGGTTTTTTTTTTTTAAGTAGAAGACCTCTAAATCTATCCATAATGAAAGAAAACTAGCAAATATTTTAATATTTCTATAAAAGTTTCAAAACTTTTATATTTTAATTCAATATAAGAGTTTACATCTATAAGTAGATTTCAAATATAATCATGCTTCTATAGTCTCATTTTAAGACTTTTATGTCAATTCATAAATACTTATATGAATCTATTTGATCTGGATACTATTAATAATTTTTTATTAGCGTGAACAAAACCATTTCCATTACCCAAAAAGATCAAATAACATTTTTTTTGCTATTATAAAAGTTTTCATATTCATGAGATCTTTGAATCACTCATAGCTTACAGAGTAAATATACTTTGAAATTTTCACTATATAAAACCATAAATGATAAATCATTTGCACAATCCATGAATTAAACCATATATATAACAAAAAATTACCACAATGTGATCAAGATTGTGGTATCAATTTTGGTTTATGGCTATTTTAAACCAACCATGATAATTCACATCATACCTATAAATCATGTAGATTTGGCTATTAAAGTTATCTCATTTATAATGATGGCTTTTGTGAAAGCCAACTATCTCAAATGTTATCATGAGTTTCAATGCACATATTAATTACCCAATAGCCAATTCCAAGTTCATAACCATTGAAACCTTTAAATTTGATTTCAATTTTTTTATGAGAATTTTATTTCTCCACCATTGTGCAACTTATATATCTCTGTTATTTATCACTTTTAATTGGTTATAACATTTTCAGATATATAATAAATTCAAACTTTACTCATAGAACCAATAAGCCTATGTAAAATAAGAGTCCATAATATATTTAACTCTAATTTTAAATACTTTCACAATCATTTTGTGATCAATATGTTCATATCTAAATCACCATATTAATACAAGTCATGAAACACGAATTTAAAGAATCATTTTCATAAAATAGAATAAACAGTAATTATAATATCAGTTCTACCTATATTTCATACAAAAATTCAATATGAATTTGCATTTGTTAAATCACTGATTAGCTAACTCTAAAGCTTACGGCTTTGACAAATCAATATTCTTATCTAAGCCCACATGTTAATATGGTGTATAACCAATCACATCCTCACCATTGTCAGGAAACTATTGAAAACCTCGGGAACTTGTTCACTTTTCATTTTAGTAGCATGCAAAATGTCATTTTTTGGGTACAAAAAGCAAAAATATCTTCATTGTCTTTAACCAATAAGGTATTAATTGGATGATGGCATTCTATCTCTATAATCCATATCTATCTTATATGTATAAGAAAGAAAATTTCATCTCATTCAGTTCATTTTCGTAATATATGACAAACTGTACCAATGTTCTTTTTGCCATCACAAATGGAATTAAACACATGCATGTGTTTATGCCTTTGAAACATTGAATTTGCATGTTCTTTTCTAATTTATAAATATGCCTAATTAAACATTGATGAGCATCCTTCAAAATACAAGTAACCGACAAATGCTTCAATATTTTTTAATGGCATGCCTTTTATTTAATCAATATCCTATATGTGAAAAGCAACAATGCTTTTTTGTAACCATTGATTAACTTTTTGACTGTTATTTATGATTTCAACTTTGTTATTGTTCATAATAAAATTTTATTTTGTAAAATCACTTCTAGTGTAATACACCTAACAAGTAAAAATACCTATTACACTGCTTATGTTTTTTATAATAATAATTATTTAGTTTATTATCCACCAATTAATCCATGAAACACCATATCTCAGTAATAGTTATTCACAAATATCAATTTAATTTTAATTGGTTTTCAGAAAATTGAACACAATTCAAAATTTAAATTGATAATAAATTTAAAAAATATATATATCAATATTTGATTTATAAACGACTAACAAAGATAGAACCATACAAATAGCTTGACTCAACTTATTATCTCAATTTTGATACCATGATTTAAAAATAAAACTAATCTTGCAGCCAAATCTTATTTTCTGTATATATTCTCCACTTATATCTAATTTTCATAGTAAATATATTTACCTATTTTCTATTATTTTCATAGAAACCATGGGACAATTTGCATGTTCTATATATAACCAAGATGTGACAATTAAATAATCGGTCATTCTATTAAAATGTAATTTGTTACTTTATAACAAATTATAATTATTTTGGTCGCAGATCATTTCATGTCTTTCTCTTTTATGTTTTTAGGTTATTTCTCATCCTAGTCTTTATAAGCATCGATTTTTTAAATAGATATAATACAATTCATTAAATTTAATTGTGGAGTCAATTTCAGTATATGCATAAACTTATACAATATAATCAATATTTTGCATATTAAGTTTTGACTTTACACACTAATGAAATAAATTGTTAATGTGTTTATCTCATTCAATTAATCTTTTAACTAGTAATTATGCAAAAAATAAAAACCATACCTCTAATGAAGATTTTTATAAAAATTCATATTTTGGTTCATAGAAACATTAATTCTTTGACACCTTTAGCCTTCTCTAATAATGATATTCAAATCATGTCAATTTCTTTTCCTTGTATCTTCTTTATGCAAAATATAACTTTCTTATAATGACTTTAAATTGTTAGAAAAAATAAATAAGAGAAAAGAAATAATATAAAAGAATTTTGGTTTTGAGATGTGAAAAACACATTTTTAAAGACAATTATACTTTTAGGATGCAATAAAATCTTAAACCTTTTAATCAGAAGCAGTGAAAATGATTATACTGAAAGATTTATTTCTAATGAATGAACAAATATAAACTTCTATTTAGATTGTTATGACTTTTTGTATAATCATAACTTTTATAAATAATAATTTATTTATATTAAAATAGTTATGATCATTATCATATGATAATTATTTGTGTTCAAATATAATTATTTAAAATATGAATAATATTAATACAAAAATTAATTTTATTAATCAATAATTAAATATTTCTATCTAATATGAGGTACATTACATTTTAAACTACCAATAATAGATACTTCAATATTGCATCTATGCCATTTATTTTATCTATTTGTTACTTTTTAGAACAAAATCACTATACTTTGCTAGTAAATCATGATTCCAATTATCTCAATTGCCGATTGGTCCCTACTCTCTCTTTTGTTGGTGGGATCTCTTTAGTTTTTGGAAGTAAAGCAGCAGAATCAGCTGGGGCAGTTGCTGCTTCTCCAGGCCTCACTGGCGTTACTGTAGACAAATCAGTTGAGTTCTCATATGAAGAACTTGCCCAGGCGACTGATAATTTCAGTATGGCGAACAAGATTGGTCAAGGTGGCTTCGGAGCTGTTTACTACGCAAATCTGAGAGGCGAGGTTTGTACTTGCATACTTTTTTATTTTTATTAGAAGAAATTTTTGTATTTGGTGCTTCTGGTTACGCTTAGTCAATTAATTATTAGCTTTACTTCTTGACTAAGTTCAGAAATAGACTCACATCTTGCATGTTAATGTAAAACAACTAGGTCGCCCACTTGGACTATGTCGTCTAGGTAGAAAAATTGTGGATTGCAGAAGAGACACGTGATTTGTTGCTAATTAATGATAAGATTGTTGAGGTGAAGAAAAACCTTTTTTCTAGTCATATTTTAGAGTCTGAGAGGATCAAAATTCGGAATGTCACTTAGTTCAGTGGACGTTCATTTGCCTTCCTAATTTGCTTGCACTTTTGGAACTTACTTTCATGTAGATAGTTGGAAATGGAGCTCAAGCCTGATGAGTAGAGTTGAGCATATCTAAACTAGGCGTGGAAAATGCAGAAAAGATTCATATATGAAACAGAAGAATGGCTCTCTTAACCATTGGTTTTTCTTTGGTTATATAAGATACATGAATATGCTGTGTCCTAAATTCAGACAAAGCATAACTTTGCAGTTTCTTGCATTTAAAAAGATTAATAAAAATAACTATGCATGCATGCATTCTTTTGATTTTTCACTTTAATCTGTTTTTTTTAACCTTTAAATTTTGCAGCATCAATGAATCATTGCCATCTCATGTTGGTTCCATATGTCACTTATTACTTACTGTGTAGGAAGCTGCAATCAAGAAGATGGATACGCAGGCATCCAAAGAATTTCTGGCTGAATTAAAGGTTTTGACACATGTTCATCACCTGAACCTGGTAATGCACTTTCTTTTTCTCATGCTTGGAAGGGTGTATTGCGTGCAATTGTGTTCGGTTTCTGTGGGAACACTTTGTTAATATTCTGGGTGTGGCACCATAGGCCAACAGGCAACAACCAAAGGCCAAGTTTATGTTCTCTGTAGTACAATGAGTCAGAGGAACGGTCTATAACTCTATATCCACCTATGGCACAGTCTTTCATGTATAACTTTCAGTAACCCTTATTTTACCTTAATGTAAGCAATATAATACAGAAATTTGGACGGAGTTCAAGGTATCTTGCTCAATTAAATTCTCAATGAGTCAACTATACCTTTGATTGCTGTTGTGGTAATGCACAAGTAATGAAGTAGCTTTTCTCAATCATTGTAGCTGAATTCAGTGGCCTTTCTTTTTTAATTAATTAAATTTTCTTCTTTTATAAACATCCTTTTCCAGTTATGACGTTCTAAAGTTCTTATTTTGTTATTTATCTTCAAACTGATGTTAATATAGTTGTCCAATGCAGGTGCGTTTAATCGGTTATTGTGTTGAAGAATCTCTTTTCCTAGTATACGAATACATTGAGAATGGCAATCTAAGTCAGCATTTGCGAGGCTCAAGTGAGATTTCTTATGTTAAAATTATTGCTAATTGCATTGGCTCAGAGCAGCACTAACGGATATCGTTGTTTATTTCCAGGCAGGGAACCACTTCCTTGGTCTACTCGACTGCAAATTGCCCTCGACTCAGCCAGAGGTCTTGAATATATCCATGAGCATACTGTCCCCGTTTACATTCACCGTGACATTAAATCAGCTAATATATTGATAGACAAAAACTTCCGTGCAAAGGTTATTTTTTTAATAATCTCTCATCAGGTGGACTGTTGAAAGCTTCATGTCATCATTGCACTGAATCATTTTTAACATATAATGCAGGTTGCTGATTTTGGATTAACAAAACTGACTGAAGTCGAAAGTGCATTGCTACACACACGTCTTGTTGGAACATTTGGATACATGCCTCCAGAGTAAGATTATTTTAATTCGTTCTTACTAATTCGAAGCAATTTGCAACTCATTAGCATAAGTTCAACAACTAGTTAGAACTGTCCTCTAGTCAGTAAATTTATGACTAAAGAGGCCTATGATCCCATAGACAATGAATTGCCCGTAGTCAATGAATTTGTAACATGAGGAGCATCAGATAGTTTGTGCAGGACTAACTTTATTCATTCTTGTGTGCAGATATGCTCAATATGGTGAAGTTTCTCCTAAAGTAGATGTATATGCCTTTGGGGTTGTGCTTTATGAGCTTATTTCTGCTAAAGAAGCTATTGTCAAGGCAAATGGCTCTGTTGCTGAATCGATGGGTCTTGTTGCTCTGGTAAGTCTGGTTAATATTATTATTTCAATCCCTCTACTCCAATTAATGAAAAGTGATCACTTATGGGCTAAATTCCATGCGTTTTTGCCAAATTGGAATGTGAATTGATTAAGAACAGGCAAAATCAAAATGGGTTTTGCCTGTCTGAAAGACACTCATTAGAGCCTGAGCAAAAGTACCCATGACCATGAGCATAACCTAATAACTTTTTGTTTACTTGTGCAGTTCGAGGATGCCCTTAATGACCATGATCCTAAAGAAGAGCTTTGTAAACTTGTTGATTCGAGGCTTGGAGATAATTACCCGCTAGACTCTGTGTTTATGGTGAGACAAGTTCCTGGGAAATAACATGCTGGGATTTTCTTTTCCACGATTTCAATTTGATGTAGCTATGGTGGCTGTTTTGATTGCAGGTGGCTCAGCTTGCCAAAGTGTGTACACATGAAAATCCTCAGCTACGACCAAGTATGAGGTCTATAGTGGTTGCCCTGTCGACTCTTTCATCCACAACAGAGGATTGGAATGTTGGTTCTTTATATGAAAATCAAGATCTTGTCAACCTTATGTCAGGACGGTAAAGAGTCTTTTCCAGAAAATTGTTCATGTGGTCACTGAGATCACTTTTTTACAGGTCACTTCAAACTAATTACCACAATTAATCGATCAAAATTTAGAGTTACGCATGATATATCATCATATTAGCTAAAAATTACATTTATAAACGATGAATTTTTATATAATTTTTTATTATAATTGAACCTCTTGTGGGTTGTAATGGTCGTGCCAGCACAATCTATTTTGCTACAATACTCATGTCAAGTGAGTAGTAATGTCGAGTTGGTAGTCGTATCATGTTAGGCTGAGCATTTCAAAGCCCACAGGTTAGCATGGCACGAGCCTATGATTAGATCATGCCCAAATCTAGCATGACACGAATCTATATTTTGCTGATAAAAATATAAGATCAATTAATTTTTTTTGTATGTTTTATATGATTCTAAAATTTTAAATGAATATTAAGAATAATAAGAAGATAACCTTAGTGAGAATATAATATGATCTTTAATTAGTCAAAAAATAAAAAATAAAAATTCTAATATATCTTTTATTTGTAAAATTAATTTTTATTGACAATAAGATGTTAACTTTTCAAAAGAATAATTAGATAAATTTGATATTTTATTATGATGGAAAAATAATGAAAAGGTTTTTCCCATGCTTTTCTCTAATGGTTTGTGATCTACTAACATCTCATGTGTTTACAATTTTATCAAAGTCTTATTTCAATGCAAGTTGAAGAGTTATTGATGAGAAAAAAAATTAATGTAAAAAAAAATAATTTATTTGATGGGTCGTGAGTTTTTTAATAAAAAACTATCATTATCAACTCATGAATCATGTTGGGTCGAGGATATTTTAATAAAAACTGACTTAGCACGATTTTTTTTTTTTTTTTGTATTGGGCTAACTCGGGCCATAATAGTGCTATGACAAGCCATTTAGTTCATTTTATCACTTTTCGTAAGATCCAACCTTTCACTAAGTTTTTTTTTTTTAATTTTTAAAAAAATATTTATGGCAAATATTGAAAGATCTAAGGTTGTTTTTACTATATAAACATCTATTCGAATTTGGAAAATATTAATATTTTTATTCTTTTTTTGAAAAAAAATTTAATTTGAAAAAGATATTTTCTTATAGAGATATTTTTTCCTATAATATCTGATTTACTGATTATAATTTTTTTTTATATTCAATAATTTTAATTATTAATTAAAAACTCACTAGTTAATTCAAGATGATTTTCCAAAGCTAGAAAAACTTCAAAGTTTCCTATTTTACCCATATTCATATTTCCAATTTAATAACATCTAATTTTTATAATTAATTAAGAACTCTCTGTCTCTCTCTCACTCTATTTAAGTCATAAATCATGTTATTTTCTATAGTTGCATTTCAACTCTCAATGAAATTTGAAATGCAACCACTAGTTGATGGAGTTATTATCTATAACGGTTCATATCAAATCAAATTCAATTTGATTTTTTCAAATAATGTATAAATTTATGAAATTTTAAAATTTGAACCAAAATCGAATCAAATTTTCATCCAAAATCATATCAAATTTTCATATGAGTCGAATCGAATCGAAATCGATTTAATTTAGCTAAGCAATTTTTTAAATTAAAATTTTTTATTTTATATATTATTTTAATATAATTTTTAATATATTTAAATATATTTAAGTATAAATATATTTAAATATAAAATAATTATATTTATTTTATAAAAATTTAACGAATATATAAAAACTAATAAAAAGATATAATTATATTTGGTTTGGTTTTTCAAGAAATTTTCACTTTTAAATTTTAAATTCAATCCAAACTTAATATAAACATTTAATATTAAAATTTAATCCAAACAAAAAAAAAATTAATATAAACTGAACACTACAGTTTCAAATTGATTTTCTATCTTTAAAATTTTTTTCTCATCTCTAATTACGCTTAGGCATTTTTTTTTATCTAAGTTTTTGTTAAAAAAAAAAAGGTCAAAAGGATCTAATTATTTTATCATTCTATTTAAGTATTCATATTATTCTATACAGATTATATCTTATAATTCATATGTTTGTGTCTAGTTTATTTGATGTCAAATGCATATAAAGTATAAAAATTATCGTATTATAATTCATGTCAATAAATAAAAAATAAAACATATTTTTTTTATCAAATCAATATACGATTTTTTTAATTTTAAACTGTATTACTTTTATTTATTTTTTAAAATTGCTTTATATCATATCCGAAACAAGAAACCTAATTGCCCAATATAATATACATTCAATAAACATGAAGATGAAAGTTTGATCCTTTCACTCATTTGGTTGCAAAACAAATAAAATTACCAAGAGATCTAAAAAGGATTTAGCTTTAACATTTTAAAAGAGTCAAATACTATATTTTCTTATTTGGGTTTAGTTTCCTAGAAAAATCATTGGCACATAAAATTTCTTACTAATAAGTTTGCTTGAGTGTTTATATGCAATGCAATGAAATTAATTCGACGAAATCATTTTAAGCAAATCATTACTTTCAAAAAGTTGTAATTTTAGTATACCCTCTTATAATAAAATTAAATGTCCAATTTATTATAACGCAAAGCATAGATTTTTGAATAAAAAATTTAATGTAGTTGATCAACATAGTTATATGATATCTAATAAATTTAAAATTTATATATTAATAATCATAATTTTTTTATTTTTAAATTATAATTTTTTTATTAAAAAAATACTTTTCAACTTTAGCATAAAAATGTTAAAAGGAAATCCACTTACAAAACTTTTTATATGTATAATTTTGCTTGTGTTTAAATGGGCATATTAAGAAAATGACATTCATCTTGAAATAGCAAACATTATTTTAAAACAAATAATAATAAATTATAATGAGGGATTCACTTAATCTTTAGAGATAAAATGGATAAAATTAAAAATATTATTTTTATTTAAATTATTAATTAATTTAATTTTGATTTAATAATAAAAAAATAAAAATTACACTAATATAAATAGATCAATTTCAACGATTCCCAAAAAACTTGCCCAAAGCCAGCCCATTTCTTCTGTAGAAAGGCCCAGACCGGTCTCGAACTCGGAAACAAAAAAAAACCGAACCGTCCTCTCCTTTCCTGAAACCTTAACCAACACGAAGTCCAACTTTGCAGCCCCTTTTATTAATCAAACATCATAAATTTCAAACAATCTTAGAATTAAAAAAAAAAACGACAGAGTACGGACCAAAGCAATTTGAATCTTTCGATCGAATTTTTAAGGAATAAAGGGGAGGTTTTCTTGTGAGAGATATGGATTTTGAGCTAAGGAGAGCGAGAGAGAAGCTTGATAAAGAGCAGAGGGAGAGGAAGGAAAGGGCCAAGTTGAAATTGGAGAAAGAGAGGAAAGCAAAAGAAGAAGCTAAGAAACAACGAGATGCCATTGAAGTTGCTCAGAGATCTAGAAGGCTTGCTGCCATTGAAGCTCAGCTCGAGGTGCTACTGTTTCGCGATCTCAGCTTTCGGTTCTCAAATCATTTCATTGAATTCTTCCTTTTTCTGTTCTTTTTTAATTCTTCCATTGAATTTATAATTAATTCTTATTCAACATGTAGTTTCATCCTTTGCATCAAATTTTTGATATGGGAATTGATGCTTTGCTTGAAATAGTTAGAAACATGGGTGTGAATAAGAAGATTCTTGAGGAATTTTTAGTATGCGAAACATGTTTAGCCGAATATTAGTTCTTTTCTTTAAAATATGAAAGCCCATTACACTTTGTCTAGACAATAACATCAGTTAAACTTCGTGCAATGCCATTGAAAGCCCATTTTTAATCTACCATGGGCTAGGTGCGAGGTCTGTACTGCTGGTCAGCTGCGCCTCTTTAACACTCTTTATAATGATTACACGATGGTAGAGTCCACCTTACGTATGTATGGAGAGGAATAGTGCTTGAATAGATGGTTTATAAATGAGTTGAATATTTTGCATTATGATGTTTTCGGTATATTTGGTAATGGGGATTTCTAATCTTTTTCTTCCTTTGTCCTCAGGTTGAACGGAAAATGGAAGAAAGTTTACTTGCCGGAAAAGGAATAGTTTTTTATAGAATCTTAGAAGCTGTACCTTTTCAGGGTAGTGGAGATAAGATCAAATTGCCTCCATCCTGTTTCACTGAATTGTCTGATCAAGGTGCATTTGACAAGGGACCGGTATATTTTCAATTGTCATTGGTTCATCAGGAGGGTTTTTCTGAGATTAAGGATGGTGAAAAGGAAAAGAATAGAAGCACTCATTCAGGTGTTTTGGAATTCACTGCAGATGAAGGTTTCGTTGGGATTCCTCCCCATGTATGGAGTAATTTGTTCCCTGTGGACACTCCAAAGGCTTCCTTGGTTGAGGTTCGTTATGTTCGACTTCCAAAAGGAACATATGCTAAACTTCAACCTGATGGAGTTGGCTTTTCTGACTTACCCAATCACAAGGCTATTCTTGAAACAAGCCTTCGTCAGCATGCTACTCTTTCTCAAGATGATGTTCTCACAGTTAAATATGGAGAGTTGACATACAGGTTATGTGTTCTTGAGCTAAAGCCCTCTTCAAGCATATCTGTCTTGGAAACAGATATTGAGGTGGATATAGTCAACCCAGGTGTTGAATCAGAAAGGACAGATCAGTATGTCTTAAAGCCACTTGTGTTTGGTACATCAGACTCTGGATTGGTTGAGGAAGGAAATTACATGTATTATAAGTTCTCAATTGATGACAAAACATGGGAAAACATTGTTTCCGGTGATGTCAAAATAGAGGTAAGGATAGAAGCGGAGACGAATGATGGAGATACTGATCTTTATGCATCCAAGCATCCCCTTATATTCCCAAACCGTCATCAACACGAATGGTCTTCCCATGATGTTGGTTCAAAGACTTTGATCCTCAGCTCCAAAGAAAGGAACTTGGGTGCTGGTACTTACAGCCTCGCTGTCTATGGCTTCAAAGGAACAACCAAGTACCAGGTATCAGTGCATGTTCTAGAGAACAGCAAGCATAAGGTGCGTCAACAAGCTGTGAATTCATCTTCAATGGAGGTGGATACCGTGGAGTGTCGGAATTGCAAGCATTTTATACCCAGTAGAAGTATAGCTCTGCACGAGGCATACTGTAGTAGGCATAACGTTGTTTGTCTACACGTTGGTTGTGGAATTGTTCTAAGGATTGAAGAGGCCAAAAATCATGTGCATTGTGACAAATGTGGGCAAGCCTTTCAACTGGGAGAGATGGAGAAGCACATGAAAGTGTTCCATGAACCACTTAGGTGTCCTTGTGGAGTAGTGCTTGAGAAGGAAGACATGGTAAGCCACACTCCTTTCTACAGAAGATTTATTTCAATTTACTTTATTTCAGTTAACTAGGGCATTATTTCTGCCAACTTTTGTTAATTTATTTGAGAAGTGGAACATGAGTTAATTTTTGAATCTGACAACTATTTTTCTGGTTCTATGAGAATGTTGCTTAATGCATAACTTATTTAGGGTGCGTCATTCTGTGCCAGTTCCAGTAAAAGGGTTGGCATGTCCACTAGCGCCCCTCTAAGCTGGCAGATGATGAATAGGAATAAGCATGAATGCTTATTGTAAATTACGGTTTTACATGTTCTGCTAGATTATAATTACATTATTAGACATTTAGAGATGCCAATGCTGTCGACATGTTGTGGATATAGTCTAGCAAAATGAAAGGTTTGAAATTGTTCGAAATGTTCATAAACGACAAACTCATATGCTGCACGCCATTGTGGCATGTCTAAACAATCTTCAACCTTTTTGTTTGTCTTTTTCAAAACACAAGATTCCAATATTTTATATTTGATGGGATCCATCACCTAAGATAGTTAAAGGAACATGATGATCTTTTCTTTAGCTCCTGGAGTGGCCAAAGTGATTGGCGTCTAACATAGATATTAAATCTGATATCAAGATGAGAAAATTGATGACTGGGTGATTGAAAAGTGGAAACCTTGATTGCATCTTTCTGTATTGTCCATCTAGATATCTTTAACTTTCGGTTTATTGGGACAGGTGCAACACCAAGCTTCAGATTGCCCCCTGCGCTTAATCACATGTCGGTTTTGTGGAGACATGGTTCAAGCTGGAAGCTCTGCCATGGATGTTCGTGACAGATTACGTGGACTTTCAGAGCATGAGAGCATTTGTGGCTCAAGGACTGCTCCATGTGATTCATGTGGACGTTCCATAATGTTGAAAGACATGGACATCCACCAGATTGCCGTTCACCCGAAGAACTAATGTCAGCACAACTTCCCAATTCCAGTAAAGACCAAAGTCAGCACTATTTTGCATGGCTTATAATGTTTAAGACTCATAGAAAAAAATGGACACTGTGGCTGTTGGCTTCTGTGCATGAACCAAAGAAACAGATTGGGATTATTTGCATATATTGTAAGAATCATGGGGCATTATTGTTTTGTGCTTGTGAAAAAGGCAATACATAAATATTTGGTTTGAGACTCTCGGTGTCTGATAATCACTTTGGGTTCTTATTAATCCGAAATCGAGTTGGGTTAAACTCTATAAAGGGAGCAAGTTTTCCCAGCGTTTTTTTTTTTTATTCACAAGAATTGAAACTAAGACCTTACTTAAAAATAATCGAATTTCTCAATCACTCGGATCAATAAAAAACTAATTATATGAATGGTATTCTTTATATAGTTTGTTCTTGCTCATTCCTATGAGTGAAATTTCATTTGTTGATTTTCTTTCTCATTTTTTACTAATAAGCTGTTCTTATTACCAAAAACTCAAATTTTCTAATAAAAGAATTTAAAATTTTTCACTTTATATTAAATGATGAATCAAATTTATTAATTTTTTGAAACAAAATTCAATTTTATATTTTTTAATTTGGATCAAAAAAAAAAATTCAAATATTCTCACAAAATAGTTTTGATCATTAATTTTGATATTTTTAATCAAATAAAAATATTACAAGTACAATGGTTTAAAAGTTACTAATATATTTTTAATTTACATTTATTATTATTATTATTTTGAATTTATTAAAAATTATAAAAAATAATTTCTTATAAATTTGTTAGAATCATTTGAACTTATTAGAAAAAAAATACCAAACAAAATCTAAAAACTATTTTTTGAAAAAAGTTGCATTTATTATTATTAGTTTTTTTATTAACTTGCCGCATAAATTTTTCTTTGCAGTTGCCCTAATCTTTAAAATAGTAGAAGTACTAACCAAATAACAAATTCTTTATTTCTTTCCTTCTCAACTATTCCAACCCCCCCCCCCCAAAAGAATAAACGATTGGGCCCAGTTGTGGGCCTGAGTTGCCCTCCCGTGGGCCATTCCTTTCATTTTATTTTTTCTGACTTCGGTGCCATTTGCTGAATAGTCGTCGCCCGAGGCTGCAGCCAGGCTTTGACGAAGCCATACCTGGGCAGGCTTCCTGTGACTCAGAGATCCGAAGCTTTTACGAGGCCGGAAAGGAAAAGAGAAATGGACGAGGTGATGACGGTAGCAGATTCGAGCGGCACCGGAGCGACGTCGTTTGCGTCGTCTCCTTCCTCTAACCTGCTTCCTAGCAACCTCCCTCTCGTCACGGCCTTCCTCGCCTTCGCTCTTGCTCAGTTTCTCAAACTCTTCACCAATTGGTTCGTTATGTCTTAATCACAGTTTTTCAGTTGAATATACTACATTCAAATCCCTGTTTTGCTGATTTCGAATCGCTATTTGTTTGTTGTTTGATGAGAAAGTTGTAAAGTTCGAATCTTGGAATATTTTGGAATTTGGTTAGGTCTTTGATTAGACTTGACAATTTAAAATATGACACCGTGATGCAATGTGAATATGATAGAAGGACAGGAAGAGAACATGAGTTAAAATTTTAGTAATAATTATATATAGATTTAACAAAATCAAATGAAACACGTAATTGTTGTTTAAAATACTATACAAATACACAAATGTTAGCATTTTACACTATATAAATTCACGAATCGTTAGGTCTAGCTTTGATATACGCTTTAACTATCAACCGCTATTTGTTCTTTGTAACCCTTTAACACAATGATTTTGCTGTTAGATTGTTGTGCATGGTTTTTTTATTGGGTTAAATTTTTGTTCACTTGCATAATTAGGTTTTCGAGTTTCAGTTGATTTTAATCACTGGTCCAATGCTTTTTGAATTGTAGCTCAAATATTTGAACTTGTTTCTCCTAGATACTCAGGTTTAAAGAAAGGAGATGGGATTCTAAGAGGATGATTGATTCAGGTGGTATGCCATCATCACACTCTGCCACTGTGACAGCTCTTGCAGTTGCTATAGGTCTACAGGATGGGACAGGAGGACCAGCTTTTGCAATTGCAGTTGTCTTGGCATGTGTTGTATGTGCTTCCTAACTTTTCATTTCCTTGTGGTGATATTCTCACATATGACCTGTCTTATTTATTGCCTTGCCTCTTTTGTTTTGTGTTTTTTCTTTTAATCTAATTTTAAAATCTGTAGACCAGATAGGCAGTTTTGTTAGGTTCAACCTGGAGACCCACTTGTTTAACAACAGAGAATGGAAAGCGTGAAGACTAAAACCTAACATTTAGCTTTATGCGTAGAATGTTAGTGATAGGTATTTTAATTTTCATATGCTCTATGTTTGGAAGACCAAAGTTTCCATATTTTAGAAGCCTGAAATATGGGTGAACCTAATCAGGATCATTATCAAAATCTTTGCAATATATTGCCTATGATGCTCATCTTTTTTTTCTGAAACTTTAATTTTTAACTTGAAAGTGGTTTCAATCAAAAAGAATTTAGATACTTATTATTGGCCTTGAATTGATTAAGAATTTTGATTTGACAAAACAAAAATTTGTCTAACTTGAATCAATATTTTCTAAGCTTAAATTGAACATTTTTCCACCCTTCTATCTTGCCAAAATCCATTTTAGAACCAAAACAACTCAAATTCTCGGAACAAAACATGATTTATGCTAGTTTTGATAGAAGGGATCGATCCCTTCCCTTAAGGGATCGATCCCCTCCTTACCAGATCGATCCCCTAGCAAAAGGGATCGATCCTGTCTTCATCCAGAACCGAAAGTTCTCAAGTTTTGGCAAAAACCGATCAATCCCCTCCCTGTAAGGATCGATTGGTTGGGGTTTCAAGCTGAACGGATCGATCCTCTCATTCAAGGGATCGATCACTTTTTCATACAGAAAGTCTTTATCGTGCAATTTTTCAGAAAACAGATTGATACCCCCACATAGAGGATCGATCACCAAAGAAAAGGGATCGATCCCCTCTTAAAAGGATCGATTGGTTGCTCAGACAGAATGTTCCCAAGTTCGAAAACCCAAAAAAGGGATCGATCCCCTCTTAAAAGGGATTGATCGGGTAAGGCATTTTAGGCACAAAATCAAGCCTTCTCCAACATGAACCAATTGATCCCCTATGACAAGGGATCGATCCCCTGAAGGCTAAACACTCCCAACGGTTATTTTTTGTTTGAAATTTTTACAGGTTTGAAACATTAAATGCTATCCAACGGCTCTCAACTTCTTCCTACCTATAAATCAAGCATTCCACTGCAGACCCAAGAAGAACAAGAGCCAAGGAAACTTATTGCCATTCACCTACCAATTTGCTTAAGCATTCAAAGCTGTTCCAAGTTAGAAAAGTGCAGAATTCATATCAGTTTTTCTCTATTTTGTTGTCTATACCACTGTGTACTTCAAATTAGCAAACACCCAACCTTTGAGAGCTTCTTAGAGTTTTCAAAACACTTCATATTTCTGTATTGTGAGTTTGTAAGCTTAAGGGGGAGGATAACCCTTAAGATTATATTGTGTTGAGTTTGTAAAGCTTAGAGAAGCTTGGTTGTAATCTTCAACACTTATAGTGGATTGAACTCCTTGGCAAGAGAGGCTAAGGGAGAGGACGTAGGTGTCTAAGAAAGGACCGAACCTCTATAAATCTCGGTGTTATATTCTCTATCCCTATCTCTCATTTACTTTCATTTATTGTGTTTAATTGTTTAGCAAAATTTGTGCTTATTGATTATTGTACTTCAAAAATTTATTAAAAACCAATTCACCCGCCTCTTGGTTTATTCCAAATCTTTGAGCTAACACTTATTACTATATGGAGAATGGTTGATGATATATCATTATATGCAGGTGATGTATGATGCCTCAGGTGTCCGACTTCATGCTGGTCGTCAAGCTGAAGTAAGTTGCATTCCACTTGATATATAGATGCAAAGTGTATTCGCTTTTTATTAACCTATATTCCGATGCCCTTATACAGTGTTCATATTTTTCTTTCCATATTTACAGTTGCTGAATCAAATTGTGTGTGAGTTTCCTCCTGAACATCCATTATCTAGCGTGAGGCCTCTGCGTGAATTACTTGGGCATACTCCCCTCCAGGTCTGCTACTCTCTACACTGCACAAGTAGTTAAAATAACTATCGCTTCTTGGTTACAAGAACTGCTTATTATTTCATTAATTCTTCCAAAAGCATATGTTTCCCATTATAGCACTGTAGTTGACTAATATAAATGTCATTCAGTTTGTAAGTCTGACATTACATGGTATTCCACCCTTAACATTTAGCAAACTCAAATAGCGAAATTATGATTTAACTCCAAAAACAAAAGATAGGAAGAAACAATTTCTTCAAGGCTTCAAAGTCTACTGGTGAAATCTCCAAAGCAAAAAGACTCTTTTATCTTGTCAAATCATGGAATCTTTTTGGACTGCTGTTTACATCTTTTGGCAACCCTGCCTTCTCTATTTTTTTAAGGATATAATAGTGAAATTCTGGATGTCTTAAGTCACTTATTAATTCCCTGCTGCAAAACAACAGGCTTTCCATAGAGCACAATCATTTTGTTTCCTATTTTCTCTTAAAGAAATGGGTTGTTACTTGTTAAGCCAGGAGAAGCACATTATAGTTGGGGAGATTATTTCACCCTCAAAGTAATATTATACTACTCAGTGAAGGTTCAATTTTTGCTGTGTAATTGAGTCTTAAAGTAATATTACACTACTTAGTGAAGCTTCAATTTTTGCTGTGTAATTGAGGCTAATAAGTGATATAAGCCTTCTTTTGCATAAATAAGATGGGATTATGGGTGCAAATATATAAAATCTACGAAGGGAAAAGAAAAAGGAGGGTAGCATCCATTCTGGAGACACAATTTATTTAAGTGTTTTAACAATCTTACCAACAGGCAAAATAATTGATGTATATGATATGGTGCAGGTTGTTGCGGGTGCTTTATTGGGATTCATAGTAGCTTTTCTGATGCGGAATTCTGGTTAGGATGTTACATAAACAACATTGATTCTTTCTTTTCAGTAATGGGATGGAGTACACATCAGTCTTAACAAAAGATTGGAAGAAAGAGCTGGTGTCAAACTTAAAGTTTCTATTGTTGAAACCGTGTAAAGTGGAACTGATTTCTGTTAACCGTGGACATCACTTATATACTATATCTTTCACAATTTGGATTGTATAGCTTTGCCAATTCTTAGGATGAATATAGTAATGAATATCCTCCCAGACTTATTCATTCACTTGTTACACTGATAGGTGTTTGCACCTGATATGTCTCCTATGAAAGCTGCTGCAAGTTTTATCAAAATATTTGCATGGCAAATAACCTTCTTCTTTTTTTTTTTTTGTTTTTCCTTTTTTCAGGTTTATTGTCCTAATTTTTATTTGTCATTTTATATTTGTTTTTCATTTCCATTTTGGCCAAGAGCCCGAAATGTAAATGTGAACAATTGGGATCTGTACTCAAAATGTTTCCCATCCAGCAGATTCAATGCAAGATTTCAAGTATTCAACATCGTTCCTTTTCCGTCAGCAGCAATTGTGAGATTAGTTATTGTTGGATGTATCTCAAGGCCTCTTTCGAAATGCAACTGATCTTTATAGTTTCAGATTCTCCCAAGAGATCTGTCAAGAAAAATTGCCTTTGAGAAAGTGCCTTTAAACACCAAGTACTTGTGCTATAACTCAGCATGGTTTACCCGGCTGCAATCCCTTCTAACACCTAATAGCATACGACCGGAGGAACCCTGAATTGAAATCTGAATGTGGCAAATAAACACGTTCGCGTGCTTTACTGCAAGTCTATAACAGGTTTTCTTAACAAACTCCATCTCGATTTCCATCAAAAAACAAACTCTTAAAGTCTAAGGAGCTTTACGCTTCATTCTACTCTAATGCAGTTAAACCTATATATAAATGCTCTGCTCCAATCTCAGTGCTGTCACCCCGAAAATCCCTCACTCTCCCATTCACATTGCAAACTAAGCCATGAAGAGGAAAAGAGCAATGTTATCACCTGCACGCCAACTCTCCAAGTTTGGCTCAAAACTCGTCATCCTTGTCTGTCTTGTGCTCTTTCTTTTGGCTTTCCTCAGACTTCACTTTCACCCCACCCTTCGGTCTCTGATCTCTATTTATCATTCATCTCGTGTTTTAGATGATGATCCCTTTAAAAGTACTCCTAAGATCGCTTTTCTCTTTCTTGCTCGCGCAAACCTGCCTCTGGATTTTGTTTGGGGCACCTTCTTCAAGGTTTTTAGTTTTATCTTTCTTTCAAGTAATAGAAGAAACCCGGAAATGAATATTACATTGTGATGTAGGCTTTGAAGCTTGAAGTGTATAAGATATTTATCGCTTGTCTTCCTTGTGAATGGTGAAATTTGCAGAATGTTGATATGGGAATGTTCTCAATTTATGTTCACTCGGAACCTCGTTTTGTTTTAGACGAATCGAACACACGGTCAGCGTTCTTTTATGGTCGCCAGTTGAATAATAGCATTCCGGTACATTGCTAATACTTGAACAGCCTCTGCTGATTTGAAAGCCTCAGTTTCCGAATACCAGGTGCTAATACTTTGCATATAGTTGCATTACTTTACAAACAAGTATCCTGCTATGAGTCCAAATTGGTTGTATGATGGAGAATACTAGGAATTTAACCTAGAATTTGTATTATTGATATATACTGTGATCAGGTATGATATGTGAAATAAGTTGATTACTTTAATTTCGACTGCTTTTATCTGTATACTTCAAATCCAAAGTGCTTGGTTTTCATAATGGCTATGGATATTCATGTTGCAGGTATTATGGGGAGCAACAAGTATGATAGAAGCAGAGAGATTACTAATTGAAGCTGTCCTAGATGATCCAGCAAATCAGAGATTTGTACTTCTCTCTGATAGGTTAGTAGCGGTGCATATTTTGAAACTCTTATTCCTAATATAGATCAACTTAATTTTGTTTCATGATGAGTTCTTTATTTTACAGCTGCATACCTTTGTACAACTTCAGCTATGTGTACAGCTACTTGATGTCTTCTCCCAATAGCTTTGTCGACAGGTATATATAATGATAGAGTAAATTGGATTGAATTTTCTCAGTGATGTAACAAATCTTCTAATTGCATATGCAATAGTTAAGCTGAATCTGCAGTAGCCTGTTTTGTATAGCTTTGTTGATGTTAAAGAAAATCGCTACGGTCCTGCAATGTCACCCATCATACTAGAGGAAAAATGAAGGGGTCTCGGGTTCTTCCATTCTATCTCCTTTACCTGTTCATTTTTCATCTCACCATTTAAGGAAGCTATATTTCTCAAGTGGATGCATCTTGAAAAGGATCTCAGAATAAAAGTTCTATGAAAAGGAACAACTTTCAGGCATTTCTATAATATAAGTTGTTTATTTCAAAATCTTCTGTGATTTAAAACATAAAACTTTGTTTTTACCAGTTGTTTGATTTGTCTATGATGAAAATTTACTTGTATTTATTTCAGTGGATCGCGTTGATCAGAAAACATGCTGCAATTGTGGTAGATGATGATATTGTCTTTCCTGTTTGCGGGAAATTTTGTAAGGTACTCCATGGAAAACCTCATTTTACAAGCCCCTCAATTTTCATCTGGTTTGAGCACTACTCTACTGCAGTTGAATGCAGTTATTTAGATTGCTTCTAATGGTGTTACTTGTCTTCAGCGTTGGCCGCCTGCAGACCTAAGAAAGAGAAGGCAGATGCTGCAGGCTTCTGTAAGTTAACCAAGTCTTACCATAAAAGGCAAAACACTTCTGAATCGAACATTTAATATTTGTATACAATTAAAATTCTTTGTGGTTCAATCAAGTGATTGATTTTGTTAGCAATTATGCGTAGGAGCTAGTTCAGAATATTCAGAATGGCCATAACTGTATACCTGATGAACGCTACATCCAGACACTGCTCAAAGTAAGCAACTAAACTGCTATTCTACAGGTTAATGATCTGTATCAAAGCTTGGATTCCCTGCTGTATACCTTTTTCCCATCCTTTTCTTTTACTTGTACAATTAGATTAGTGGGGTTGAAAATGAGCTTGAACGAAGAACAATGACTTATTCATTATGGAATCAATCTTCTGATGGAGGGGAAATGAGCTCATGGCACCCTTTTCAGTTCGCTTACGCTGATGCAAGTCCCCGACTAATCCAAGGAATAAAGGGGTGTACTGAGCAATGAACATTGGCTAGCTTTATACCACTATTCTATGAGTTAACCAAACTCGAATGGACACAGGACATCAACCATGTTTATTATGAGCATGAAGACCAGAAAGAGCTGTGCCATGTTAATATCACAACAGCTCCTTGTTTTCTATTTGCAAGGAAGTTCACTCCTTGGGCAGCCGTGCGCCAGTTGACTGAGTGAGAGCTTCATTCATCTTCAATGATGCTGCTGCTGCTGCTGTTGTTGTAGCAACTTGATAACGTAATAGCATAGAAGTAGGAAAGCAGAACATATATTAGTTGTTAAAAGCTTTCAGATTACAGCTGCAAATGATTTACAGGACTTTCACATGTCGTACAAAGTAAAATTTGACACCAAAAATGAAGCAGAATAATATTTGGAAGATGGGAGTCATGGAGGAATTGCTCAAAGAATGGATTCAAATCTCGTGTCACGGCCATTGTTACAATTTCTTTCTGCCAACTGTATGCCATTTCATTGGTAATACATTTTGAAACTCCTTTGTGTTATGCTCGCTCATGAATCAATGATTGTCTAGTTTGCACTCCCAAACCACTTTTAAATTTATCAGCTGGTACAGAACATAAATATAACATAACTATGGATAAATAGATCTTTTGGGAAAATAGAAACAAAAAAAAAAACCACTTCATTATGGTTTTTATTTATATGTGTTATATATGTTAGGGGATGAGAAAAATTTTGACCATGGCATTACATGGGTCGAGTCAAGTTTTCATTCGTAGAGATGTCTAATCATGCGTCTTCTCATTAAATCAATTTGATTTAGGATTAATTTTTTTTTAAAAACTTTAAGGGTTTATTATAATATTATTCGTTACATAATTTTATGATGTTTCATATTATTTTATGATTTTTCGTCATAATTTTTATTATTTTTATTTTTTTTTTTTAAGTATTTGATATGATTAGATTTTGTCATTTATTTTATCTCGATATCTTATTAAGTGATCAGATTAATTTATCATATTTACCAATTAAAAAATTTGATATGAAATCAATTTATTAAAACGTACAACATCAACATTTATAAATTTAACAAGTTTTTTTTATCTAATATGTAATTAATATATCTTAACTATTTTTTTTAATTTTTAGTGTGATATTTACATGTTAAGCATGATTTAAATTCGATCTTAAATTCAAATTTTAAGTCGAAGTCTAATTTATTATTTTAATAATATTTTTATTTAAATATAAATATAAAACATTTTTTTTTGTTAATTTATTATTTGATTAAAAAAATTATTATTAACCCAATTCATTCAAATCCAAAATTGAGTTGAATCAATTTGAAACAATATTTTAAAAGTAATAATCTAGTGTTATCCGATCCGATACTGTTTATGTACACTTCTACTTTAAACAATTAAATTCATTGTTTGTCGAGAATAATTGTCGATTGTCAAACCGTAAAAACACAAAAACCAAATGGAAATATGGAACTTTTTTTTTTTTGTCAAGAAAATTGAAGGGTCAGTGGGAAATGCGCTGAGAGCAAGTAAAATAAACAAACGGTCTTGATTCATAGATCTCTGAATGCGCGCGCAAACACAGAGCCACACCGTAAAATTACCTTTCATCAATCAAGATTCAAAGCACAAATTGGAGGGAAAAGAAAAGAAAAAAAAAACAATTTTATTATAATTTTTTAATAACAAAAGAAAATCTCTCTTTTTCCTCAATTCAAATAGACGTGCTCTGAACTGAACCAGGCTCCGTCAACCCCGTTGAAGAAGTAAAGCCTAAGCCCCTAAGCCAATGGCCGAAGCCCTAAGCCCGAACCCTAGGCCGAGGATCCCTATTGCCTGTCGCATCCAATCCCCCACCAGCCCCTTCTTCTTGGGCTCTAACGACGACAAACTCGAGCGTGCCCAGGCTCGAGCCGCACGAGCAGCCGCCATCCGCCGCAAGTCCGTCGCTTACCATGCCCAGCCTCCTACAGATCCCGATCCTTGCCTCGCAAAAGACCAGATTCTCGAGTTGTTCCAAAATTGCATCAAATTGGCCAGTGAAAATGTTTCTAATTCCCCTTTCTCTCTCCCAATTACTTAATTATATGAAGATTGGTTTTTTTTTTTC